CTGGTAAGTCCATCGCGTATATTTCCTTCTGAACGCGGTCAGCCAACCCATGCAGGAACATATCCCACTGCGCCTCCTCGTTCCAACGGCACTCTGCGGCCAGGGTGCGGAACCGAATGGAGTAGTCCGCCACCGAGCCTTCTCCCTGTCGCAGTTCGGCGAGTAATCTGGCCGCCTCCTTACCCGCCACTGCACGGTCGAAAACCCTCTTCATCTCCTCGGAGAGTGCCTGGAACGAGGTGCAGCAGTCGTCTCCGTTCTCCCACACCGCCGTCCCCCAAAGTGCTGCTTTCCCTGACAGCAGGGTTAGCACGAAGGCTACTTTGGCCTGTTCGCTCTGGAAAGTGCGTGGCTGTAAGGCAAAATGCATAGAACATCTTGTGAGGAATGCTCTGCAATACTCCGGTTCACCGGAATATCCCTCTGGTGTGGGTAGGCGTGGCTCTGGTCTCTCAACTGCTGCAGGCATCGGTGGTGGGGGAACGGGCGGTGTGGGGGGCGCAGTGGGAGTCTGTAAAAGTTGTACCTGTTGGGTGAGCTCGGACACCTGCTTCACGAGTGCTTGCACCGCACGACCTGTGCCCGAGATGCTCTCTGCTTGTTGGTCCATACGTGAGATACTGTGAGCGATGAAATCGTTGAGCTGTGATGAACTTGCTGCATCCATGGTTGGTCAGATCGTTCTGTGAGGAAATAACAGCAGGATGCAGTATGCAAGTTAACTCAGTTTAATGGATAGTTTAGAATGAACAATGAAGCAGGCACAAGTCGGGGACAACACTCAGATGGACAGTGAAGCAGGGACGAGATGGCGATCCGGTGGAAAACAGGTGATGAAGTGCTCGAGTGAATCCCAGGGGAAGTGAACATCCAGATGACACGACGAACTGACGAACATCCAGACGACACGAGGAACAGACGAACTCCAGACGATGAACAGCAGGCGAGGCACGAGCACAGGAAACACACCGGGGAACAACCACAACGATCTGACAACAAGGGAGAGAATTGCTGGGTATATAAAGGGAACTGGAATGGATGACAGCTGGTGACACTAATCAGCACAACGAGTAACCACACCCACACAATACACTCACGCAGACACATCAGCGTGAGACAGCCGATTCATAAACCGTGACAATCTGCCAGCCCAGAAAAGTTAATAAAAACATTGTTAAAATAGTCCAAGTGACTACAGTGGCTCAACCTTAAGTTTATCAAGAGACGAGAATACTTTTTGTGCGCAACCCCCAACCCCCAAATAAGACCGATTGGTGTATGAGCAAAATGCTCATAATCGCTCTCGTTGTACTTTGATCAGTTGATGCTGGCATACATTGATCAGTCTGCACAGCGCCTCTTCAAGTCGAACACACCCAAAGTGCGTTCTATTGGACCGTAAGTGGACTGCGAAGTGGATTTCACAGGGTATTCCGGCATCTTAAGTGAGATTACAATCCGAAGGGAGCGAACATGTTCAGTTCGAAGGGCACTGCGAACGGCATAGTGAATGAGGGAACATCGATACATCACTTCAGAGAAAGTGAAGAGTGAAAATAACCCAACTGTCATTGAGCAGTTTCAACTAACGATGGAGCTGAGCTGTTGAAAGGGTTTTTTCTGCGATGAAGTTTACTATGCTTTTGAGTATTCATACATATTTTGTTTTTTATTACACAAACTAGAATATTTATGAATGGCTATGGAAATAAATGTTATATTTGTATATTCTATTATATAAATAGTATAACAAAAGTGCAGTAAAAGTGTTGAGAAGCAGCTGAGGCATTGCGCTGTCATTTAAAGGTTCTCTAAGCGATTCTGGGTGACGTCACTGCTTGTTGACGTTCGAACTCTTGTCAAACAAAACGGAGGCTAGCTAGACCCTCCCTTTTATAAATTGCAGAACAGAACACAGAAAAAGAGAAACATTATTTGAAAATCGTTTCGCCACCGGAGGTTATAATTATAGCTTCCATACAAGGACGCAATAATAGCAAGATAACGTTAGCTTCGCGTTTCCCAGTGAGCATAAACAACGGCGTTGGCGTAAACAAATTTAGGCAAAGTTGTCAATACTCTATAAATGAACATTCAAATTCATAACAAACAGTGAATGAGAACAATCATTCACATAAATTGTCACACTACTATTAATTTGATTAATCATTTACAATACATATTGATCGCTAGCTGCTACAAACATATATTGTATTCACCAAAGTTAACGCTGACAGCATAGTTCTAGCTAATTAGCCTATGTCCTTGTGTGGGTTTGGCGAACATAAGTGTCAATTTAGAACAAAAAAAAGAAGAATTTAACGTTACCCACCTGTCCAGCAAAAACAGAGCAACCTGAATGTCGGACTGGAAGCCCTTCTGCCGGCGGAGTTCTCGCCATCTTTCAAATGCTTTACCGATGTAAATTCGGTACTTCGCGCGTACTTTATCCTTTTCCCTCTTCTTTGTAAGTTGATCATCGGAACGTCGTCACTTTGGTCGTTTGTCGGCCATTATTCAAACTTCCCTCTTGATGCTTCTCTCTCCTTCACACACCCCCTTCATGTGCACGCGCACTAACACCCCAGACCCACCCTCAAATACTTCTTGCCAGTGATTGGCTGGAACACTGTTTGTTATGTTTCGTGGAGCGGGTCGCCGCAGTTTGTTTTTGATGCCGTTTGTGGAGCCTGTGGTGTCTACAGAGACCACGTTTTTTTACAGTGTGTTCAGGGAACAGGCAGCTAGCGGATAGTGAGGAGATGTTTGCTGTATGTGACAAAAACTGTTTTGGCCTAAAAAACGCGTGACATCGCTTAGAGCACCTTTAATTAAAAAACTCTTTTTTTTTTTTACCTCAGGAGTGTTTACTGAATGACAGTTAGGCATAGTACAACAGCTTCAAATCTGTTAATTGTCAATTAATAGCTGCAATGTCCATGAATACAAGTAGTCTATGTAATAAACTAATAAAACTAATAGACTAAAGGCCCGTTCAGACCAAGAATGATAATTATAAAGATAACTATATTTGCATCCACACCAGCTGAAGATATCGGTCTATTTATTCCAAGCACGTGGTGCAGTTTTATCATGGATATCCCATGCTCATGGAGTAGGGAGCAGTGAACACTGTGTAGGGACCCTGTCAATTGGAATGCACCTCTAATGATTCAAATGACTGACTTATAAAGACAATTATGTGTCGCCGCCTATGTTGTAACAATGTAACCTACAAAAAAATAATAATAATAATAATTCCAAATTCTGCTACACCGAAAGATGTTTCAGTATCCAAGATAGGCTATTATTATCATTTTGAAGAAAGCTAATTTGTTAAGATAAGAAAATGAGCGTTCATTTTGATTATTTATTAATATTTCCGTTCTTCAGGAAGTTCTGAACCGTTCTCAAATCATTTTAACATTACTCTGACTTCATATTACTCAGCATCTAATTCAATCCACAAATACCATGACAGCACTGACAGCAAATCACCCCTTAAGCGCTACAAATAAGCTTCTGTCGAAAACGACAAAATATCCTCCGGGTTTTGTGCTAGAAATACAAAAAAATCTCATCTGTAGCAAGTAAGCACAGCTCTCTGGGAGTGATCTCAGCCCCTGAACCTTAGTGTATCGCTTTACCATTGACACTGGTAAAAATAGTTAGTTGACTATACTCGACAGTCCATTACAACATTCACTCTCTGCCCCACCATTACTGCAACACAGACTGACTACAGGTGTTCGCTTTCTTTATTACTGTCAATGTTGTTAAAACAACCATACAACAGTGTCTTTTTTATAGGCTATATAGGAATAGTCTTGCTCTCAGCATAAGCTTTTGCTTTTATCTGTGCAATAGTCTGTCTATGCAATGGGTGTGAGGCTGTAGTTTTTCATGTAGAATTTATTTTTTCTAGAATGCTCCTGTCTGTCTGCCAAAAGCAAACTTCACTATTACTATTGCTCATACTTAAGGTTTAGGGTTTGTTCAAATCCCTAACCGTAAGTATTCAAATTTGGCATGTAACTCATCCTGCACTGTTTCTGCTGCAGACATGATACGTCAAATCTTGTGGCTTGTTTAGGAGAGATGTGCTATTACTTTTCTAAACAATCGGATGTGTGATTTTTCACAGGTAATGAAACTGATTTAACTTTTCGTAGACTGAGCCATATCTAGGGACCAGGATGTCATAAAGACTTAAAGACAGGCTTTTCTGACTTGGACCACCTAACAACCACCCAGAACATGCTACTAACTCCATAGCAATTTGATGAAACAATTCAAAATAACTTTGCAACTACATATAAACCCAGCCATCACATTTGTGATATATATTTTATCATATTTGTCATATTTTCTTTCACAAATGTTAAAATCTAGTTATTCCTTTCCCACTATCAAACTCTGTCATTGATAGTACATAAAAACAAACAAAATTAAATGAAACATTCATTCACCCAAAAACAAAAATGTATCATTTACTCATATTCCAAAAGCCTCCCCTTTTTTAACAAAAAGGGAGAAAATGTTAAATAAACCTCCGGTTGCTCTTTTTCATTCTATGACAATAAACATGGACTGAAGCTTTCAATTATGTATTATCTTTGTGTGAACAGACCAAAATTTGTTAAAAAAAATAAGTTAATATTCACTGAAAATCTTGACATCCACTATAGCTTCCATAAAAGATCATGAGAAACGTTAGCAATGTCCAATTTACTTATCTTTTTAATGAATCAATTGATAAACCCATTTTGAATGAGACTGGTCCAGTTCTTGTTCATCTCAGTGAACTGGTCACTGGAAAGGAAGTTTATCAGTGAATACATTTTGGTATATCATGCAGAAGACATTTTAGACGGTAGGATGGACAGCTTTTATGATACTTTCATGGTGACTGAAAGCTTCAGTTTCAGTTCATTGTAAGTGCAGCGACCAGTGCATTCTTATGAATTTCTTGTTCTTCAAAGAACAAAGAAAGGTTTGGATCAAACTGAAGATGAGTAAATAATAACAGAATACATTTTTTTGGGCTGTACTATTACTTTAATCACAGCTTTATTCCACCTCACTGTTAGTTCGACCACAAATTGGCTTTAATTTGATTTTCTCTCCGTTCTTTTTTATTTCTCTATTTCTCCTTCAACTTCACATGTTTTTAAAATGCCTTGTTCTGTCACGATCCCCCTCTCTCTCCTCCTTTCTCTGTGGCCGTCTCTCTTGCTCTTTTCTCCTCTTTCTCTCTGTCTATCCCCATCCCTCTCTTTCCCCATCCCTCCTTCCTCTCTCTCTCAGCATGGCCGAACAGACTTTTCATGGGAAGGAATCAATGTAAGTGTTGTGAATATCATTCCTCCATTCCTTTCCTTTTGTTATTTCCTCCGAATCACAGTAGATGTCTTCTATCTCACACCCCATTCCCTCGTTGGATCTGTCTCTCTTTTGCGATGACTTGTTGGTGTGCTTTAGTAGTTTATTGCGGATGCAACTGACAAAAGACTACACTTCCCACCATGCAAATGGACAGAGATCAAGGCTGTTGGGAAATGTAGTTTCACAACCTCAAGCAACCACTGTTAACTTTCTACCCAACTTCTCTTGTCACCTCTTTCCTTCCCATAAAACGCCACACTCAAAATTTTGCATTTCATTTCTGCTCTGGCCGCCTCCTGCTCCACCGAAACCATCTATTTCTTCACCTTTCCTGTTTTCTGTCCCATTTTTCTCTCTTGAATGCCTTCCTTCATTTCAGTTGTCCATGGAGGACACGACCTCAATCCTCCCTCGGCTGAAGAAGCGGAACTCCAACGCCTATGGAATCGGCGCTCTGGCTAAGTCCTCTCTGACAGGTGTGTCAGGTGTGTGTCTGTCCTGTCAAATGGTAAAATGACCCCATGTTGACTCCAGACTGAGTTGGAGGAGATGGAGGCAACATGGACCCTTGTGGGTTTCCCTTTTCACCACCCATTTCCATTTACAACACTCTCCAATGGCTCGTGCCATTGGTGAATTCCAAAATCCAAAATAAGAATAGATCCCTGACAAGCGATATGCTTCCCACAATGCATTGTCATACGGCTTTCCATTTTATCCTAAGCAGTGGTTGATGGGAGCGGAAGGTTTTTGTATGTTAAGTGCTTGTGGAGTTGAGTGCGGAGATTCAGCCAGTGTGTTGTCTTTAAATATCGTCTTTTCTCAGACTCCTGTATCTGTGTTTTTGTACCGTTATGTGCAGTGCAGTGTGTAGCCTTCTCTGAAAGATCCTCTTCTTGAACTTTAATAATTCATGTTCATCATTTCATTAGGCATTACCTAAGAGCTTGAGAAATCTCTGAATTAGCTCTGTATGTTTGCAGTAATGCATGGGTTAAAAAAAATACAGACTCAAGTGATCAAGTTGCAAAGAGCAATTGATTTTTTTTCCTTCTCAGTATCTATATAAGTTCTCCACACAGATTCCATGGTTATTAAACAGATCGTTACAGCCCAGGTTTAGTCTATTACAGATGTAGCTTCATTGAATAAGCTGAGACTAATAAAAGAGAATATGCACAAGAGAGAATGCAGGCTATTATTGTGTGTAGATATTCATTAGTGGGGTGGTGATGGCGCAGTGGATAAGACACATGCCTATGGTGTGAGAGACCCGGGTTTGAATCCACTGTGAGACACCAATGTGTCCCTGAGCAAGACACTTAACCCCTAGTTGCTCCAGAGGCGTGCGACCTCTGACATATATAACAATTGTAAGTCGCTTTGGATAAAAGCGTCAGCTAAATGAATAAATGTAAATGTAAATGTAGTGTGGAAGGATGACATTTCTAATTCCCATTCCTTTCCATTGTCACTAAAACTTGATTATTTATTTCTCCATACCATAACCATCTCATTATGGAAGTCATTTTTTCATTTCCTTACCTCAAACAAAAGTCTACACATATTTATCACCAGCAGAAACATAATAGCACAGCACACTGAGAGATTGGGTTGGACTTGGACATAAAAAAATCTGTCATTTAGATTAGAACATTAAACGCATAATTAAAAATGCTTTTCAGAATTTTAAAAGACAAAATTAAATGTTACAAGTCGATTTTCATTTTACAACATCTTTACAAGCCTAATTTCAAAAGTGAGATTTGTAGACTAGTCTAGACATTTCAAAAAAAAAAAAAAACATAAAATCTTAAAGTGCAATGGAGATTTTTCTACTTAGTTTTTCTACTTATGACAAGGTCTAAAATATTTTTTAATATTAAGAATATCCTTACCCTTATGCAGTAAATTGCAAGACTGGAAAGTCATGCAAACTCATGGGTTAAAAAAATGGCATGCCTGATGAATGGTCTTTGCCTATGAATTGTAATTTTTAATTATTAAAAATATTAACACTGGTTAGCCTATATCTGTGGTTTTCAATCCTGGTACTGGGGACCCATCACTCTGAACATTTTTCTCTCTTTTATAACACACCTGATTCAGATCATCAGTTCATTAGGTGAGAGCTTCATTAACTGAACTAAGGGTACGACAAGAATGTACCAAAAACTAAAACGTTTGTGTATAGAGACGACAACGTTGTCAAAACAATCCCCATTCACACAGATCCACGAAAACGACTAAAAATGCTGTATTTTGTTGATAGGCCAGTAGTTGGCACTTTGTAAAGAAAGACTACGCATAGACTGAACATGTAATACGTACACTGTATCAATAAGTTATGACAACATATGTTTTTACATTGCTTTAACTTATTAAAATAATTTAAGCAATTTTCAACTTTTTAAGTTATACAAGATTCAACTTAAGTCGGTTTAATATAATTTAGGTTGAAATGACTTAAACATCCAAGTTGATTGTACTTAATTTAAGGCAGCAATGTTTTTTTTTTTTTTTACAGTGCATGCACATGATGTCGCACCGTTTTCTCAAATTCGTGGCGTTGTTTTCAAAAACGTGCACTTTGAGACCCGTTTTCAAAAGTTTGCGTTTTCAGGCCCCCAAAACGCCATTGTCATGTACGTGAACAGCCAAAACGCATATCAGTTTATTAACGTCTTCAGTTTTTAGTTGAAAACGGTGTCATATAAACGGCCCCTGAGTGTCAGATAAGAGAGACATAGAAAATGGGCAGAGCGTTGCGTCTCTAGGACCAGGGTTGAAAACCACTCGGCCAGTGGATGACATAGGCTACTTCCATCGAGATTCTAAAGTGCGCATTCGCTGGACTTTTTTTTTTATCCCATGAGGCCACGGGAGAGGATCTGTGAATGGAGATGAAGCGATGTAACTGGCATAAAGTCAAATGACAATTAAAACATTTTTATTCATACTACACACATTCATACTATATAGAAAGTACTTTTTTAACAATTGCCAAGTAAGTTTCAAACCAAATGTAGTACCTACTATACAGTAAGGATTTCGGACGCAGCACTAGTCACTTAGCAGATGCAATCTTGTACTGTAAAGCTATTTGACTTAATTTCCTCTATCTTGTTTTTTCCCCCTCCCTCTCTCCCTAATCTAAAAAACGTCTACCTCTCACTGTCTTCTCATCCCATCATCCACCCTCTGTCTATTCGTCCACTTCAGGAGTGTCTCGCTCCATGAAGGACAAGGTGACAAAGCCGACAGCGATGGCCCAGGGGCGCGTGGCTCACATGATCGAGTGGCAGAACTGGGGCATGCAGACGGTGGGGGCGGGGGGCGTAGTAGGGGCACGCGCCTCCAGTCTGCACCTCCAACAAGAGCGCAAGCTGGAGAATGACGCATACAGCGACCTCAGTGACGGAGAGAAGGAGGCTCGCTTTGCTGCAGGTCAGAGACACATAGCCTATAGACATAATTGAGAGAAAGGCCAACGCAAAATCTAGCGCTCAGAAGTAAGCTATATTACTGCATGTTTATATACTGAGTAGTAGGCTACTACAAGATTTGACATACTGGTGAATCGTTGTTCTAGTCCACTAATCGTGGATTAGACTTAAGCCTTGTCTGTGAAACCGGGAGATAAATGACTAAATAATGGCTTAAATAAAGGAGGGTTAAGGGTCAAATTAATATTAGTCAAAAAACAGTAATATTATAATGAGCCTAAAATACCCTGTACAATCAGTAGCTGAATAGCAGTATAGCATCATTAGCATCTGCAAGACACAGACAACAAGTATCGATACACAATATGTATTAAAAAAATGAAACTGCCGTGTTCTCACTGATTCTTCCTTTAAAGCGGTGAATTTTGAATCCTGTCAGGTGTGCTTCAGCAGTTTGCCATCTCTGAGGCGACGCTGATGGCCTGGAGCTCTATGGATGGGGAGAGCACGAGCGTGGGATCTAATCAGGGGAGCGTAGCCCACCTGAGCGAGGCCAACCAGGAAAGCATCACCAGCCGAGGTACTGACTACATTTCCCAGCATGCACTGCAAGCTCAGAGAATAATCGTACCTCTTCCTACTGTGCTTTAGGCTGGAAACTTAGGAATGAAATCAATTTAGTAACAAAACTTCCATGTCACATTGTGAGCCCTGATGAGTGCTGCAATTATTCAGGCAACTTTCTGTCATCAACTGCAATCAAACACTTTCTTTCAACAACTTTACCCATCTCAGCTCAAAGAATATGTAGAGGATATGGTTTGAAATCCCTGACTAATTCCTTAACGACTGAAAAATTAGACTTTTTCCTTTGTTTTCTTTTATTTAGGCCTATGCTAAAAGGTTTCTCTAAGAAGTTTAGACCTTTATACTGAAAGCCCCCTAGAGTGAGGGTGGGATTACTATATTGCAGCTTATTTGGAATGCAGTGCACATTGGGTTTTGAATAAATGAATAACTAAAGGTCAGGGACCCGTGACTCTCAAGAGAACAAGAACTAATCCACTGAACAGTTCAGTACAGCCTTACAGACTCACATGAGAGCTCAGAACAATGAAAGCCATCTGCATGTTACAGACAGATAATGTGATAATTATGTCATATGCTAAGGCAGAGGTGTAACAAAACTGTAACTATTTCGCATTTTTCAACTATTTTGAACAAAAGTCTTTTGTAAATCTAGTTGGTACTTTCTCTTTAACATATGGAACATATCTTATAATAATAAAAATGCCATGACACCCAAGGCCTGAGTAAAAAGGTGAGTCTTGAGACCAGATTTAAAAGTATGGAGACTATCACTATTGCGAATATCAAGGGTATACGTGGTAAGGCAAGAGAAATTGAGAGTGAATATCTGAGAGACCTGAATGCCAAAGTTTGGATTTGGCATGCAGTCGTTCCAAATGACAGCCTTTAATTTGGAATTCACTTGTGCTTGTATTACTGACATAATCAATATGAATGTTAAAATCACTGAGCATAATTATAATAGAAGAAATGGAACATATGAAAGTCAAAAACTCAAGAGTTCAGTTAAAAAAGTGCCGCTAGTCTTTGGGGGGTAGTAAATAGTAGTGAGAATAGTAGGGATTGCCACTTTGATTTTTAGGGCAATAGATTCAAATGAAGAATATGTAGGCACAGTTAACTGGGATACTTTTCATTTGTCTATATGGAGTATTGCTATATACCGGTATATATATATATATATATAAAGATTTGGGGTCTGTAATTTAAATTAGTTTTTTTTAAAGAAATCTCTTATTCTAACCAAGGCTCGCTTAATTGAATTTATTTAAACAGTTATTATTAAATATTATTAAACGGTAAACACTTGTGAAATATGATTACAATTCAAAATAACTGTTTTAATTTTAATATATTCCTTTGATGCAAAGCTGAATTTTCAGCATTAATACTCCAGTCTTCAGTGTCATGTGATCTTTCAGAAATCATTCTGTTATTACTCTACTTTTTCAAGAAATATTTCTTATTATTAATGTTGAAAACAGTTGTGCTGCCTTATTTTTGTGGAAACTGTGATACAATTTTTTTTCCAGAATTCTTTGATTAATAGAAAGTAAAAAAACAGCATTTATTTGAAATAGAAATCTTTTGTAACATTATAAATGTGTTTACTGTTACTTTTGGTCAATTTAACGCACTTTGCTGAAAAAAGTTAATTTCTTTTAAAAAACTTGTATTGACCTCAAACCTTTGAACTGTATGTTAATTATTATATTATATTATATTATATTATATTATATTATATTATATTCACGAAATGGTGTGGCTTTACAACACGCACGGCACAGGAGATTCAAGGAAATTGTCTTTAATAAACTCAACGATCACACATAAAATCCACAGGAGATATAAACAAGTCACACCACATTTAAACATAAATGTAAACGAGACTGAACCAAGATCTGATGAAACTAAGGGTTTAAATACACGGAGAAATAATTAGCTAGAACAGAAACGGGTGCGGAATTAATTAACAACCAGGAAAACTAATGAGGGAACATGACTGGAAACAAAACCATTACCCAACATACACATTACAAATATATTATATTAAAGTATCAATAAGAATATTAAATGTAAAAAATATAAAAATGACTATTTTACCCAAAATGTGTGTGCTATTTTTATTTATGTAGTATAGTAATAGTTTATAGTATTGCATCATTCCTCTTAAGGCACCTGTATTGAAATATTTGTGAGTGAATTTGGTTGCTGTTGAGCACAAATCAGTCGTTTAAGAGGTTTCATTCCAGTTAGGATTAGGATAGGATGTTAGGATGTTGCCATAGAAGGTCTATAGAGAGAAAAAGGGCAAAAGAAGAATAAACTCAGTGGGCAGTCTGTGTACGAGTGTGTGTTGCTATGCTACATTACAAAAGCCATTTCCTCAGTAAATAAGAAACCTCATTTCTACACTGCCAGAAGGGTGAAGCGAGTGAACACTCATTTTGATTTCACAATGATGGCCATGGGGTGTATGCAAAAGCCAGAGATTTCAACGACAGAAATAGAATTTGCAGTTATTATTATTCAACATTGTTTTATAATCAAATATCATTTTGCTGTTGCATTCAGATGAGGCTGAAAAGTCTCAGAATTTGATTCCAAGAAAAAAATAATGGACATTTCAACGCTTTTTATGGATGTGGGCTCAAATAAAGGAATTGTGTCCAATCAAAGCATCATAAAAGTTTGGATTGGAAGAGTTTTGACTAATACTAAAGTAACTCTTAAAGCAGCCAAATCATGAAACTTGTACACAAAGTAAAATCAATCATTTTGTTTTATTTATGACTAAAGAATATATTATTTTCTTTTGAAGAGGTTCATAATAACTAATCTATTTGCAAGACACTCATCAATAATATGGATGGCTGCTCTCTGGAATACTCGATTCTGATTGGTCAGTCGTGACATTCTGACCACTAAACCCAGGAAACTAATTTCCTTCATACTGTAGCTGTGCTGTAGCCTCATTTCTCTCATGTCACTCTGGGTTCTCTTTCTTCTAACATAATAAAATAATTCCAACTCGGATCAATATTTCATCTCCATTTATGTATTTATAAATACCCGTGTAATAATCACCAGACGCCAACTTAGATCAGCACAGGCTGTGTGAAAAATGATCTAAGATTCAAATCTGAAAGAAAAATATACAGAATGTCACCCAACCAATTTTCATTTGTCTTTTTATTCTCTCTCTCTCTCTTTCTTTTATCTGCTCTTACAGACCAGATTGTGCACCATTCTTCTGCAGAGGTTTGGCCCCACAGCTACGTCTCCCAGGGTCTTTACTGCCTTTCTTCCTCTGATGCTTGGGAGCCAATTAGTAATGAACAGTCAGGTGTGGCCTCTCCTGCCACTGGTTCATATGTCATGGCAGTCGGGACTGAGGGTGGATATGACCCAAGTACAGCAGCTCACTTCCTGTCCCAACAGCAGCAGTATCAGAACCAGTTACATCAGTTCCAGCACCTGCAGCAGATGCAACAATACCACCAGCAGCAGCAGCTCCTGCAGTATCAACAACAGACACAGGTGAGTGAGTAAACTACAGCTCACGTAAGCCTCCGCTGAGTCATAAAACTACAAATCCCATGAGGCCTGTTTCACACTGCACACGTAAGCAGTGATGTGCTTATTTATTTCATCATCCACATTAACAGGTGCAGATCTGTTGGTAGGTCAAAATCATGACTCTCTTTGTGTCCGGAATCAATAATTTATGAAAAAATAAGTAAAGAAAAATGCAAATTCACTGAATCAATACACTTCTGTAATCAGAATGTTTTTCATTTGTGCATAAAAAATTATTTTGATCATTTTTACAAGGCATGAAGTTAAAAATGTTTGAGTGATACAACTCTCCTAATATCATAATAAAGAAAAAAGAATCGAAATTCTTGATCATTGTTAACGTTAATTGGTAAAAATACAACTTGTTAGCTCATTTTAATGAAATATTAAAAGATACAACTATTGATTTTTAATAATATAATAGTAAATAAAACTAAGATTAATAAATGCTTTAGAAGTCTTTTTCTTTGTTAGTTCATGTTACAGATTTTTTTTTTAACAAAATGACCCTTTTTATAATTTATGCCCATGAAAATCTCAATGTGGAAACCCAGAAATTAATTTTTTTTTGTACAGAACCGTAGCTTTGTAGCCGAAACACCGTCAGTAATGTAAGCCTTCATCATTTACGCACTGCTTATGCGTGTGGCATGAAAGCAGGAATTAAATAAGTCTCTGCACCATCATCTCCTGTATTAGTAACAGAGGAGACATTAAATGTATTCTCCATATGCCTCTGCAAAAATAGTTCTTGGCACATTAACGTAAGTCTCCCATAAGGCTGTGCTGCAACAGATCTTATATTAACAGGTGAGGTACAAAATTACCATTCCAATTAGCTCATTTGCGTGTTCTGCAACAACATCTCTTGCTCGGCTGGCTACGGCATCATGTTTGTGTTGAAATAGTACAAATCCCGGTGGTCAGTTCAATAACGGCTTTAGTATCAGCAGTAAGAGCAGTAAAAACTTAATCATGTTCCATCATCCAGCCATTAACCAGAAGCCATTGATCGTCACAGTAATTGAGGTCTCACTGGAGCAAATGGGGAATCTAAAACTTTAAATCCCATCAGCCATTGCAAAGGGAGGGTGGGGGGAATGTTTTTTTTTTTTCAACCACAAAAGAAGTCGGGTTCTGAAAGTAAAAACTCATTCCTTTTTCTCCGTTATAAACTTTTCAAGACAGACTTGGCAAAAGCTTTTTGATTGTTAAATATTGATAAATGCTGTTGTAGAAGCCATTGGTCACTGTGATTTCAGCTTAATGTTTAAATGTTAAACTATGGAAACATAAATCATGCCAAAAGTTCTCAACAGTGAATGCCCATTCCCATTAAAAATTACGAATAAATTGGAAAAAAATATTTGAAAATAGGATAAGAAAAATAGACGTATTGACAAATATAGTTTTTTAATTTAAGCATAAACCTCACTAATTTTGTTTACTTTTATCTAAAAGTAGACTTTTAAATTAAATTAAAATTATTCTCAAAAAATGTATTTGCTTTGAAAATAGATTATTTTATTGGAAAACAGGACAAAGTTATAGAGTAAGAAAATGAAAATTTAAATATGATGACATTAACACACACTCACATATAAATATAAAAAATACATATATACACAGTACACACACAATATACATACATATATATATATATATAAATATTTCGCAATTAACATAGTTTTTACTAAAAATGTTCTTAATTGCTTAATTGTTTTTACTAAAAATTGCTGATTCAATTATGTCATTGCTGTTGTTTTATGAGATGTATAAATCAATCGTTATCATATTTATGATAAAATTATTTTGAAATATTATACTTTATCTTTTTTCATTTTTACGATTTTTTTTTTTTTTTCCTGAAATCAAAGTTTGTCATTTTGGTTTCTCTTTGCTTTGGTTCTTGGCTTATATTTCATAGTTTTTTTTTTTTAATTGAGAAAATTATTGGGAAAACAAAGGAAGCTTAAAGAGTGGGCTTTCACTGTTGTGCTCTGTTACTGCAATGGAAACTTGAGCTGTTTTCCTCTCTATTTGCAGATGTTGGATCAAAGACTACACAGTGCCACTCATTCTTTACAAGCTACTCCCAACAGCACCATCCACAGCCTGCCCTCCCGTACTCACCCCCCGTTAGTGGATCTGTGGGGGACAGTGGGGACAGAGACCTATCAGGCAGACATGATGGGCTACATGAGCATGCCTGTAACAGTAGATGGAAATCTAACAGTCCCCACAGAGGAGGTGACGACAGATCACTCACCTTTACTGGAAGCCCAGGAGGAAGAGATCAAAGTGAGTGGGAAAGAAGTGAAGTGGCCCTTAAATGACACTTATGCCACACTTAAACATATCTAAATGTCACTGCACTAAAAGTAAAATAGCAAGTGATATCTGCAAACAATTGATGTTTGATCTTTTCTCAAAACTAACTTCATTTTTCTAGTTATTTGGAATGACTTTTAACCAACTGGTCCCAATTTTTTTTTTGTGTATGTATGAAGACAGTTTCCTAAAGTTCACACAAGCGCCATAGCAGAGTGTATAGCACATAGCACAGGTGTAGTTCATCATTACATTAACTATGAACATGTTCATGCACATGATACCAACAGACAATTATACAGCATCTGAGGGTATGTTTACACAACAAAGAATGGTGAAACAACTAAAAACATTGTATTATTCATGCCAGGTCAGTAGTTGGCGATGTCAATTTGTAAAGAAACACTGCGCATATATAGACAGAACACATAATGCGCATGCGCATATCATCACCTTTTTCACAAATTCGTGTTTTTGTAGTTTACACAGAGAGACAATAACAGTATCCTTTTTTCAAAAACATGCACTTTGAAACCCATTTTTAAAAGTTTGCTTTTTCAGGCCCCCAAAATGGCATTGTCATTTTGGCCCTTAAATCCGTGATGTTATTGTTAGCTAAAGCTAAAACGATACAAAATTGTTTCTGTTAATTGAAATAAAACAGAAATATTAGATGAAAAACGTCTAGGTTAATAATGTAACCCCTGTTCCCTGAAGAAGGGAACGGAGACGTTATGTCAGAACTGAACTGACAAATTGGGATCTCGGCTGAGACCCCAATCACCTTCGAGTGTAAACTAAATGAGCCAATGGACATTGGCATGCGAGATTTGCATCGCAAACCCCACCCCGCGAGTGGGTATATAAGGAAGCGTGCTTGTTCTTGCACATTCAAGTTTTGCATTCACCAGTGGTACAGCAATTATGGCGTCTCTGTAACGTCTCTGTTCCCTCCTTCCCTATCAGTGAGTCACGTTCGACGTTACATCAGAACTGAACTGACGAATTGGGATCCTACCAAAGCGCCACTATTGCTGCCCCTTCCAGTGTCCTGCGACAGCTACCTACCAGGGCGGAAGATGGGACAGGGCTTGACTAGGAGGAGGTTGATCACTGTTGTTCCTTCTGACCCATACAGTGAGACTATTGGATAACACTGGGAAAGCGTACCTATGGAAAAGAACGCTATGGAGACCACATCTTGCCCGCAGGGATATTACATGTAGAGTTACACATATGGACTGGCCAACAGGGCAGTGCTACATATGGAAGGTCTCCGTGGTAGATCCAGCCTAGCTAGACAGAGTGGGCTCTGCCAAGGGAAAGACACATGCTCGCCGACAGGGAAGCCGCACCGTGGAAGAAAACACATGTGAGATAACCCGTAGAGGAATCACAACACATGGGCACCTAGTCTAGCACAGGGGCTGACCTTCTGGGCATACACACGAGTGCTAGACCTAGCGTTGGACACCTCTGCCCCTTCTAACTGCCGAAAGTCCTGGAGGAACTCCATGCAGGGTTCACCGGGTGGGGAACTCACCTGTGGAGCAGATAAACACACGTATCCCGTCGGTGATACAAGAGGACACAGGCTCAATACGGAGATTGTAAAACCTCGCAAACGTGTTAGGTGACGCCCAGCCCGCAGCTCTACAAATGTCTGCTAGCGACGCCAAGGGGGCATGGCTGGTCTTGGGCCTGATAAGGCAAGACTATGGCATTCACTATCCAGTGGGCCAACCTCTGCTTGGAGACAGCCTTTCCCTTCAGCTGGCCTCCATAACAGACAAAGAGCTTTTCTGAGGTCCTGAATCTCTGCGTTTGGTCCACGTATAGGCCAATAGCGGCAACATACACTTTCAGGGTGGAGAAGCATCAGTTCTGGGAACCAGGTCCGGTTGGACCTAACTAACAAGACCTGCTCCTCGTCCTCTCTGACCTTGCATAGTGTCTGTGCGAGCAGGCTCACTGGGTGAAACGCATACTTGCATAGGCCCCCGAGGCCAGCTTTGTGCCAGCGCATCCGTGCCGAGGGTCCCCTCGGTCAGGGAATAAAACAAACTGGTAGTAGGACATGTCTGGAGAGGCAACCAGGTCTACCTGTGCGACCCCGGAGTGTCTCCAAATCAGCTATACCGTCTGGGGGTGGAGTCGCCATTCTCCCGGGAGTGTGGGATGTCGTGAGAGCTTGTCGGCTGCATGAGCTCACCCAGAATGTGAACGGCGCAAAGCGACGGCAGATGCTTCTGACTCCAGAGGAGGAGATGGCGAGCGAGTTGCGACAGGAGAGTAGACCACCCTGATTGATGGTTGATGTACGCAACGGCCACAGTATTGTCCGTCCAGACCAGCACATGCTTGCCCTGTTGCAGCCATCTGAAGCAGCACAGAGCAAGCCATACTGCTTGCAACTCGAGGCAGTTGATGTGCCAGTGCAGTCAAGGTCCTGTCCAGGACCCAAAGGCTGCACACACGTGGCACCCCAGCCGGAGGCATCTGTTGAGACAAGAACATGCCTGGACACTTGTTCTAGGGGAACCCCTGCCTGTAGAAACGCAAGGTCTGACCCTGGGCTGAAAGTTTGGCGACAAGCTGGGGTGACTGGGTACCGCGTTGCCATGCCCAACTCGGGACTCGGCCGTGAAGCCAGTGCTGAAACGTTCTCATATGAAGCAACCCGAGTGGTGTGACTGTGGCTGCAGATGCCATATGCCTCAGGAGCCTCTGAAATAGTTTCAGTGGAACCTCTCTCCTGCCCTTGAACGAATTCAGACAGTTTAGCACCGACTGAGCATGTTCGATCGTGAGACGTGCTGTCAGGTTGACCAAGTCCAACTCCATACCGAGAAAAGAGATCCTCTGCACGGGGGAGAGTTTGCTCTTTTCCCAATTGACCCGAAGCCCCAGAAGTACTTGAGCACCAGGTCCCTGTGTTCACACAACTGCTCTTGCGAGTGGGCCGGTATGAGCCAATCGTAGAGATAGTTGAGAATGCGAACGGCATGTTCCCTCATAGAAAACAAGGGCCTCCCGCCTCCATGACTTTCATGAGGACACGACGCGACAGGGACAGCCCAAAGGGGAGGACTTTGTACTGATATGCTCGTCCCTTGAATGCAAAGCGCAGGAACGATCTGAAATTCACATTACTCTCAGGCAGAATCCCAATTCGTCAGTTCAGTTCTGACATAACGTCGAACATGACTGACTGATAGGGAACTTAAACTGTTGCCTTGGTAACTAACTGAAATACAATAACTAATTTTAAATGAAATTTAAAAAGAAATGTTAAAACACTAAAACTAATTATTTGTATTAACTAAAATTAATAAAAATGTAACATGCATATAACAAAATAACTAAAACCTAAACTAAAACTAAGAATGGAAAAACTGGAAAAAAGTTAATTCAAAATATTAATAAATACTATAATAGTATTATGATAAAATAACGCTGATCCAAATATTGTCTTATTTTTTTAACAGTATACTGAATCTATTGATTTATCATTTAAAACCTAACAAACATCTATTTCTGTCAGCAGCTAGAAAAGTATGAATCCTGACTACATTTTCTGTAACTCCTCTCACTGTTGCAGTCAGGTATGAGCTGCTGTGTACAACTTTTCCAGCATTAAAGCTGAAGTGTGTAATTTCTGTGCCAATAGGAAACTGCAAAAATAATGACTTTTCAAACAGGTTTTTCAAACACTCCACCCATCTCCTTTTGGTCAGGCAAAAGCATAGTCCCGCCCCAAACTTAGACTATTGGCTGAATCAATGTTTCTGCAGGTTTGTTAGTCAAATATATTCGCAAGTTCCATCATCACCAATATGCTCTCGGCCTGTACATTTATATATCTTTCATTCCATTTAAATATATAGAAATTTCAATCTATATATTTTAACATTTCAAACAGTGCCATTTTTGAAGAGTGTGCATAAATGCGTAAGGTAACCCTGAAGTGTGAGGTAGGAGGGAACCCGCGATGAATCAAACATCAAATAAAGCAAAATGACAGGGACGAACAATAGTGAAATAATCTTCACCACATTCATATGGGAGTAAAGTCTACGCCAAATACATACTACTAGTTAAAATGATAAAAAATGAATGTGTAAATTAACTAGAATAATCTGACATTAATTGTGACCTCAAATCGATTAATTAACAGAAGTTATTCTTCCACCACCTTCGCATGATGTCATTAACGACAGTCCTATACTGGCACCGCAGATGATCCTGTCTTTAGTTATTCTTCTACAATCAGTTTCAACAGGGACAAACTGCTGAACATTCGGCAGTACAAACCACCCAATCTATCACCGGTTTTTGATTATTCAGACGTTTTACTAGACAATAAAGTTGGAGGGGCAGCGGCGCTGCTCAACCCTTCGCTGACTGAGTGCCTACCTCTTCAAGCGGACGAGGCGTTTATACTTGATGCGCTCACCGTTGTACTACTCTTTGAAGTAACGAGGCCGACTCCGACTAATTGTCCTCTAAACCATCAGGAAGCAGCGATGAGAAGTAGTAATGTACACGTATGATGATGTTTGTTTTTATTACACTTCAACAATTCCACACTTCAAATGAACCAAAGAATGTGTAAAACCCAGTAAACCTTGAGATTATTACTTGTGACAACAAAATATATGGACATGACAAAAGTATAAAACTTAAGTTAAACAACAATCTCTTAAATATTTTCTAATTTAATTAAACGTTTTCATTTAATTTCATGAACATTTTTATTAAACATGGACCTTTATTTTCAAAAGGGATTATTTCTGTAGGCTCATTTTCTAAATGTAAGCAATTCATTTAGACAAGCGCAAACTGGGTGCGTAAGATGCTGGTAAAGACATCAGCATCTGCTTGGCCATAATCGCCTCGAAGTCGTGCATCTTCGGAAGCGGAGCCAAAGTTACTGTGCACACCACCACGCGAAATGGGTTTGCAAGCATGGAAAGCGAACTAGTCAAGCTTCGACAGTGTAGCTTTAGAATCGCGTTGCTTAGCATCCATCTGGCAAACATCTACTCCCTCCTCAACAAAACCGACAAACGTCTTCTCCAGTCCTAAACAAATAAAGACTTTTCAAACTCTGCTTCTCTTGTGTTTCATGGAAATCTGGTTGAATCAAGCCATTCCGGACAGTGTGTTACATCTGCCAGGCTTCCAGCTGTTCAGAGCGGATTTTGACGCAGAATGAGCAGGGAAAATGCGAGGCGGTGGGACATGCTTCTACATCAACGAAGAGGTGGTGTAAAGATGTCACAGTGTTGAAGAAGATGTGTTATCCTGATCTAGAAGTTCTCTTCATCAACTGTAAGCCTTACTACTCACTGCTGGAGTTTTCCTCGTTCATTCTCAGAAGTGTTTACATTCCTCCACAAGCGTGTGTGAACGCAGCGCTGCAACAGCTGGAGGATCAGATCACAGACATGGAGCAACAACACCCGGACTCTCTTATAATCATTCTTGGGGACTTTAATAAAGCAAATTTATCCAGTGAACTGCCAAAATACAGACAGAACGTTACATGTCCTACCAGGGACAGTAATATACTGGAACACTGCTACACCACAATAAAGGATCCATATCATTTTGTTTAGTTTTGGGGCTCTCTGATCACTATTAGGTTCATCTCATACTGACCTACAGGCAGAAACTTAAATCATCTGAACCTGCAGGTAAAGACTGTAAAGAGATGGGCATTGGATTGGAGTATTTTTGAAGCTGCTGCCATCGATCTGGATGAGCTCACATATACTGTAACAATATATATATATATCAGTTTCTGTGAGGATATTTGCATTCCTACAAGGACTCATTCAACATAAAACAATGACAAACCATAGTTCACAGCAAAACTCAGAAAGCTTCATCAGGCCAAAGAAGATGCCTACAGAGGTGGGGACAGAGTCTTGTATAATCAGGCCAAAAACACACTGACAAAAGAGATCAGAGTGGCTAAGAAAAACTACTCTGAAAAGCTGAAAAAAACAGTTTTCAGCCAATGACCCTGCATCGGTGTGGAAAGGCCTGAAAGACATCACCAATTACAAGAAACTATCCCCCAGCACTGTGTCGAATCAACAACTGGCTGATGACCTGAATGAGTTTTTTTGCAGTTTAAAAAAAAAAAACTGGTTCACACCCCACACCCGTTCTGACCTTCTCTCCCTGCATTCATAAACACCTTCAGCAACCCCCTTTCCCTCTCTCCTGCACTTACAATCTGTGAAAAGTATGCGTCCCGCGTCTTCCAGAAACAGAAGACAAGAAAAGCACCAGGCCCAGATGGCGTTTCACAGGCCTGTCTGAAATCCTGTGCTGACCAGCTGACCCCTATCTCCAGACAGATCTTCAATAGATCACTATAACTATGCAAAGTTCTATCCTGCTTCAAATGCTCCACCATCATCCCAATCCCGAAGAAATCCAAAATCACAGGACTGAATGACTACAGACCTGTTGGGCCAGCATCAGTCTTACAAATGACTTACTGACCACAGATATGTTGTATTAACATCTGTGGTCATTAAGTCATTTGTAAGACTGATGCTGGGCCACCTCAAGGACATCACTGGACCCTTGCCTGACCGCCTGCATTTTGCTTATCGGGCAAACAGGTTTGTGGATGATGCAGTCAACATCTCGACAGACCTGGGACTTATGTGAGGATCCTGTTTGTGGACTTCATCTCGGCTTTCAACACCATCATCGCAACACTCCTCCAGACCAAACTAAAAGCTTTCTGACAGCTAGGCAACAGCTAGTGAGACTGGGAAAATTCACGTCCTACACCTTTACATCAGCACTGGTGGCTCCCCGGGATGTGTGCTCTCCCCACTGCTCTTCTCCCCCTACACCAATCACTGCACTGCAAAAGATCCCTCTGTCAAGATCCTGAAATTTTGCGGATGACCTTACACTCATTTGCCTCATCCAGGATGGTGACGAGTCTGCTTACATACAGGAGGTTAAAGAGCTGACAGTCTGGTGCAGTCACAGCAACTTGGAGCTGAACACGCTCAAAACATTGGAGATGATTGACGACTTTAGGAGAAAGCCCTAAACACTCCCCCCAATGACCATCGTGAACAGCACTGTGACAACAGTGGAGTCATTCAGGTTCCTGGGCACTACCATCTCTAAGTACCTGAAGTGGAACAATCACAGTGACTCAACTGTGAAAAACGCCCAGCAGAGGTTGGACTTCCTTTGTCAGCTGAGGAAGTTCAACCTGCCACAGAAGCTGCTTCAGCAGTTCTTCTCTGCAGTCATAGTGTCTGTCCTCTGCACTTCTGTAACTGTCTGGTTCGGCTCTGCTTCCAAATCAGACCTCAGAATACTACAGCGGATAGTCCGGACTGCTGGGAGAATCATCAGTACACCCCTTCACACTCTCCAAGAACTGTACTCATTCAAAGTGAGAAAAAGGCTGGCAAAATCACTCTGGACCCCTCACATCCAGAACACTTCCTCTTTAAACGGTTGCCATCTGGTTGGTGCTACAGAGCACTGAGCACCAGTACAGCCAAGCACAAGAAAAGTTTCTTTCCTCAGGCCATCTACCTCATGAACAATTAAATGCCCCCACATGGGCAATAAACATGTTGTCTGCCAATGAAAAGATTCTGCCAATATGTCCTGACTCCTCAGCACCAGGTCCTTCTGCTCCTCCCATCCGTTCACAATCACCTGAGTTCTAACTAGTTGCACCTGTCACCGCCTAATTACCTCTTCTACATATACTCACCATCCACACTCACCTGTTGTCCGGTCTTGTCGGTCTCATTCTATACTTGTATTTATTTAGCATACCTCTTATTCCCATTCCCTTGCATTGTATATAACATACCTGTACATACATATCTGTTTTGTGTATATTTGATGTATTTATATTCATTCACTTATTTTACTTTTTATTATCTATCTTGTCGCTGTCATGATTCTGTCTGTGCACTGGAAGCTTCTGTCACCAAGACAAATTCCTTGTATGTGAAAGCATACTTGGTAATAAAGCTCATTCTGATTCTGATTCATTCTGATTCTGATCGTTGAACAATGCAGTCCAAACGACAGAGGTGCAACCATGTTACTACGTTTTCAGGAACCAGTCGCTAGTCAATTTCTCCAATGATGCATCAAACTATGGTGGTTAAACAGCAAGTTTTTCATTGTACAGGAAACGCACAAAAAATGTTTTGTTTACACTTTTTATGGGAAACAACTTAAAAAGGACTTAACGCTGCAGTAGGGAGTTTTGAGAAAACGTTGACTTAGCCTGAAAATGTGAACAAGCACAACTTACAGGTCCCACCCCCTTGCTCTCTGCTGCGCTACAGCCCTCCCTCCACAGCTCGTCCTCCACAGCGGAGCCTGTCGTGAACGCGCAGGCTAGTAAACAGGGCCGGCGGATAAAAAGTTATATGGCACATTCACTAATAGGGACTAAACGTCAACAATATGCTTTACATTGACTATGGCCTGCCCATACTTTGACTACAAACTTGGTCCTCAAATCATTATGTATTTTGCAATAGCCTACATGTAACTTTATAACGTTGCACTCTTTCTATAAGTTATAAATAGCTAGTAAGATAACGTTAATATAACGGTAACTAACATTACAGTATGTAAGTAATTATTCTAGCGATATATAATGCTAGATAAGGTGTGCTAGTCCATTATTTCAGCAACATGACAAGCCAGTGAATTAGCAGGTTTCAATTGTTGCTTAGCAGAGTGCGTGACATTTTATCTACATGTTATGCGGCTAGAGTTTTGACACCGAGTCAATGGGCTCTGTGTCATTCTTTCTTTTTCGCTTGTTTATCGTCATCAGTCTTTTTCCTTTTACCTCTTTGTTTTATGAGCAGGTGTCACTCGAGAATTGGCAGTTTAGGTTGTTTCTCCGTCATAAGCACAGCTGCAGCTCGCCGGCAAACTTGAGTTTGAACGACGGCTCGCGCTCTGGCGCTCGCGCTGTGCAAGAGAGGGGTGTGTTCAGCGCGTACACGAGCGTGATTGACAGTGCTAAGACAATCCTCCTGGCTCTGATTGGTTGTTTCTGACCGGGAGCGTGTATTTCTTGCAAATGGCAATAGGACCACTGGGAGGAGCCAGAAGAGCTTGATTTTTACACAGATTATCTGTCTCATATTCTACTGTCAGGACATAATGACAGTTTTAGCAAATACATGTTTTCAAAAGTTACTACAGGAGCTTTAACTGAACTACTACAAGTAATAATAAAACAACTTTTAACATTGGGCTGTTTATTTGAGTGTCCCAAAACAAAACCTGTTTGGAAACTTACAAAACATTTGTTTTGCAATTTCGTTTAATGAAATGACACATACCAAGACTAATGTCCAGCCTCTTTTCCAGGAGGAAGATATAACGTTATGCATGGAGCCAGAACCAGTGACTTTAATTCCATCTCCAATGACGCAGAGAGAGGAAGTGACCTCAATGGGAGGAAGCAGTCCAGGTCAAACCCCTGGAGATTTTATCACAGAGCGAAAGGCGTCTGATGTCTCACCGTCTGTAATTGAAGAGCTTGAAGAAAAGGAGGAGGAGTCCGAATCCTTGCCTGTAGACATCAGAGCAACCAACTAAGTGGCCGGCGAGAGACTTGAGCTGGTTTTGACAGACATTTCAATCAGCATAATCAAACAATATCAACTCCTATTTCAGGAATCAAACACTATTGTGAAATTCAAGTGACTGCTCGAACCCAAAATGGAAAAGCAGAACTGACAGTTACTGCAACTGCGTACGTGAACATTATGATTTTTTAAGCCTTATATTATGGATGTTTGAAAAAGGAAGGGACAGAATGGAGTTGGGAATTCCTTGGGACTGGGAATGGAGAGAATGAGGAAAACTCACCAAGAATGGAGCGATAGAGATGGAGGTATGTAATTCAGGAAGATGAATATGAAGAACATTCGGTTAAATATGTGCATGCTTGAGTGATGGCTCTCGTTATTCAAAATAAAGACAATAAACTATAGTTAATAAACCATAATGATGATAATAATACAATTATTTTCTAAGAAAACAAAAAAAAACAACGAAATATATAATTGTAAAATAGACAGTAACATAAGCTTTTTCCATGCCCTTCATGCCCTCCAGAACTTCAGACACTTACCATAAGATATCGATGTAATTTGACCACACATTCTCTTTTCCTCTTCAACTACATTTGGCCTTTTTTGAACGTTTTTGACGCTATTAGGTGGAACACAAGTTCAGTGTTTCAGGGCTGTGAAATGTGGAAATCGTTCAACTGAAACAAACCACTGCACAATCTACACAATTCTGTCTGCTGCTTATATTATATGCAAGGTATTCAAGCCCTCATAGACTCAAATACACATAAAGACGCGTGCATAGGGTTCAAAAGTTTGGGGTCTGTAAAGTTTTTTTTTAATGTTTTTGAAGGAACCTTTATAAAAAATACAATACAACAAAAACAGTAATATTGTGGAATATTATAACGATTTAAAATAATCTTTTTCTATTTTTCTATATTTTAAAATGATGTCATTTATTCCTGTTATGGCAAAGCTGAATTTTCAGTATCATTACTCCAGTCTTCAGTGTCACATGACCCTTCAAAATTATTTTAATATGCTGATTTGCTGCTCAAGAAACATTTCTTATCATTATTATCAACTGTTGAAAAGAGTCAATATTTTTGTGGAAACGGTTATAGATTTTTTTTCAGGATTCTTTGACGAATATCAAGTTAAAAAAACAGCATTTACTTGAAATAGAAATCTTATAGAAATGTCCTTACTGTCACTTTTGATCAATTTATTTATTTTAAATTGAACACACAATATAGTAGCTTATTCAAAGGAAAGAACAAATGACACATACACACAAATCTTATTGACCCCAAACTTTTGAATGGTAGTGTACAAATATATATACACTATACTTGTGCTCTACAAAGGCCAAAATGCTGTACCTACACCAACACTGGAACCAAGAAAAAAAACATTTTAATGCTTTTTTGCCTTTGTATGACAGCAGACTATCCTATTGTTCTTAAGCTAATTATTAAATCCCATCCTAACCCCATTTTGATTCAAGTAGTACGAACTGTCACAAGTTGGTTTTTAGGAGATTTTGCTATATGTTTTAAAGATTTATTTTTGGTTTCACTTTATTTTGATGGCCCCTTTAACACATTCTGTTGACTATAATTAACATTGCACCAACATAACTCTAGTTAGAGTGTTAGTAGACTAGGTTAGGGTTAGAATAAGTTTATATGGAGTTGCAAAGATGCTTATAGTCAGTAGAATGTCTGTTGGGGGAGCATCACAATAAAGTGTTAGCAGATATTTTGCAGATGGTTTACTAATACACTGAGTTAGAAGAAATATAGTTGCAACGTTACTTAGTCAACAGAATGTTCAAAAGGAACCATCAAAATAAAGTGTTGCCTTATTTTTTGCCCTCACAAGTGTAATGAAACAAGCTTTTTCATCCATGTACGACGTACACACGGATATATTTCATACTGGATTGTGACATAGCGTGCTTCCTTCTCTGTGTGTCGTTTGGCATGATGATGTCTGTCATTGTACTCTGGAGTCCTATACAACACTTTATAGATATTTGCACTGGACCTCTGAGCTTACTCTGTGAGCTCTGTGTGTTTAGAGATTTGATTAGCTGCTTAAAGGAGAGAAACGTTTGAAAAACCTTTTTGCACTTGCATTGGTTGTTGGGTGAAGGACATATGCCTTTTTGATTGGAAACTAATTGGTTTATGCGACAAAGTCACACTTTCCATTGTATTTGCAGAATTCTGATTTCCCATTTTCTTTTACTCGCATGGATTTCTTTTACTCGCATGGATTTTGTTTTCTTTGGTTTAGTAAAACCTTGCCTGTATGATTCAGAAATATTTAGATTAAATTAATTCGGATCAAATTATCCTTATCCTATACAGTAAAGTCCCCCCCCCCCCCCCCCCCCCTTCAGAACAGTCCTGTTGGCGACTCATACCTGTATTTCTTGTGCCACTTGCAGGGTCGGTTCTTGATGATTATTTTTATAATAAAGCATGTCATAATTTCTGATTTAAAACACGTATTCCATTGCCTACAATTCTTTTCACTAAATAAAAAGAGGAGAATAGAACAGGGCCTGGATCCACATACTGTAAATATCCTTTATCAAGATTTCAATAAAAAAAAAAAGTCTGAATGAGAATGGAGTTGATCCGAGTTGAAAGTGACCTCATGAACAACTCAGGCCATATGGAATTTTGAACTGCACAGGCGTCTTCCTGTTTGTCATGGTCACTGACTATTACAGTCACTATGACGCTAAACTTTGTGTTGACTGTGTGTTTGTACGAACGTGAAGCATATGCATAGAAGTAGGAGAAGCCCGGTTCAGAAACAGAAACTACATCATTCTGCATTGTGATGTCATGCATGAGTCACTAAGAATTAAAAAAAAAAAAAAGAAGAAGAAAAAAAGGCAACTGTCTGTTTTTTTTATGACTGTTTCTTTGGAGGACACAGTACACCTTTGATGATTGAGAGTAATACAAACTTGGTGGCAAGAATAGCGTTAATAGCTATATGAAGTGTATTGACTTGAATGAATTTATTTACTGACTGATTATTTATGCAATGTTGGGACAATGTTTATTTTTCTACAGAATTGTGTGCACTCCCTCCTGTATATGTTGGGGTACATATTATTTCACTGCTGGGTTCCAGAGGAAGATCTGACAGATTTTTGTGTACAGTATAAAACATTTCTTAAACATCTCACTGTATGTCATAAGGTTAATGTTTTAAAATAATGTTTTATATTATATAAAATCACAGTGTCGCAGTCCAAGCATAAAACTGCAGCATAACTGCTGAATCTTTATTCAGTGTCATAAAGTTCTTATATTACACGAAGCATACAGAACTCCAAAAGTTGCTCACATGAAATAATATGCCCATTTATTTATTTAAGAATTATATAGGGGAGGGGTTTAACTTTGAAGCCTGTGTGATATCTATTTTGTTATTTTGCTATTTGTTATCTTTTGTTGTAATGGTATCACTCTGGTTTGGTGAGAATGTCATACGTGGTCATCCATCTTCCTCAGGTTTTATTTATTTTGTGACTCATGAAGCAAAATGAAACCCAAACCTAAACGTTTCCATCTCTCATATGCTCGTATAGACCATAGACTGTAAAAAAATGGTATAGACCCCTGTATAGACCTTATGCACCAGAGAAACGAGGGCGCTGCCATCTTTAGAATATTGTCTTTGAACTTCCGTTTTTGCGGTTGCTCTGTATATTTCTATGGCATTAGCCTGACTTCGTCATACTCATATTCTAGTCAGAATGTGAGTCTGATACTGCTTCATAGGGCTTTGATTATGAGGCGTGTCTTAACCGAACCAGGAAAAAAAACTGCACTCAATTGGATAGACCTACAACCAATGAGAGCAACGCAGTAAGTCAACTACTTTGCATAGCACAGTTGTCAACTACAGAACTCAAATGCACGCAAGCTGGAAGAAGTAAAATAACGAGTGTTGCTTCTTTAATTTGTCCTCTATGAGTGCGACCAAAAGAGAAACCACAACGAGCACAGGTTTTCATTGCGTCCCATCTTCTTAGTTACCATCGGAGCCAGCTGATAAATTAAATTTTTGCCGAATCCCATAGGAAGGAGGCAAACACATCTTTCCGATTGACAAATGCTTTGATTGCAGTTCTGTGTTCGTCTTTTAAAATGAATGCGCTGTCGATTTCTTTTACAACAGACGCGATAGCGGAATCTATAGCCTACATCTCAGTTCTCCTGCTGCAGTCATCTTTGAGGGAAACCAGTTCAACCCAAGCGCTCTTTGATAACGTGAGGATTACGTCCCTGCAGATCATCTGTCCATCATCGTATAAAGCCCGCCCTGGCAATTTGATTGGCCCGACGATTTCTGAACCGATCATAATTACTCCTCAATGGAGCGAGTCCAGACCGAACTTCCCGATCAAAAAATGTTGTGGGCGGGGTTCGGGCTGGCATCCAGGCTACTATGGCATCGCTGTCCAGGAGTAATTAGCTGGTGAAGTTGATTTACTTATTGTAGAGTTAACGAAAGTTAGCATGAGCATTGTAATGTTTATGATAAGCATTGTAAAGCATATGTCTTAACAAATGGACCTTGGGAATTTTTTTTAACGAGCCCGTTCATTCATAACTAGGCAAGATCATAGGCAAGATCGCTGTGAAAATACAGACCGGAAGTCAAAAGACAAAACTCAGCGCGGAAAGGGGGCGTGGCTACATAAGGTCTTCCGAATTCAGTTCCGCGAAATTTATTTCGGACAGTTCAGTTCAATGAACCGATTAAAATATAGTTTGGTTAGCACAATGACAAATATGTGGATAGGCTATAGCTGATTAACATTTTATTCAATTAAATAACAATATATTCATTAGAGTTTGACAATGATGTGCAAACGTGGAAGTTTTGCATGTCTAAATGAATTAACTAGTCAATCAACTCACCTTTTTACAGAGAAACTGACATTTTCGCTCCCTCATTCAAGTCCTAGACCACGCATTCTCGTAGTATTGCATCTCATATCCGCAGACGTTTCCGAGTTCAAACGGTTTTCTCAGTTTGACTCGAGAACTGCCGTAATCAGTCCCGTCTTTACGGTATGTAATTACAAGTTTCCTACTTTGTGAAACGTGTTCACGTCATCACTCGTATAGTTATTACTTATAGTATGAACTTTATTGATTTTGTGCGCTCATACTATATGTTAAATATATCCAAAGTTCACAACACACACTTGTCATCTCGTGCAAGTAGACCTAAGCTATGAAAACATTTATTTATCCCATCACAGACTCACTCTTTCTCATTTCATACAAACACAGCTGGTGCCATCTTGCATTTCAGTCACTGATTGTATTGAAAATAACCTCGGAGGACTTCAGTTTTACTGTAAAGCGGTTGCAGTGTTCATTTAGACCGGTTTTGTACGTTGTAATGGAGGATTTGAGCTGGTCATTATTGCCAAACAAATCTTTTACGATAACAAGAACGCTCTGACTGTACATTATTTCTTATTAAGCCATACATAGACGTACAATGTCACCTGAGGGATATGAAATGATGACCTTTATATTCCTCATTCTGGATGATCTGACAATTGATTAATTCATTGTCAATTCAAGAGCAATTTCATTATTTACTCTGTTGTGCCTGTAATCCCACTACCATATTTCACCTTTCCATCTGAAAAAATGCCTCAAAGATTTCAACCATATAACCAACCAACATGCCAATCACACGAATCCAGGTAATACTACTGCAACCAAAGGAGTGATGTCATGTGCTCTTTTATTGCTTTTTATGTAAGATAAGGTATACATGAATGAATAAATAACAAAAAGCCAAATGTACTTAATTGGATGTAGTTGTTTATCATTTGTGTTTACAGACTAATTTCAAATGGATTTTTTTGTACGATTCTACTGCCATCTTTCACAACAAAACTTCTGTCAGTTGGCATGATGCTGTAACCGGTCCTTTGCTCTACCTATCTCCCTTCTTTCTGTGAACTTGTCTTTCTCTCCCCCTTTCCCTTCGTTTGTTATCTGTCTATAACTCAAACCCTGTGTTGTCTCCTCTTGGTGGAAGAATCCTATTCAGAAAAAGTAATACTTTGGATAACAAAACACTGTCATGATCAAATTTATGATTCAACATGTTCAGCAAACTATACAGACACAAATCCATTGATGTGGGACTGACTGCGCTATAAGAGGTGTGATATAAAAGTGCTCTGTGACACGTACTGTACATCTATGCATGCTTTACTGAAGGTTATAAGATGGTTCTTCCAATGTGCTCTTCCTCGTCCTCCGTCGAACTCTCTCGCTCTTACCCATCTCTTCTTCCTGCACGAACAAAACACCTCCCTGACCTTCAAGAATATTGCTATTTGTTTATTTTTCCCAAAAATAATGAAGAAACAAATAAATGAAGCAAACAAAGCCTTATTGCGCACTTTGTGTATTTTTTAAGACGTGGCAAAAAAGCCTGCATGCTATTGAGACCATTAGAACACAATTATAGACAAATAAAAATTCATCTGATATTCATCAATACAACAATCAAAGATCCAATGATAAAAGTAATGACTTTGCAGCTTTAATTATGTAGTAAACAAAACTGTTTCATAACGAATGACTAGTGATTAAAGGAATATTCCAGGTTCAGCATAAGATAAGATCAAATTACATTATATGTATCATAATGTCAATAACCCCCAAAACTAGAGGTAAAACAAAAGAAGTAAAAATGTGGGTTACAGTGAGGCATTTAAAATGCAAGTGAATGGGGGAAATACATTTATGTTAAAATATTCACTATTGTAATATTATAGCCATATGATGTAAAAACTATGCGTTAACATGATTTTAGTATGGACAAAATAACTTAAAACAGCTAAAATATAAAATATGATTTAAACTGCTTTAACAAATTAATGTTAGTGCTTTTACAAAAGAACAAGCTTCTTATTTCCGCCTTTAAATCCAAACATTTGTGCCGTTCACTTCCATTGTAAGTACACTGTAAAAAGTGATATGATCAATACGTTATGACAACATATATTTTTTACATTGCTTTAACTCGTAAAAAAGTTGAAAATTGCTTAACTTATTTTGATAAGTTATACAAGATTCAATTAATTTTCTTAGTCAGTTTAATGTAATTTAAGTTGAAATTACTTAAACATCCAAGTTGATTGTACTTAATTTAAGGTAGCAACTTTTTTACAGTGTACCTCACTGTAACTTTGATTTTTATTTTTATTTTAAGAAAAGGAAAGAATTTGTTTTTGTGGTAATTAACATTGTCACAAATTCTGTTAATTAAACCAGTGTTCTTCTAGTATTATGTATATACTATTATAGCATCTATTAACATTTTGAATTAGCTTATTTTTATATCATCAGTTTTCATTTGAATACTTTTGTGATTCTGAGTTGATTATTTTATTTCTATATATCTTTTTTCTTATATTTTTCTTCAACTTAAACATATTTGAACTGAACTTTTTCATCTAATATTAACATTTGATTTCATTTCAATTACCGAAAACGATTTATAACAATCATAGTTACCAAAAACAACACTGTATTGAACCTTGAATACTCCTTTAAATGTCACATTTACAGTAAAAAAAAAAAAAAAAAAAAAAGGAGTTTTTTTTAAGGGTCAGATCAGGTATAAATAGCTCAAGGTAACAAATCTTTCATTTTTACAAACATTTTTACAGTGATATAATAAGAAGTACAGCAGACAAACATTGGGATGGATTGGCAATGAGAGGGGAAGACATTCAGTGAGATGTGTCAGACCGACTGTCCATATGTACATACTTAACTGAATAAAAACATGTAGAAAGAAGAGTCCAGTCCAGAGAGTAGAGAATAAACCAAGTCAGATTGTGCAGCGACCCATGCTGGGCTCAAAGGCAGCACCATAATATGGTTTGCCTCCCCCTGGAGGGCTGAATTTGAGTAAATTACAAAACAATAGACCTATAAAGGCTCCTCATCACTCTCTCTATCAGCATCCGCCTCCGTTTCAGGCACAGGATGAAGAGAGGAGAGAGGGAGTGTGGAAGAAGGGGAAGGCAGTTGCTCCTGAGAGGTGCTGACGGCACTTCTGCTGCTGTTGCCCGTGGCGACATCACACTCTTTCTCCGCTTTCTGGATGCAACTTCTAACCGACTCGTCTTCAGTCTCTCTTTTCACTCCCTCGCTCCACAGCTCTCTGTCCCGTGTGGGAGAGGACTGGACGGAAGGGGAATGAGAAGGCTTTTTGGCCTTGCGTCTCGCGTCTCTGAAACTGGCCAGAGGGGGACGCAGTCGCACTCCGCTACGAGTCGAACCCTCGATCGCTTTCTGGAGCTGGGTGTGAAAAAGAGAGGACAGCAGAATTATTTACTCAGACACACCAGCATATGACAGAAAGAATGTAAATATAAATGTAGACACAGGCGATAAATCATCTTTACCTCTTTAAGTGCAACCACCCCGACCAGTTTACCAATACTGGTTACATATGCATGACTGAGACCCAGCAGAGAGAACAGCGTGTGAGTCTGAAACAAACAAGCAAACATATACTTGTGTGTGTGTACACATATATATATATATATATAGAGTGAGGAAAATAAGTATTTGAACACCCTGCTATTTTGCAAGTTCTCCCACTTAGAAATCATGGAGGGGTCTGATATTTTCATCGTAGGTGCATGTCCACTGTGAGAGACATAATCTAAAAAACAAAATCCAGAAATCACAATGTATGATTTTTTAACTATTTATTTGTATGATACAGCTGCAAATAAGTATTTGAACACCTGAGAAAATCAATGTTAATATTTTTGCTTGCAATTACAGAGGTCAAACGTTTCCTGTAGTTTTTCACCAGGTTTGCACACACTGCAGGAGGGATTTTGGCCCACTCCTCCACACAGATCTTCTCTAGATCAGTCAGGTCTCTGGGCTGTCGCTGAGAAACATGGAGTTTGAGCTCCCTCCAAAGATTCTCTATTGGGTTTAGGTCTGGAGACTGGCTAGGCCACGCCAGAACTTTGATATGCTTCTTACAGAGCCACTCCTTGGTTATCCTGGCTGTGCGCTTCGGGTCATCGTCATTTTGGAAGACCCAGCCTCGACCCATCTTTAATGCTCTAACGGAGGGAAGGAGGTTGTTCCCCAAAATCTCGCAATACATGGCCCCGGTCATCCTCTCCTTAATACAGTGCAGTCGCCCTGTCCCATGTGCAGAAAAACACCCCCAAAGCCCCCATGCTTCACAGTAGGGATGGTGTTCTTGGGATGGTACTCATCATTCTTCTTCCTCCAAACACGGCGAGTGGAATTATGACCAAAAAGTTCTATTTTGGTCTCATCTGACCACATGACTTTCTCCCATGACTCCTCTGGATCATCCAAATGGTCATTGGCAAACTTAAGACGGGACTTGACGTGCTGGTTTAAGCAGGGGAACCTTCCATGCCACGCATGATTTCAAACCATGACGTCTTAGTGTATTACCAACAGTAACCTTGGAAACGGTGGTCCCAGCTCTTTTCAGGTCATTGACCAGCTCCTCCCGTGTAGTTCTGGGCTGATTTCTCACCTTTCTTAGGATCATTGAGACCCCACGAGGTGAGATCTTGCATGGAGCCCCAGTCCAAGGGAGATTGACAGTCATGTTCAGCTTCTTCCATTTTCTAATGATTGCTCCAACAGTGGACCTTTTTTCACTAAGCTGCTTGGCAATTTCCCCGTAGCCCTTTCCAGCCTTGTGGAGGTGTACAATTTTGTCTCTAGTGTCTTTGGACAGCTCTTTGGTCTTGGCCATGTTAGTAGTTGGATTCTTACTGATTGTATGGGGTGGACAGGTGTCTTTATGCAGCTAACGACCTCAAACAGGGGCATCTAATTTAGGATAATAAATGGAGTGGAGGTGGACATTTTAAAGGCAGACTAACAGGTCTTTGAGGGTCAGAATTCTAGCTGATAGACAGGTGTTCAAATACTTATTTGCAGCTGTATCATACAAATAAATAGTTAAAAAAACATATATTGTGATTTCTGGATTTTTTTTTTTAGATTACGTCTCTCACAGTGGACATGCACCTACGATGACAATTTCAGACCCCTCCATGATTTCCAAGTGGGAGAACTTGCAAAATAGCAGGGTGTTCAAATACTTCATTTCCTCACTGTACATACACACACACACACACACACAGTTGTGGCCAAAATTATTAGAACGGTAAGATTTTTTAATGTTTTAAGAGAAGTCTCTTCTGCTCACCAAGGCTTCATTTATTTGATCCAAAATACAGCAAAAACAATAATATTGTGAAATATTTTTACAATTTAAAATAACTGTTTTCTATTTGAATAAATTTTATAATGTAATTTATTCCTGTGATGGTAAAGCTGAATTTTCAGCATCATTACTCCAGTCTTCAGTGTCACATGATCCTTCAGAAATCATTCTAATATGCTGATTTGCTGCTCAAGAAACATTTATTATTATTATCAATGTTGAAAACAGTTGTGTTTTTTCAGGATTATTTGATGAATTGAAAGTTCAAAAGAATAGCATTTATCTGACATAGAAAGCTTTTGTAACATTATCACTACTGTTCAAAAGTTTGGGGTCAGTAAGAGTTTTTTTTAAAGTTTTTTTAAAAAGAAATTAATCATTTTATTCAGCAAGGATGCATTAAATTGATCAAAAGTGACAGTATAGATATTTATTATGTTCTAAAAGCTTACTATTTCAGATCGATTGAAATAAAAATTGATAATAATAAACATTGATGATAATAATAAATGTTTCTTGAGCAGCAAATCTGACTGGAGTAATGATGCTGAAAATTCAGCTTTACCATCACAGGAATAAATTACATTATAAAATATATCCAAAAGAAAACGGTTATTTTAAATTGTAAAATTATTTCACAATATTACTGTTTTTGCTGTTTTTTTGGATCAAATAAATGAAGCCTTGGTGAGCAGAAGAGACTTCTTTTAAAACATAATAGTAATTAAACGCACGCAATTAATTCAAAATCCTTAACGCTTTAAAATAATTGAATGCAAATAAATGAATTCAGGTGACGCGGCCCCAAATCAGTGTTTTATTCACAGTGACTCTGAATTTTATAATGCATACAGCTCCAAAAGTTGGACTAAAACCAGTGTCATCTTGCTTGATTTGTGAATCACTTATTTTAGATTGAACCTGATTTGTGAAAATTGCATTTTATCGCATTTGTTTCTCACTGCTCTGTCCTTTTTTTCTTGTGTAATAATGGCAAACAGGCAGTGCCAATGAATAACGGTCCAAGCCTTTAGATAAATCAGCTTATTAGTTAAAAAAATGCTCATCTATTCGGGTCATGCTAGGCTCAAATAGACTATCTGTGATTTGTGAAATATTTCACAATACATTTGTGGTCCTTAACTTCAATATTCCGAATCACGAAAGGTTTCAAAGTCGAGTTTTTATCAGTTAACCCTTTCCTGAGTCTTTAACTTCACTATTTTGATTTGTGAAAACTTGCACTGTAGAGTTTTAGTCAGTTAACCCTTCACTGAGTGAATACTTCCCTATTCTGATTTGTGTAAAAATTTGTGAATGATTGGTATGCTTAATTTCATGTGTGTGTGATTAATCAGAAGAAGAATATACAGTATATATATATATATGTAGTATAAAATCACACACACAATATATAAATATGTATTCATGTATATACATTTTTTGAAAATCATGTTAAAAATAATACTTGACATTTATATAAGATTGAAAAACTAAACATTAACATGAAATAAAAATAATAACAAATAAATTTTCATTATATAGAATTGTTATTCTAATAGAATCCTGTATTCTAGTAGAATAACAGAATCCTTATTCTAATAATTTTTTAAATATTGGAAAAATATTTTAACACTTTTTAAATCTCTTTTTTAATTTGTTTTGGGGCATATATATGTATATATTGTGACAGATATTTCAGTTTTTCCATATCCATAAAGGAATGGAATTAAAAATCCTATGTATATAGAAAAACTGTGACAGATATTTCACTCTTACAATATAAACTCCTGAATGCAGGAAATAATGATGTTTATTTATTTATTAATTTTTATTTTAAAAAAAAAAAACATTTCCCAGAGGGCATGAAATAATGAGAGCTTTGGACTGACATTCACATACAGATTCATAAGACTAATTCATAATTCACTTGGAAAGATATAAATCCTCAACATAATACACAGTATTTCATATGTGATCTCAATCGGATTGTGGATTACCTTATGCAGAGATGTTCTCTCAACCAGCTGAAAAGGTGAGGGGTCAACACGGATCTGATCAATGTCAATCGGCTTATCCAGCTCTTCCTCTTCCCAGGCTTTGATCTGAACACCCCAATACAACATAATCAGGGTCACTGCGAGTGACTGACAGCTCACAGATGGCTCTGGAACTGATGTGCTAATTGTGTCCGTCTGTCTGAACTGCAGTGGTAATAAATCAATGCATCACTCTACCTCTTCAGGAGTCATGTTATCATCTACAGGAGGAGCTGCAGGGCTCTACAGAGAGACACAAACATACAGAGGAATGACAGGAAGACGGAGTGTCGGAAGCAGCACATGAATGTTTGGAGGATAACATCACAATTCACAGTAAAAATAACCCCTTGAATTTTTCATCCTGTTTTGCGAATCTAAATGCCCCACACAGCATATTTGACGCCACCTGCAGGTGAGAGCTGATAACTGCTCTCAGTGAAGTGAACAGGACAAAACGTGTCACTCACAGCCAGCTTTTAAAACGCAAAAAACCCAGTTTGTGTTTATAACAAAAAAGTGAAAGAAAAAAAACAACAGCTTTGTCACAATTATAGCAGAAAGACTGGAAATTGGACATAAATATTTACAATGGAAGTCTATTAGGCAAGACATTGAACCGGGATAAAAAAATAATGTAATATATGATTTATTTAGTCACAACAACGTAACTATATTATCACCCAGCTCTTTATAAAAATTGGATATATAAGAGTGTTCTACTACATATGCATACAGGACACACAAGTAAAGCGATATATATATATATAATTTCAATGTTTGTTTTGTTGCAAAATGTAAACGGTATCATCTGCCTGGAAAGCTGCTTTGAAACAATGTCTATTGTGTGCTATAGAAATAAATGTATAATCACTATATAAATAAATTTGAATTAAATATAAAGAAATACAAAAACAATTGCTTAACAACTTTGTCTGAGCAAACCTTTGCATATCTAAACTCCTGTAATGTCAATGTAAAGCCGATAAACCTGTAATGCATTAATAGACTTCCATTGTAGGACCATTACTGTACACAAGACTTTGTTTGTTTGTTTGTTTCACAAAATGAGGGATAAAATTATCATCTGATCAACAGCATGTCATAGATGATTTCCTGCTTTAAAATGCACTCATGTTTTCAGTAAGTGACACATCTCTAGGTTGTTCTGCCTTGGTAATGACAATCATGTTAAAAGACACACCTCTGGCTCAGTCTGCCCTGATGAGGAAGACGAGGAGAAAAGACGACGAAGTGTCCTCCTCATGGACTGCAGGGCACCTGTTAGGATCAACTTAAACAGGTCAGTGTTGATATCACAAACCTCTTCTGGTAAACATTTAGCTGGAATGAATGAGCTCCATGAATGCATTCTAACACAAAGTATGGTGAGTTGGTGTAGAGTTGGTTGTCGATTAGATAAAACCTCTGGGTAACATGTATAAACTCACCAGATGTGGTGTGATTAGTGGAGATGTCTGTGGTTTTAGGGGACCCCAGTGGGCCGTTACGCTCTTCAGAGACTGTGTTACCCTGTTAATCATTTTAGTTACAGTGTAAGATTAGTACACTCGGATAATTTGCTTGGTTTTTTAGAAAAGAACATTGATTTGGCATAAAGCTCTGCTAATTGATGTCAGATCAGAGAACTTAAAATCAACCTCTGAGCAAAAAACAAAAACAAACACATTCTCTTTCTAGGAACAGCAGTGTGTGAGAAAACTTCGAGAGCTCCTCTCACCTTATCTCCATTCTCCTCTCCGACCTCCTCATCCACAAAGGCGAAGGACTCCCAGCTGACCTGTGACCCCGGGCTGGGCACGCCCTCACCTCGGCTATAAACCCGCCTCTCGGCTGAGAGCCACCAATCAATGGCGGCCTGAAGTTCACATCTCTCAATTGAGCCCAACAGAATCATTGACTCTGGGAATGGAAAAAGAATTTACATTTACATCAATTTAAAATATTCACAGGAATCATGATCACACACCTACACATGTTACAAGATCCTGTTGAAAAGTCTAGCTTAGTTGCTCATCAGCAGCTTTTTAACTGGATGTTGGATGTTCGAGTAACTAAAATCAACTTGCATTGATCTATCTTAAAATATGTCACTGCCATTGTTTTGTCTCAAGATGCACACCAGTTCCAAGGCATATTTATAAAAGCTACATAAATGTCCTAATTGGCCTAATCCTGGCTTAAACTAAAGCCCTGTTTGTGAAACCGGCCTTTACCTCACACTTGTGACTCATAATTAAGATTGTTAAGATGACTATTATTTTTAACTTTATCTCACAATATATATATATATATATATATATATTTATTCTGCAGCGATAGGGCTTCCATATTATATCTTGCATTCTGACTTTATACCTTATAGTTGTGACTGTTTCTCGCAATTGAGACTTTATTTCTCACAATTGTGACTATTTCTCTTAATTCTTTCCCCGCCATTGACTGAAATTTCCGGAAATCCATGATTTCACTGTTGTACGTTAGGGTGCGCGCACTATTACGCATCTTCTGAAATAGTGCTGAATCTCCGGATCAAAACATGTAAAGAAGCAGCAGAGACGAGCATTGCTTACGTGTAGCGCGACCATCAAACATTAAACAGCATATAAATCAATGCCAAACGGTATTGAATGAAATGTCAAACCCACAAATAGGTATATGACTGTGCAAGCTTTGGGGGTGTTGATGGACACGAACTCCACGGCCTGTTTTCATGATCATCGTTCTGAATCCAATCCAGACGTAGTCGTCAACAAAAACGTGATTTTGCGCAACTTTTTGTTCAAAATGTATCTTTTTGAAACTTACCCACATTTAAGTGTTCATATAAAATGCATGCAAGGTTCATGACATGAAGCAAGATTTTTTTTTTTATATATATATATATATATATATATATATATATACCGTATATATATATATATATATATATAAATATTCTTTCTTTTGATATATGTGACCCTGGATCACAAAACCAGTCATAAGTCGTATGGATGTATTTGTGGCAATAGCCAACAATACAGTACATTGTATGGGGCAAAATTATCGATTTTTCTTTTATGCCAAAAATCATTAGGATATTAAAGCTGCCGTCGGCAACATTTTTTTGATCATATTCAGTGAAATCGACACTATAATCTGACAGAACAACATAAATAAAGTGGTTTTAGAAAAAACCCCGAGCTTCTAACTCCACCTGGAGCTTGTTATTTGTTTTGCAAAAATCCACAGCTCCCGGTTCATCATGTCCAATCAGCGCAGGGGGGGGTGAGATCTGACTGTCAATCGCAGATCGGGCACACGCCACCCCTCGCGCACGTTACAATCACATGCACACGCCTGAAGTTCGCGGAAGTTCGCGCAGTAACGAAGAGTGATGGCGGAAAATCAAGTAAGCTCATTTAGAGTATAAATGACGTTAGCAATTGCAATCTATCGGTACATTAGCCAGGACAGCATACCTCCAAATACTCCATGGTGTTGATGGATGCTGATGAGACGGGCGCGTTCCAGGGCTCTCAAGTTTTGAAGACAGGTAAGAGTGACACCCAGCCGACGGGGGTTGGATACATTTTTGTCATTGGTTGTTGCGTTAAATCTTACCCAGATACAATGGTGCTATTTTCTGATTGGCTATTGTGTAGCTCGACGAACAACACCAGAGAGAGGAAACGCGCTTGATTCATGCCGGTTCCACAGTGAGAGCGGTGCGGCCAGAGTTTTTGGCGCTGCGGCATATTAAATATATTACAAATAGTTTTTCAGCGTGAGAAATACAATGTGTGGCGGGAGAGCGTGACAAAAGACCGAAATGAGTGACTGTCACGCTCAATGCGTGACACTTGAGACTGAGAGCCCTGGCGTTCACTGAAAATCTGGTGCACACGCACTGACGAGCATGAACTGGGTGGGAGGGTATCCGTTGATAGTGGGGGAGGGGCATGAGAGTTGTAAACATTAAAAATTTTCCTAAATCCACTCAATCTGCCAGACTTGCCGACTGCAGCTTTAAAAGTTTGTCAATCGTACGTCATGTTTCATGATGTTTCAAGATCATGTTTCATGAAGATATTTTGTAAATGTCCTACCGTAAATATATAAAACATTTATTTTTGTGAGTGAATGCAGCATAATCACGAACATAAATGGACTACTTTAAAGGCCATTTTCAGATTGTTTTTGCACCCTCAGATTCAATTAGTTGTATCTTGCCCAAATATTGCCCTATCCTAACAAACCATACATCAATGAAAAGCTTATTTATTCTGCTTTCAGATAAGCTTTTATGTATAAATCTCAATTTTAAAAAATTGACCCATGTGACTACATACATATTCTAGGGGCCATGAAAGTTTTGTAAAAACAATCAAAATGGCTGGCTGGCAATGTAAAACAACAAACAAAAAAACACTGACAGGGAAAGAGTTAATTGTGACTTTATATCTGATGATCTGACTTTATATATCATAACTGAGAATGTATTTTGTTTCTTGTAACTTTGACTTTATTTCCCATAATCAGACTACTTATCTCACAATTACAGTGGAAATAGTCTTCCATAATATATCTTTGGAGTGACTTTATATCCGTTTCTCCTAATATCGCACAATGTGACTTTGTATTTTAAAACTGCAACTATTTCTTATAATTGCGACTTATTATGTGACTTCATAGTTCATACACATAATTATTATTTTTTTCACCCACATACAGTAAATGTTTTTATCCACCCAACACAGACCTTTGGAGTCAACGAGCGGGATGGTTTTGAGAGACGTGGACTCCAGCAGATCTTTCAGCTCTCTGTAAGTGGACTGAGGTGACAGAAACTTTATTTTCTTCACCATGATGTCCTCCACAAAGATATTATATTTACTGCCACGCAGAGAAAGAGAGACACAGATATTTTATGTCAAGAGCCAAGGTAGTTTCTGTCCATCATTTTTTCATTTCCCTTGAATGGGACATAAAGAGCCACATCATCAAACAAACAAGTTATACTATTTGAAGGGAAACAAAGGTCAAAGACACTATCATCAATTCAGATCCAATATCGCATCTAAATGCGTCAGTCTCCAGAGGTCTAGTAGATGTACCTGATGTGGCCAATGCCGAGCTCTGGGAGATAGGGCAGCTTTTTGACCTGAATGATGGAGTCATAAAGAGACGGCTGTAGACCCTGTGCCACCATGTTGGCAAGAATAACGGCCACCATCATGGGCAGGATGTGAGAGATTTGACCCGTCAGTTCAAAACAGATCACTGCAGTTGAAACGGTGTGTGTGACTGCTCCTGTCATAGCTGCTGCCCCTACACACACACACACGGACAAGCAAAGCATCAGATTTAGAACATTTTAAAGGCGAAGCACATGAGAAGTATAAATCTGCTACTATAAGAGTAAAAAGGGATTTTAGGGGTGTGAAGGATTGGCTGGAAGGGGAATATTTGCAGACCTATCACTGCGTAGCCTCCAGGCAGGATTTGGTACACGATCCCATCAAACATAATTCCATTCGGGAAAAGCGTGGCCATGATCTCACCCACCAAACGGCCGAATGCTGCTCCTGCTTGTTTCAGAAACATTATCATATTATCTCAGTCACATTACAATTAAAAATGATCTTATTATCTAATTATTTTAACCCTATACAAATTTCTAAGGCTTTTAAATTATCAACATAATCAAAACTTTGCTGAAAAACCTATTGCACGCAATCTTCTACATGACTTCTGTCCTCTGATTGATTGTTCATACATTTTCAGCTAATGTCTCTAAAAATGCCTCTAAGTATAATTCGAAAAACATCAAAAAGTTACATTTTATGCTTAAAAAAAAAAGGAAAGGAATGACTGACCCAATATAAAAACAGGCATGAAAGCTCCAGAAGGGACCGGCATTGTTGTAGAGACCGCAGACATCCAAAACTATACATGTATGAATGTGGGAGGAAACGGAAATTAGCATTCACACAGCATACGTTATGAAATATGGTTATAGAAATCTTTCCGTAGCAGTCAAACAACAGACGAGCACCTTCATGACAAAGAAGAGGAGGAGGATGACGAAGACGCTGACTTGTGGGTGGAGCCAGGCAGCAGAGCGACCCAATCCGGGAGGGGTCGGTAAACCCCAGATCTTTGTCCAAGTGAAGTTATCAAATAGTGAATTAATGCACTCTCTGGGCATCAGCTGTGTGACAAAAGAGAAACCTTAAACAGAGACTCCACACTTTCTTGCTCTATTGCAGCTCTTTAATGGCAGTGTTGTAGCTTCAAATGAAGTTGACATTCAGAAAGTCAAAACCTTTTCTATTATAGAATGGTGTTGGAACTGTGTATGGATATTAATCTCAATTTAAAGGGGCACTCAGTCATTTTTTGCTAATTACTAGTTTTAAACAAATAATGACCAGCAAATATCCGTAATATGATGAATACTCGCATGAGATTAAGAATCTAGGCATTTGTCTTAAAAAAGCTGTTTCTACATGGAGTGGGTCACCCCTTTGTGGATGCCGCCATGTTTGGGTCACATGACCAGTCATTTCAAATGCATCAAGAGTTACCAATAATTACGATGACCCGCACATGATGTGGGGGGGGAACCAGATATTGTGGCCACAATTTAACTAAATTAAAATTAGGAAATAAATTAGTACCAAGTGGCTAATGATTTAACTAAAACAAGAGAATAAATTAATAAAGCATGGCCATAAATTAACAAGTTGAGAATTGTTCATTTGTGTCCATGATATCCATTTTTTTCTCAGGCGTGTCATGTATGAGGGTCCATAGATAACAGCAATAAGGATAATAATAATATGTGAAAAAACGCCAGTGCTAGATGCGCTTTATAGCATAAACATAAAATCAAATCTAAATGAACACAATATACAGTACACACACACACAGATACAAACTACAAAGATAAACAAGCAAGTGAAACGTAAGAAAACCTTACTGAGTGCACTTTTAAAAGATCCATTTTAAAGCAACACTATTATACCAATAATTTGGTACATGTTCAAAGGCTGTTTTTAAAAATGAGCTCTTGTAAACAAAGGAAACTGGTTAACTGAGTAACACTGCTCTATGGACGTCTACTTAAAAAGTAAATACACACCTCTCCAGCCATGAACTGGCCAAAGCCCGGAGGAAATGTGATGGAGGATATAATTAGTGTCACGGCACCAGGGTAAATCAACCGACTACAACAAACAAACACACACAGATGTAGTTAATTACCACCGTGATGGCGTGTTATAATGATGTTTTGATTTGTATTCATTTGCATTAAAAGTGAAATAGTAGAATAATAAATAAGTATAGAACAGTTTATTTAAAAAAAGTATTCATGTGTAATTGGTGACTTGCTGTTTTGTGAGAAAGCGCGTAAGAGCCGTCTGTCTCCTCATGATCAGAACAACTTGTCTGTTCAGATAGACAAAGAACGCCCCTAGAAAGCCACATGAGATCCTACACACACATACACATTTAGAAATATATCAGCTAAGGAACAAAAATGGCAACATCTATTTGAAGAAACGACAGTTTTACAAAACATTTTCAAACAATGCTACATTTAATGTAAAGGGTTTTTTTAGGGGTGCAAGAACGCATGTATGATGTATACACAAGCATACAGTACATGCACATACACTAACTCACATACACACCCGATTATTGCAAAAGCTGGCAGTTCCTGCAGGTCAAAAGGGAAGTCCATACGGAAGTTTGTACGAAACAAAGCTGTTATCGTGACTGTGGGGAAAAAAAACAACACTTAAGTCATATTCAAGCAAAATCCGGCAAGCAAGAGCGCGGATCAGTGCTGATATTCATAACAACACTAAGATTGAATTTGTGATATTGCTTTTATACTTGAAATAGTTCAATAAACAAGTTAATTATGAGTAATTTACATTTTGAACACAATATTGCCAGTTACTTTGTCTAATTTTGCTCCTCAAATGAAAACCATTCCAAATGAAGACAGTAAAGTAGGATAAAACTTGGTGTCTCCAAGCAACACACTATATTGATGAATGAAACACCCAATAATTCTAAATGAATCTGCAGAATGAATGATTCAGTGACTCACTTATCTAATAGTGTAACAATGTAACCCACAAACATCCCCACCACTAATACACAGACTGCAAACACATACAAAGAATGTAACGTCTCAGTGCTGCTGGATTTTATATCAGCACTTCTGGAACACTCCTTGGCTTATCAAAATTGAGGACCGGAACAAATTGTTGATTAATGTATTTAATTTATAGAGATCAGTAAGCAGTGGACAGCTTGCCATATAACATGAAATTAATTTATTATTCATTTATCATATCTGCTTGTGTGCGCGTCTCACCAGAATCTTTGTTCCACACGGACAGCACTCGGAATATGAAGGCACTGAACGTGGCAGCGAAATATCCTCTCCAGTAATTCCTCACTGCAAAATATGTTGACGTGACCTCAATACTGAACAACACACCTGGGAGACAGAGAGAGCAAGAATAAATATAGATGAAAAAAGAAAGTTAAATAACAGCAGAGCAAGAAGTTCAGAGAGTGAACAGAAGGGTGCAAAAGAGGTGAAAAGTAATAACAACAATCTATAAATAATATTGAATAAATAATAATAAATAAATAATTAGATTGTTAATAAACAATAACGTAAAAATATAGCTGCATGCAGCGATGCAGGGCCAAGCTCCGAGTCCGAAGGCACCGTATTTTAAACAGAGCAAGCACAATAAATACAGCGTGTAGAGCAACCAGATCAAAGTGCATCACACTAAACAGCCAAAGGCTCTACAGTGTGAATCTCAAAAGCACAAAACACATTTTTTTTTAATAAATGCACTGCATTTATTTTAAGCAATGTCTGGAACAGAAGCAACGTTTGGACAATTTCTGGCCATGGTACCTCTTGCAGTCTGGGCATGTTCCACATGGGATTCAAACTAGTGTTGTCAAAAGTACCAACTTCGGTACCAATCGGTCCTGAATTTTAAAAAATGTGACGATACCAGCATTTCCCTCGGATCCCAATTTGAACGGATTTTTAAACACCTCTGGTTGGCCATTGCTTTGATATAATCTGTATTGTAAAAAGCGCTATATAAATAAAGGTGACTTGACTTGACATTGCGTTCACGCGCTCAACATACATGTCTGTGATTGGCTACAATGATCAACGGTTCAAAAACATGTTGTCTTCACCAAGCGCTCTTACACAGCTTTCAAAAGCTCCCGCTTATAGTTCTTTCTGGATGTGAAAATACTCTTTCAAAAGACCAAACTATTAGAAATACATGGCTGAAGTTTATTTTTAACAAAGCACCCGAGCGATTAAACAACAAACTGATTTCTTACTTATGCTGTACGTGCTGACGTTTTTAAAAAATATATATTTTGTGCTGAAATCTAAAGTATTTTGTCCTCTGACTGAGGCAACGACGTTAGGTACATTTATTTATAATCTTTAAGTGTGTTTGTAATAAATATTTAGCTTTTTTATTATGAGACCAAGTGTGTCATTGAGGTCCGCTAGTCAAATCATACTGTACATGGATTAACAATATTTTCTTGAGGTAAATATTGTGTGAAGAAAGCATAGTCAAGTTGAATATATGCTGATGTAGTTTATGCAGTACGTACAGTATATAGATACGTGGTGGATACTGAATAATTAAATTCATGGCAGTGGGCATTTACTTAAGATTTAAGGAATGGCATTTAAAATAAGGATGGAACGAGATAATTTTTTACAAATATTTGAACTTTTTGGTGCTAAAAACTTTGCTTATGTTATAAGCTAACCTCCAGAAACATAATATAAAGGTCTGAAATGCAATTCATGTCTCCTTTAAGCTAAGTATTTTACCATCATCAAAGATCTTAACAAGATCTTAACAAGAGGAAAAAAAATTAAGTTATGCAAGCTCAAAAGGAATTTACATTCATAACACACATATACTTAGAAATCCACATTCACTCTCTAAAAGAACTTAAATGTTCTAGCACACTCTTTATCATGCTCTCCTTCTGAGAATACACACTGTTTAAGATACATAAAACATGCACAGCATATTAATTTATAACACGCGGGTGCTTTTAACTGTGAAGAGTTGATGAGGTTAATTATTCAGCAGACATCAAGCTGAAAGAAAAGGAAGAGGAACTGAAATCAACAGGGACAGAAAGAAGGGTAGATGTTTTACCTCCAAGAGGAGTCCCGAAACAGCAGCCCACCCCAACAGCACATCCTACAGTCAGTATGTCTGTGTAACCATAGGGGTTCTACTGACACCAAGACAGAAAAGAGAGAGAGAGAGAGAGAGAGAGAGAGAGAGAGAGAGAGAGAGAGAGAGAGAGAGAGAGAGAGAGAGAGAGAGAGAGAGAGAGAGAGAGAGAGAGAGAGAGAGAGAGAGAGAGAGAGAGAGAGAGCGAGAGAGAGAGAGAGAGAGAGAGAGAGAGAGAGAGAGAGAGAGAGAGAGAGAGAGAGAGAGAAGAGAGAGAGAGAGAGAGAGAGAGAGAGAGAGAGAGAGAGAGAGAGAGAGAGAGAGAGAGAGAGGGAGTTTGAGGTGAAAGCAAAAAGGAGAACAAGGGTGTTAGAGGGGAGGGAGATGAAGGGATGTAAAGAGAAGAATAGATTTGGAATGTCAGCGGGTACATTGCGTGGGAGGGAGAGAGAAGAAAGATAAGAGAGAAATAAGAAGAAAGAGTACAGCCGAATGGGAAGGAGAAATAAAGGGAATGATGGATAAAAAGAAGCAAAGGAAAAACGAAAGGATTAAGTGAATAAACAATTTTGTGGATTCGTTCAATGTCGCAACGAAAGGCAAACCAAAGCTTTACACACATACCAACTAAGCACAAACACACTAAACAAGAGAAAGGAGATGAGAGAGGAATAAATAATATGTTTTGAACTCTGATGTAGAGTGCATACATGGTACAACGCAATGCATGCTGGGTAAAAGTGGGCGTGACTTGCCTCCCACTGGGGCGGCGAAACAGGTGGCCACTCCCACCGCACAGGCACACACCAGCAGATCCTGAACATGGGCACTATTCTGGGTGATTTGGGTGGGGTTAAAATAACAGCATCAGGACACACACGCATGCCAAAAAAATACCATCACTATTATTACAGACAGACGAAAATAATGAGGTATTAGGGGAGAGACAATGAGACAGGGATAAGACGAGGATACAGGGAATGAGAGCAGAGAAATATGCAATTAGTATGTCTCTAGAATATATTTAAATTCATAAACTTTAGACACGCACACAGATTCTAATATTAAACTGAGTATAACATTCTAAAGCAGTTCTTAACTGTTGATCAGAGACCAGTTTTGGCATCTGTCTACTCATAAAATAACCCGTGATGGTTGAGGGAATTTATATGCCAATGAGAAGTAACTTGATCCTAGATCAGCAATTAAGGTCAGCAACTTCGGTAGAGTAACTCGCATATTAATGCCACACACACACACACGCACGCACGTCGCACGCAAACAAGCTCACAGGGGCTGATTTTTACCTCATACACACCCGTGAAGATGGACATGACTCTGCTCAGCACTGCTGCACATATACTGGCAATATGCACAAAGGGACCCTGAGGATTTAATGGAGCTTATTAATCAATAAAACTGCAGCAGATGAATAACATACAGTATTCTATGAAGAGAATTTATGTAACAAAATTAATTTCTCTGAATTCAACAAAGAGCTACAATTAGTGATAATTAGTGCAACCAGTTAGCAAGATAACTGAACTAATGACAGACAGATAGAGAGGCAGACAGACAGAGATAGAGACAATTATATAGACAGACAGACAGACAGAGACAATTATATAGACAGACAGACAGACAGACAGACAGATAGAGACAATTATATAGACAGACAGACAGACAGATAGAGACAATTATATAGACAGACAGACAGACAGATCGATAGAGACAATTATATGGACAGACAGACAGATAGAGACAATTATATGGACAGACAGACAGACAGATAGAGACAATTATATAGACAGACAGACAGATAGAGACAATTATATAGACAGACAGACAGACAGATCGATAGAGACAATTATATGGACAGACAGACAGACAGATAGAGACAATTATATAGACAGACAGACAGACAGACAGACAGATAGATAGATAGGTAGAGACAATTATATAGACAGACAGACAGACAGACAGATAGAGACAATTATATAGACAGACAGACAGACAGACAGACAGATAGAGACAATTATATAGACAGACAGACAGATAGACAGACAGATAGAGACAATTATATAGACAGACAGACAGATAGATAGATAGATAGATAGATAGATAGATAGATAGATAGATAGAGACAATTATATAGACAGATAGATAGATAGATAGATAGATAGATAGATAGATAGCTAGATAGCTAGATAGATAGATAGATAGATAGATAGATAGATAGATGGATAGATAGAGACAATTACATAGACAGACAGACAGATAGAGACAATTATATAGACAGATAGACAGACAAACAGATAGATAGACAATTATATAGACAGACAGATAGATAGACACAATTATATAGACAGATAGACAGACAAACAGATAGATAGACAATTATATAGACAGACAGATAAATAGATAGACAATTATATAGACAGACAGACAGACATAGATAGAGACAATTATACAGACAGATAGACAGACAGATAGATAGACAGATAGAATTATATACAGACAGACAGACAGACAGACAGACAGACAGACAGACAGACAGACAGACAGACAGACAGATAGATAGATAGATAGATAGATAGATAGATAGATAGATAGATAGATAGATAGATAGATAGATAGATAGATAGATAGATAGATAGATAGATAGATAGATAGATAGATAGATAGATAGATAGATAGAATGATTTACAGTTAAAGACCCAAGTTTTCCCCTTCACTATCTAACAATAGATAGATAGACAGAGAGACAGATAGATAGAGAGATGGATAGAGACAATTATATAGACAGACAGATAGACAAGCAGTCAGTCAGACAGACAGACAAAATCTTCATAAAGTTAATCTTTGTTACAGTAAAAAAAAAAAAAAAGTAATTAACTTATAAAACAATCTACATATTTCAATTAAATGTTATACATTTATATATTAAAATATAGTAAAATAAGTAGAAGAGGTCCACCTCCTTCCCGATGGGCATCCCACTGCCCAGACCAGCCGTAAGACCAATGACTTTAGCCACAAATGCTTTGAGTGTCAGATACTCCTTTAAAACCACACCTCTGAGGATGGTCTTGAGTTCAGGGATCCCAGAGCCTGAGGGACAGATAAAAGAGAGAGCGTGAAATTAATCTATAAAAACACAAACATCATTTTACACAGAGTGTAGATCCTGTCACAGCGATTATTAAAGATGAAAAAGATTGCTGTATATCCTCAAGTCTGATGTGGGGCACATGAGAAAGCTGTCAAAACAATTGTGGCGTAGAGAGGCGAGAGAAAGCAAGAGAAAACGAGACCATGATGATCACATTTTGGAAAGCGGGTAGGAAGATTTGATGTATTGTGGATGGTTGAGAAGGATTGAGGACAAAAAATAGACAAAGATTGAATATAAAGTACAATAGCCAAAAACAGATGACAGAACAGAGAAGGAAGGCCTCATGGATTTGTGACATTGTGAACAGAGATGTAAATAGAAGTGTGGAATAGGTAAAGGACAGAGACAAAAGGAAAGAATATAGGGAAATAAAAGCAAACCTATAGCTTGTGGAGCGACCAGATGACAGAAAAGGGACGCAAACACGATGAGGATGATGGGATATGAGACCCAGGCCAGATACTGCAGAGCCACATTCCCTTTCAGCTCTCCATACATCCACTTATATGCTGTGAGAGAGGGGAAAGAGAGAGAGGTAGAAGAAAAGTTCTAGGACACTTTTTATTTGATCAGGTCCCACTATAAGTGGGGAAGGAAAGAAGTTTAATATTGGGGGAAAAAAAATGTTTTTTTAAATATATTTTTCCAATATTTGTTAACTGATTAACAGGGTTACAAGTACAACAGAGAGATGTCATTTAATTCAATTAGCATCTCAGTTAAAAGACTTAAAGACTTGCATTACTAACTATTATCCTTTTAAAGCCTACTGTATCATATTTAATACACACATTTCTAAGGCCTAAATTATCAACATGATCAAAAACAATCTTCTACTGTACATGCCTTCTTCTGTCTTCTGAATGAGAGTTTATACTTTTTTTTAGCAAGTAAAAAGCCATTTAATATACAGTAGTTGTAAAACGATTCACCTACAAGTCATGTTACACGTCTTTTTGCTGTGAAATCTTTACTGATTTTCATAAAGTAAACATATATTTTATATTGTTAGCGATATTTTAAGATGAATACTTACTGGACTAAAGCGCTTACTTGATCATCCATTAATCAATTTTAGAAAACTCATGTAAAATGCGAGTATCAAATATGACACATCAAGGTTTTGAGGAACATTTATTTGTTCATCTCTCAACCATCATTGCGTTACATTTTATGTCTTCATCTTACAACTGGTGTTTATATGCATTTTATGTAAGCGGTCTGCTATACTGTTATAAAGACCTCATTCATCTTACATTTTGGCTATATTAATATCAGCAACTGCTCCAATTTCATTCGGTATTTTTGGTCAGTTTGGGCCTCTGAATAAAATTGAGCTGTATTTTTCTCCATATTCTCCTATATCATACTAAATGCACCATAAAAGTATGATAACATATGCAAACTTTTTTACTAAATTTTTTTTTATTAAGATTTTGTCTAAAGGTTCAATAAACTGTTCTATTTCTTAGAATGTGACTTATTCCAACTATTCAGGAAATGTGGACTATTATTTCATATGTCAGGCTTTACAGGGTTAATTATTTAATTTCCTTCAAACATATGGTAACATTTGATGCCTGTAAATATAGGTATAAGCCTGTAATGGGGTATTCATAATGCAAATTGTCACCTAAGATCTTTTGCAAACAACATTTGCAGTATAATAGTATTATAGGCAAGTATTATAAGTATTATAGTACAGTATTATAAGACATGATAACATATGGCACGACAAATTAAAGTGGGTATTGATTCAATTTAATGGATTATACTTCAATGAATTTGTTTTTGTTTTTACTGTTAGGGTACAAATATGCACCCTTTAGGAATAATTAAGGCACCTTTGTACGAGTACTTCCCCAGTGACAAGGTGTTGCACCATTAAAGATAAAAAAATTTTTTACACTTTTCTGACAGATTTTATATACTGTAATACTTATTATAATGTTTAATTTGTATAACCAATTCAGATTTTTCTTATTATTTCTGATTATTGAGCGCATGCCATGATTATGTCTATTACAGTATAAGTCACTGTGAATTGCGAACGTTACCTTTATTTCATTTTGGCACGTCAATTGCCAAGAGAATTATCCTTAACTGATGGAACTCTGTGTCTGTTCCCATAATCAGTAATTGGCTCTCTGAGGTGTTGTCCTCCCTTCAGCTCCAAAAATTCGTTTTTCTTAGAATTGGCGGTCTTGCGAAATCAGAGATGCCAAAACAAGGGTCCTTGGGCCAAAGTTGGCCAGTCATGACTTTTGATTTTGGACCGTATTGCCATTTCACAAGGTCCTTGAACACTTATCCAAGGGCGAATGTGTGGTTTATATCCTCTATTGTGTTTATACTTCATTTGATTGTTATGTGGTGTCATAGTGTATCATTGAAGTGTAACTTTCAAAACGCTTTGTATTGTTAGTGTCGGTAGTCTATGTAAATGAGCAATGTTTACTCGTTCTCCGTGTTACCTGGACAGAGAAATTCACGTTTATTTATCAGCAAAAGACCGCCGGATTATGCAATACGTCATACATAAACATTTACATATACATACATATCTGAGAATACACACTTTTTTTGGGTTGGTAAGATTTTTTATGCTAAGCAAGGGTGCATGTATTTGATTCCAAATACAGTAAACATTTTGTGAAATATTTATATTGTGAAATATTATTAAGATTTAAAACAACTTTATAATGTAATTAATTACGGTGTTGGCAAAGTTGAATTTTCAGCATCATTACTCCAGTCTTCAGTCACATGATCCTTCAGAAATCAGTCTAATATGCTGATTTGGTGCTCAAGAAACATTTCTTATTATTATCAAAGTTGAAAACAGTTGTGCTGTTAATATTTTTGCTGGAAAAAAATGTGAGATACATTTTTTTCAGGATTCTTTGATAAATAGAAAGTTAAAAAAAGAAGCATTTATTTGAAATACAAATATTATATTACATTATATAGCACCGAAATATAAATAATGGTCCAAACACGAGTTTGATTGCTCTCCCCTCCCACCACCTCCGCTGGATTGTGTTCACACTGTATTGTTTGATTCCGAACCGAGATACGTATGCATCAACAAAGTAGGAGCTGTTTGGTTTGATAGGTAAAGGCGACGCAGCTTAAGGCTTTAAAATGAATACTGAGGTTACTCACCTCACTTTTACATATTGGTTTTGAACCTTTGGTTTCGTTTTCAAAGCATCAGCACATTACAGCATTTGCGTCTATCTGCCACAAATGTACTGCAAATGTTCTTAAAGCTGCAGTTAATAAAGAGGACTGCATGCGTCTAGCGGAAGAACATTGTAGCCGGAGCTACTTCTCTCTGTTTATGTCTATGACGAGTAACGCAGGTACTGGGCTACTCTGCAGTGGTTCGACCCGAACCAGTCTAAAATAGTCTGAAAATAAACACTTATAGGTGTATACTGTAGTGATTCAGGATAAGACAAAAACACGTTTTAGAAAATGGATTCATGATGTACTCGCTTATTATATACATTTTGTACATTTTGAAACACAAAAAAAGTTACGGACTGCAGCTTTAAGGCGGCGGGAGTCCATTTCTGCTAAAAACGAGCACAAATGAGATAATCATTCTCTCTGCTTGCAGTGCATCAGTCACACTTGTCAGGAAAGTGAGAGAGTCAGAGAACACAGAAAAACACAGTTCTATTGAATCATACGGTATCAATAGCGGTTCACTTCCCCGATTTAGTACAAGTGCATTCAAATCAGCAGCGAACCGTATCGGAGTTCACATGAACTGTACCCCAGACCACCCTTTTTAGGTAGATTCGGGCACGGTTGGTGGGTCCGCACCAAAAGTGCTAGTGTAAAAGCACCCTAAGTGTCACCAAAAAGGCATATAGTGTGATATACCTTGTAAGCTCTTGGCACTGGCATAGTCCATGCTCCAGCTAACCAGAGCCATAGTGAGACCCAAAAGAACCAAGAAGATCCAGTCCTCCCCCAGCTTTGTCACCATGTACCTCTGGATACGGCCCAGACAGTCTGCAAAGCAAACACATTCTAATGGCTATTCACACTGGATATTTTATCTGCACTTTAGAACAGTGCATGTAATTTTTAGGTAATCAGAATGAGTTTTTTTTTTTGTCACTCACCCTGGCATTTGGAATAAGGGCGTGGCTTCTTTATAGAGGAGGAGGGGCTTAAACCTGATGTCATGGGCCCCACATCCAGGCTGGCATGATGTGCTCGGCCATGGCCTCTCCTGGTTGCCTTGGCATTGCCGGCATGCCTCTTCCGTTGCCTTTCAGTCAACAGACGTGTGGCCTCCCGTCTGGCAACATTACCCAGCTGCTCCCGGTATTCCCCGTACAGCTGAAAAGACAGAATGCGGTTTTCTACCAAGAACAGAAATCACAACATGACACTTACATTGATCAGCAAAGTGAAGAAAATCAATGGAGGTCAAACCTGCTGTTACTGCAGTGAAAAAGCAAAACTGATCATATAGATATTGCAATTCAGTAGTGAAAAATCCTTTGATGTTACACAGAAGTCCTGATTGCACATAACTTTCATGAGTGCTCATTGGTTCAGTGTGATTGTGTGCATGTGAATACTTGTAGAAGTAGGAATGTGAAGTGAATCAATGTAAGTGTGTGTGGTGGTGAGTTACAGTCATTTGTATGTGTCAGACAGAAATAGTCAGGCTGTCGAACAGGGCAGAATGGAAAAAGAGCTCCCCCGAGATACTCTCGCACATACAGTGCACCGACACACACAAGATTCACCCCGAAAATGTTGCCCTCAAACTGTACAACTATATTGCACGAACAAAAAAAATGCCAAACACCCCAGAAGAAAGAAAGCACAGATTCAAGTCGGCATGGACCAGAAATTGCTTCCAATTTTTCTTCCCTAATGTGATGTATATCCGAGTGGCTTATTGAACGAGAAAATAAAATAAAGTAGTGCGAGACTTGATTTTGTCCATCGGAAATTGACTGGAACATTGAAAGTGGGCGTTGCAAACTAAATGGAGGCCATATAACAAATAATAATTATCAATTCTGATTTCATTGCGACTACATAAGTATACAAATGCACAAATATCGAGCTGTCCATCAGGATAGACCACACTCCGGCTATTGGCCAGTAAAGGAGGAAGTGATCCACGAAGACATTCTTCTCCTTCCTTCCATTACACCCAATACACACGCCTACATACACACATTCTGGAGCAGCACAGACCCCACATGGTGCGAGACTGAAGGGATCAGATTCAGCCTCCTCATGCACACTCAAAAACAAGAAATGCTCAATATAAATGTACGACTCAAGATATTCAGTGTATTTGTATTTGATATATTTAGTTCAATATGTAAAATGTGATAAATAAATATATAAATGAATAAAAGCATGTTAGAATTAAATTAATGGCATTATGAATGGCCAACAAATATTTGGGGGATTTAACTTATTTTTAAAATCTCAATAGCTTTATCAGTCAATGAAACAATTATTTCATCATTAAGACATGATAGATAAAGTTACATGTAAAATACAGTGTTCTTTATTACTTAAAATGTTATCCAAAATGTAACAATTTTGTAACTTTCACTAACAATTGACTGCGATTTAAACAAAATAATCAATTCATTAACAATTATTATATAGTAAACCAGTAATCAGTATCAGACAATAAATGTTAATGGCAACTAAGGTATGAAGATATAATTAAATAATGAGGAAAGTACATTAAATAATGATCTGTTAAGTGTGTGTGTATATATATATATATACACACACACACACACAATATTTACAAATATACTGTATATTTGTGCTTTCGCCAAATATTGTCTACAAATATATGTAAGCATATATATAATCTTAACTATTATGATTATTAATATATTCACTAAAGTTAATGTCATCTTAATAATTAATAAGTAAATACTGAAAGTAATACTAATTAGGGTAACACTTTATTTTTAAGTGACAGTAGTTACACGTTCCTACATGTACTTACTCTAGTAAAAACAGAAACCAAACCCTAACCACAACTCATGTAAGTACATGTATATAATTAATATTACTCAGTACTTATTTAAGTAAAGTACAATGTTACTATGTCCCCTTACAATAAAGTCTAACCCTAATTAGTAAGGGTTATGAAATAAATCAAAGTGAACAAGAATGCAGAATTTTATCAAATGCATCTATTATAGAGAGTCAGAGACTAATGCAAACCCACCTCTTGTGTAGCTGCAGTCTTGAACATACTGTATAGAGATTTGACATTCTTCCACAGAGCATCTCACACTATCCAGCAGCATTTATACACTACACTTGAACATGCGCACACGCACACACACACACACACACACACACACGAGCAACCGATGATTTAACTAAAACCCGGAGTGAAAAAACCTGACAGAATAAGAAGTACACTGAATAAAATATTTTACAAACTTTGTCTTTTAATTCCTTTCTCATCTATTACATTACTGTGATAAGATACTAGAGTTTGCGTCAGATATAGAGAAGACCCAAGGCTGACTCTATCATTGACTCTTCAATTTTCCAAAAAGTCAGTACACTGATACAGGATGACAGCGTGAGAGAGACTGTTCCGGAACAGAAAAACATTTACTTTAGGACAACATATTCTCCCTCGCTCTCTTTCTCTCTCCAACACCTGTTTTCCTCATTCCTCTAACCGATTTTCACAGTGAAGGCATAACTTTACAACCGTGGCCTAAAACTCATTGGGCCTGACGAAACGCACAGATCAGATGATGTCTTCGCCAAACAACTGAAATTAATAAAATGATTCTTTAAAACAATTTGAATTTGACCATATAATATATAGGAGGCACAAAAAAAAAAAATCAAGAGAGAGTAAGAAAGACAAGAAGACTGAGTAGAGAGAGTGAAAGTTGCTAACAGACGTAAGCATTGAAGGACATAGTGACTTTGAGAGTTAATTAAAACACAGTTATGCTGGTCAGTGTGTGTATAAGCGTGTGTGTAAGTATAATAATATAATCTGACCCATTCACTGACAGACTGATCAGGAGATCAAGACACACTCATATCTTTCTCTAAATAACAATTAACATAGTCACAGATTTATGTTTCTGCCGGAGGGAGCCCGCACTTCATCCATTCGTCTTTCGATATTCACACTTACAAATACCATTCCACATAGACCAGACCTTTACAATCACATATAAAAAAAAGAAAATTTGGAAACTTTCAAGTGGAAATACATTACCAACCAAATACAGCAAAATACTCGGAAGCACGCAAAGAGCGATCCCTTAATAATCACTAAAGAGCTGTCACTCATCTCAGTTAATCTCACAAAGTTCCGTTATGATCAATAAAGTTGTCTGCACTGAACAATAAATCTCTTACTAACATCGTATCTACACTTCGTTTGTTAATGAAAGGATTTGCGAGTGTGTGGAAATCGGCACTGGAAAAAACTGGATTCGGACTAAATAAACACCTCTGATTGGCCATTGCATTCAAGAGATAAACAAACATGTCTGTGATTGGCTACATTGCTCACCGCTGCAAAAACACGTTGTAAACAGAAACATTTGCAATCTCCAAAGAACAAGCAAAAATACAAACTGGAGCGTTTGCCAAATCATTTTTGCCAATATGATATTATTACAGTCTCAAATTAGGGAACTCTTGCTTTCATAAGGGTGATTAGCAATCAATTTTTTTGATTGGTTAAAATGAATGGAGAATATCTCGTGTCTTTCCGTGGGTGTTCAGCCATTCCAGCCACACACGGGATCGGCACCTATGCACACACATTTTAACTTAATAATATCACATATTATTGGTATATTAACATAATTAGTGTTGAATGTTGATATATTTAAATTTGGTATTAGTAGTTGACATAATGAGCAAATTAACAGCAAATTAACTTATATTTTGATACCTATTGCTGTTTTTATTTATTTATTTGTTTAAGCAGTAATTTTAACTGAAACCACCAAGAAAAAAGAAAAGAAAAAGGAATTAAATTCTGTGAGACTACTAGAATATAGATTAACCTTCATCCCAAGTTTCCATTAAGAAATTTTGAAATGGAACACTGTACAGTATTTGGTAAGTAGTAACCAAAATGTTTAAGCTGAGAAAAAAGAAGAAATATAATAATGTTTAACCTCACCAGAATCTGATCATAATTCAGAACAGTCTCAAAAGTGTTGATGGGCTCCCTTATCATCTTGCTCTTTTATTCTCTGTCAGTCGGTTCCTATCTTCATTTTCTTTCGCCTGCTATGTACCTCGGTTCCTCCTTTCCTTCTCCTTTTCACCTTCACAAAATATTCAAATATTAGTAACTGTATCTGCCTTATAGGAGGTGTCCTGTAGGTTAACACATAAGTAAACCACACTACCCATAATGCAGAGCACTTGTGGTTGACAGTGGGCTGTCAGCAGCTATTAATTCACAGGGCTGTGATTTCCTAATCCTGTCTGGCGGTCAGATGAAGTCCCCTGCAGGTATCTGGACGTGCAAGCGTTTTCTGCATCATTTCATTCATTGTCGTCTGTGCTTAAGTTGAATTCAGTTAAACCTGCATTAATGGTGTTGATTGATGTGTGCGGTTTTATGCTGCTCATCAGCTTTGTGACGTAAAGTGACATCTCTAACGTTTCCTTTCACCTCTGCACTTTCCTTTCATTAACATGGACTACTTGAATCTAACCGGACGATTTCAGATTAAAGCAACTTCGAGGAGTGCAAAAGTATTCGCCAATTCACCTGGAAACAAATTCATGAACTGGATTCAGATTATAAGTGCTTTTGATTAAGAAATAATGACTAAAACTTGCCAGGTTATCAGCCAAGGTTACTGGCATTGAATCAGAAAGATATTAGAAGAAAACACTGCACAGAAGTGCATATTAGGATTTGTCCTAGAGCCCGACCGATATGGCGATGCCGATACCAATATTAGGGAGTAAAAAAAAGCCTGATACCGATATATCGGCCGATATTATTTATGTGTATATTATAATACAATAGCAATATTATTTATGTGTATTATAATACAGTATACCAGTCAAAAGTTTGGACACTTTCCTATTGGTGTGTACAAACTTTTGATGGGTACTTTACACAGTAGCTATAAACAGAATAAATATATTTTATAAACACGTTTTGCAATGATCCCTCAAATGTGGTGATCAAACACTTGTGTGACACAGATATGTAATGGAGGCAGGGGGAATGATAGAATGAGAATTATACAGTTGAGCTGTAACCAAACTAGTTTGCATTGCATGTTATATTATATTATAAATACTGTTACATAATCTTCACTAACAACTTTGTCTTTTAATTTAGTCATAACTTGTATCAATAAATATATAAAAAGTGTCACTGACAAAACCTTATTATCTTCTATTTTTAGTCTTAATTCCTCTAATCTCTACCAGTGGAGGAAGAACTCAGATCTTTTTACTAAAGTAAAATTAATAATATCATAATGAAAACATTTTTAATTACATATGTACAGTACTTTTATACTATTTTAAATAATTAGTAAGCAAAATGTACTAAACGTGACACTAGGCTACTCTTAATGCAAAATGGCCCTATTTAAAGTGTTATAATTATATCAATTATTGAAATATTGCTTGATGTTGTAACGTAGCGTTATCAGGCAGAATGAGCTTTAACACGGTGTCTACACCGGACGCGGCCGTTATTGCTCGCGTCGCAACAGCTGTTTACTCTAGACAAAGCAGAATCAGTTTACTGTCGGAGATTTGTCGCTCACGCCACGCATTTTAATCAATGTTTCATCAACCAATTGCCTGGATTTAATAAATAAGAAGTAAATATAGCAGACCATATAATCAGGACTTCTCAGCTGTGCGCTTGCAATAGTCACAAGCTCACACAATACGTGACAGAGGCTGGTAGCAGAGAAATCAATTCTGTGAATTACACTGCGCAAATCACAAGTAGGCTACTACCCACCGGATGAAGAAGGGTTGGCTCTCAGTCTCCACAGGCTACATAAAATATTCATTTTATTTTATTTTTCGTGTTCGCATTTATGAGGAAAAAACAATGCTACGGACGCGACAGTTCAGCACTACGGACGTGAGCGCTCTGAAACCGGCACTAAAATATGCTTTGAAACTTTCACATACACATCAAACAGAAAGCACAAAACCTTTCATTTCAAAGTGAATTTCGTTTTGTATTAATTGTATCTTAATTTTAATCAATGTTTCATCAACCAATTACCTGTATTTAATAAATAAGAATGGTCGGGCTCTAATTTGTCCTTAAAATAATCAGCTTTCGGTAATCCATTTTATTACCTTGGACAAATAGAAATGATGAAGTAACGTATTCAGACACATTTATTCTGTGTTTTTTGTAAAGCAGACAGTGCTGTGCAAGTTTTTTTAAGACCGGCTTATCAACAATTTACCCACCCTTAAAACAGCACACAAAAAGAGTGGACCAGACTTTGTGTCGATGGTCAAAAATCAGGCTACGCAAGACTTTGTAATGCTGAACAGATTCATTAGATGATAGACATTTAAATGAGAAGCTTTTATACATGCGTATTTTCACACAGCAATTATCAATAAGTACATGAAGTTATTAAAAAGTTCCACAAAGAAAAACAGTTGGTTTACAAACTTGCTTGGATTTAGATATTGCAGAATTCTGTAGTCTGCAATTTTCAGAACCTCAGGAATATGCTAATTCATCATCAAAACATTATTATTATTTGCATTTCTGCCCAATAACTAAGTAAAAGTTCAAACACAACAACCCTTTTATCTCCAGCACACCTCCTCCGCTCTCCCCATTTCACTTTCAGTCTGTTCATTTCTGTCATTCAGCAGTCAGACTCCCAGAGGCCTCTGTGCTAAAGAAGGGTCATCAGCAGCTGTATGACCTGGAAGTGAAATCACTTAACTGGGACCATTAAAAACAACACGTAGTGCTGTTAACATTAGTATGAGCAAACACTGCTGTAAACGAATACACCGATCATCTAAGAGCATTCACACGCATTGGTTTTCCCAACATAGTGGAAACTTTCCATTGACTTCTTTCTTTTACACCAAGCAAATGATATTTTCCATCCTCCAACTCTAAACCTGACCCTCATAGAAAGTGTTCGGTACGGATCCCCTAAAGGGCCTTGGTGAAAAAAAATGAAATGGGTGGAAAATTGTTTCAATGCGTTTGCGTTCTCTCGCTAAACTTTTGCGTTTACTTTTGTGATGGAAATGAGGTGGGAGGAAAAGCTATATTTCAGTACTTTCTCAAGCAAAGCAAAGTTTCTCAGGGAAACGCAATAGTTTTGCGAGAGAACACAAATGTTTTGAGAGAGAATGTGACACTGTTGCAAGCGAACACAGTATCTCAGGGAAAAACAGTAGTTTTGAAATATAGCTCCTCCCACTTTATATCAAACACAAAAGGTGAACGCAAAAGCAAATCATTTTTCCTTCCATCTCATATTTTTTTCCCATCACAATTTTTCCCTTAGTGGCTGCGTAGTTCTGAATTAAATTAAATGAAAAGGATTGTTTGCTCAAAATGTAAAAATCTGTCATTTACACACCCCTCATTTTGTTCAAAACCCGTACGAGTGATGTTCTTCTGTGGAGCACATAAAAAGATCATTTGAAAAGTGTTTTTGTCCATATAATGAAAGTCAGTGGGATCCCAATGTCTTTTCTGTTCCACAGAAGAAAGCCACAAAGGTTTGGATGTACAGAACGATAGAATTTTAATTTTGGGTGAACTATCCCTTCATTCCCTAACTAAAGGGATAGTTACCCCCCCACACAAATTATGTGTGTGTTGAATGTTTATATGTGAATAAAATCCTAAATTCAATCTGTTAATCATATAAAGCAAATCGTGTCTTTTCTTTTTTTTGTCTATACAGTGTTTGGTTACCAACATTCTTCAAAATATCTGCATGAGAAAGAAAGTCATACAGTTCTGGGAATGGCATGAGGGTGAGTAAATGATAACAGGATATTATTTTATACGTGAATCATCCCTTCAAGTTGGCAAAATCTGACTGCACACACACTTGTAATGTCTTGGGAGGAAAAAAATACTCTGTCAGCAGCAACATGGTAACAGCATATTAAATCTGATTATACAGAGGTAAACATTCACATAAAGCCTATGAATAGGGCTACTGATCGAGTTTTTCTCTGACTGGATCATTTTCCCTACAGGAATCTCCTGCGTGCGCGAGACGGACAGAAATGGGACGACAGGGGCAGTAATGCGTTTATGCGTAAAGTTTACAGAGGTTAAAAAAAGCTCTCGGCTCTGGCGTTCTTTCCATATTGTGCAGCAGAAGAGGAAAATCGATGTGGGAACTCGTGAATGAGAGAAGAGAGGAAGACAGGTGGAGAAAAGGAAGGTTGAGGGGAGGTTGTGTGTGGGAACTTAATGACTTGTTACAGTGCAAAACTGACAGCTAAAGAATTGACGCTCTTTCGCCCCCCTCGTCTCGCTTTCTCACACACCACATTTACGACTATTCTCTCGCGCTTGCTTTTGACACTTGACCTTGCGAGTTCAATCGATTTCCTTTTACTTTAATACAATCTTTAGGCCTTCCTAATAAGCTGTCCAATGGAACCAAACTCTAACAAATAGCTTAATGCACCTGACCAGCTGACCATACGTTCCTCTTGGCCGTATAGCAGCCACCGAGAGCAGCCCAACAGAGAGGGCAAGGCGTATATTTAACCTGCATGCTCAGGTTTCTGCTAGCATATAGTAGCAGAGATGTACTGCGTAGGTTAGCACGAATATGCACAAATCACGAGGTTTGGTCCACACATCTGCTTAGTTAAGCAATTCTACGAATCCTCAGGGGCATTCGAGATATTTTACAGAATCTTTAGAAACATGAGACCTTCTACACCCCGAATGACCGGCAGAGATCCAGTAAACAGATTTTGGACAGAAAATGTTCCAACTGGAAGCTGCGTAAAGCAATCATAAAATGACAGAGGAGCATTAAAAAAGCAAAAAGGTGGAAAGTAGAACACACAAGCATGGTTCTCTGCCAATAAACATCTGACAAGGAAGCACAAATCCACAGTATTGACACTAATGGAAGTTTACGAGACAGATTGCCTTTAATCAGCAGGGTGTTGACACAGGTTACGACAATTCTCATACCTATTCATGAGTTGTGCTAGAACAGCCCAGTGAGCTCCATGTGTGTCGCCACTAAGAATAGAATGGAAAATCAATTAAAGCCGAGGCTAGTGAAGTGAAAGACTTTGAGACCCATTATTTAAAGAGTCGTATTTTGGGCAGACAAGCGTTTCTAGGTTAGAACAGACCCGACTGACCACGACAAACCTCAGCAAGCCACCCACCAACAGCAAGACAGCGAAACGCCTCGGCGCAAAGCAACAAAACAACGGGAGAGAGAAAGAGGCACAGAAAGACAGTGACTGACCAGGGTTTGCTGGTATCTCAGAGCTTTCCTTTGCGACGCATCGGCAGCCATCGACACGCTCGCACTGAGCCAAAAATAAACACACAGTCTCACAGTCCTGTGTTACAGCATATGAAACACATACACTCACCGACTCTTACCCGTTTATTCAGTTACACACACCACCCCACTCAAAGCGCGAGATACACACGCTGTCTCACTCTTATGTTACAGTACCCGCAACACACACATGCAAGAAAAATGCTGAGACGTGTGATTCTTCAATTAGATACACTGGAACACTAACGCACACCATCCACAAACGGTCAGAGAGTCGGCCTACCTGTAAAACACTACACCAACAACACATCACAAACAAACTTACAAAACTTTATGGTGGTAACCATAGTTTCTATCCAATACTTGGTATCAGTAAATTTGGTATAAGCTAGAACTGCAATCAGGGAAACTAGTAACACAAAGTCAGTAATCTCAATCATTTTGAGCTATGAGTTTCCATAACTTTTCCCATTCTAGAGTACGGGATAAGGAGGATTTTAAAAAGAAAATGTTTTAGAGATTGCAATCACTTCAAAAAACTTCAGAGTCGAGCATTATTTGAAATCAGTCTGAAATTTCCATGAAGTTTTAATATTTTTTCTTTTTAAAACAGAACGGATTAGGAGAAACAATATGGTAATTTACATGACTTTTCTGTGACCTTTTAAGATTGTATTAATTTAATTATAAATTCCTCGATATTTCCAAAACCATGGGAAACCTAAACCTAAAATGTATTCTTAAAATGCACTAAAAATGGATTAATGTTTTGCTTTGGATAACTGTATATACAATTATCTGAATGACAGAAAGCTTTTTAAAGTTTCAATGATTTTATTAATAGATTTTATACATTTTTTGTTACTTTTCAAGTGCTGTAAACCACACTTTTGAAATTCCCTGATATTTCCAGGTTTTGCAGTCTTGGAAAACCTAAAAATCCTAGGGAATTTTTTTTTCACAATGTTAATAACTCGCAACTCTGGTATTTGACCATATTAAATTCTTGTTAGGGAACCAATTCTATCTACACAAACACATTCTGTAATCAATAGGAAACATATAATCCAAACCCTAGAATAAACACATATAGGAAATAGATTAAGGAGGATCGATCAAAGACGGCAAGAGGATAAACGGATAAAAATCACTATAAAGATGGATGGGTGAATGAGTAACATCAGCGAGAAAAAAAAGACTCAAACAGAGAGCTGGTGAAGAGAGCGAACGAAACAGATGAGTGCAAATAAGCGTAGTTGTGTTAAATAGATAATCATGCAAGTCCAGATCTGCTTGTCTTTTCTTAGCCGCGGCACACAGCTAATCGCACACCCCATCTCACATTAGCGCCATCCCCGCTCTCAGCCGTTACTAGCAGCAACATGCCTCCCCATTCATCTTCCGGCCTGAACCCCTCCCAACTGGATTTCCGTTTTGCTTCTACCTCTTCTTGTTTTCGCTCCTTCTGGCGAGCACGGGTGTTTTTTTGACAGGACACCACCCTCTCAGGGGCACCCGTGTAACACGATGAGTGAGTATGCGTTTTGGAAGGCGGTAGAGGGAGGCAACGTGACTCAATTCAACAGCATTTAATTCAACAGCGAGGAAACTCGGAAGCCCCGCACAGACTTAAAATACAACACACTCTTGGTGTGATTCAACCACGACTCTGATTAACAGGCTGATGAATGTCAACTCTCTGCCAAGTCCCTCGCCATTCTGCATGGCTTCTAGAGACCGAAAGCTTTACAGACATTTCCCTAGGGCAGGGGTTCCCAAACTTTTATTTCAGCCAAACCCTTTAGACATAAAATATTTATTATATATATATTGAATATTTAAGGACACATTTGCATGTTAATGGTTCTCTCTAATCTTGGTTAATGGTCACATGACATGCAAGTAAACAAAACATTCAATCTGTTTTAGTAAGCTTTTTACTTTGATTGCTTTTATTATAAAATGATGTATGGGCTGTATGTATATATGGCATATGTCATGTGTTGTAGAGTTTAAACCAAACGAACAAACTAGGAATGCTACAAACAGGCTTTAATGATAAACACTGGAGTACACCGGAACACAAAAGTAAACGGTAACCGTCAAAGAACTAAACTAGAGTATGGGTGTGTTTGAAGGGTGCTTCGGGTCTGGGACGCCATTTGTAGGGGGCGTTCCAAATGAAAGTGAACAACTGAATCGCTTCATGAAGGGCCCTTCCACAAGTCCGTTAGCGAAGGGAACATGCGATGGTCACCTCAAGGAAGTAATTTAATCGTTTATGGTCATGTGACCCAGGGTGACAAGTCCTCGCAATTCATTTTAAATCTAGATATGGCGGGAGAGTTGGGAGTATAAACAGAATAATTCAGGTTGTTTTGTTGTGATATATCACAAACATTTTCATCGTGCATTTCATATTAAGTTTAAAAATGTTTCATAGGTAAGAAATGTGTTTAATGCGTTATGTGTTTTATGCTTAACTTATAAAGTTAAGAGCAGATCGGGAACACATACATTAAGCACATTTTTTAAAAGTTCATTATAAATGTACATTTATTTGTATCATATTAACAGCAAGCAATAGGATATTCCAGTTGTTGCTGCCTAGCTTTGTCGTGGTCACATTCAATGTGAAGGTAATGAGCAAATTACGTGGTCTTTCATTGCTCCCTTTGCCAAGTGTGTGCCAAACGGACATTGTGCCCTACTCCCTCCAAAGTCTCAAGTCTTCGAAGGGCAGAGTGAGTGAGTAGGGCATAGGGATGCTTACTTCCGATAGGAATTTGCCCTATATATGCAGGGGATAATCAGGAACTAAATAAGATACAGCTGATGATAATCACAGAAACAGGGATATAATCAGAAACCAAGGAAACCGAAACTAAACACAGCAGGGGAACGGGAACTAAAGAAAACAGAACAGAATATACCATAACAATATTATTATTAGTATTATTTTAACTGTAATTATAAAAATGGAACTTAATGAACTGTATAAATATATTACAGTTGTAAATTACAATTGTATTGTAAAATAACAAAAAAGAATATTTGACAATTATTTTATTTTACACTGCAAGTGACAATACTAATATTCATGACTTAAATTCGTCACTTTCCAACGTTCGAATCTAAAAGCTTTTATTTTGGGGGAATCCTGGTGAAATGCTGTAAACTTATAGTCAAGTCAAGTCACCTTCATTTATATAGTGCTTTTTTAAATACAGATTGTTTCAAAGCAGCTTTACAGTGATAATAGGAAATGAATGCAACAAAGATTGAGAAGAAACTCATTGTCTATAGCTTAAGTTTTTAATTGATTAATTTCCATTGTGAAAATCATTAGTTATTAACTTAGGGGCCGCTTACACAACACCGTTTTCAACTGAAAACAGAAAACTTTAAATGCGTTCTTCAAAGTTTAATGCGCAAACTTTAACACCGTTATCATCGTTATCATCTCTGTGGAAACTTCAAAAACATGAGTCTATCCACAGAAATGTATAAATAAAGTGAACCCAAAATTCATGTTGAACTCACTGCGAGAAAAATAATTTTTTAAAGGTTTAGTTTTTAACAATTAAGATGATCTTGTTATACTTTTGATCTAGCTTTATAATGTATTATATTATATTATATCATACTAGTAAGAGTGCAATATCGAAATCATTGTCATGCAGTGTTTGTTTACCCTTGTGGCTTATGTAAAAAAATATATATAATCATTTCCCTTTTTTTCTTGTCACATGACTTATATTATTTGTCACCTGCTTTTGAGTGTGTCTGATTAAGGTGATCAACTGTTTTCTATAAAGAGCTGTTTTTATTCCACATTGGTATTGTGCCTGATAAAGACCTGATGGTCGAAACGTTGCGTGATTAATAAATTTTGTTGGAGCTGCCATTATCTTGTGCTTAATACTTCACGCTTCTTTTTTACGTTATTGTTATTTTGTTGTCCTGCACCTGAGCCAAATTAGGGTGTTTGGGATGTGCACAGCTTTTTTGTATTTTTGATGCCAAAGCAACATTTCTAATTTTTATTTAGTTTAATTTGGTGAACTAAAATGACTAAACCTGAAATAAAAGTGACTAACAACTAAAATAAACTAAATAAATGACAAAACACATCAAAATTACTAACACTTTAACTAAAATTTAAATGAAAAAGTATAATACAAAAATAAAAACTAATTTAAAATACTATAATAGTATTTCAATGATACTAAAACACTGCACATATGTAACAGTGCCGCTCTTCACCCTGAAACACACACACAAACAGACTATATTTAATTAATTAAAAGCACAATCTTTGGTTTGATAATAAAACTAAGCTATATTGCGATTTCAGTTTTAATTCAATCAATTGTGCGGACACATTTACGGATTCTAATTTTGCATTTGGTTTAATTATTAGCTGTTCATCAACTCACAAACCCCCATTTATGAATCCCTGCCCTAGGGGGACGTCCGGGTGAATCTGACTAAATGACCACAAAAAAAAAAAAGTGCCACAAAACCAAGCCTGGATTCATATACAACCCTTTATGCCTTCAAGTGAATCTGAAATGCATTGTGTAGGTTTTCACTTTTTATATGACAACTGCATCTCCAAACTGATATACCTGGAAAAAGAGCTAAATAAAGCTTAAGAACAAAGTGATTAAAATAATCCTCCGCACATTACATACCATCTGATCCCGGCGGCAAAGACTTCATGGAGTCACGCTAACAGGTCGGGTGGGTAGGTGTTATGGGATCGGCACAATGACGGCCGTTCCTGCAGCCACGGCAGGACAGAGAAACCCGAGCACATGGATAAAAATGCATCACCACGGAAGCAGAGGACAACTCTGAAAAACAGAGAGGGAGAGGGAGTGCAAGACATCCAATACTAAACAAGTCAATACTTAAATACAGAACATAACATCCAACATGGCTATGACACTTACCAACTCAATTATAACCAAACAGACAATACACAAGTGTTACTCAACACACAACAACTGATACATTTATCCATGCAAATGACAAGTGTTGGGGGTTATACATTACAAGTAATGAGCTATGTAATCAGATTACTTTTTTTTCCAAGTAATGAGTACCGGTAAAGTAATGCATTACTTTTAAATTGACTTTTTCAAATAAGTTACTTTGTTTTCCCATTAATTGACTGACAGCTCTGCTAACACACTTAGTAACAATTACAGTAGTCAACATTTGAAGTGCTGACTACTGTAATTGATCAAAAAAGTTCATCAAAGTTGTCCTAAGACAAGAACGGGTTTTGTTCAAAATTCATTAATAACGTTGATGAAAGGTTTTGATACACTTCAAATGTTACTACTGTAGTTACTTTTTTAGGGAGTAACACAATATTGTAATGCATTACTTTTAAAAGTAACTTTCCCCAACACTGCAAATGACAATACAACGAAACAACACAAATCAAGGGTCTTTGGAACAGTATTTTTTTTATTGAATGGCAGTTTCTGCATTGCAAAAATACAAAAATTACAGTTTCCCTATAGTTGATTTAAGCACCCTTCATAGCTGGTTAGTACACATAACAAAGGCAGTGAATAAACCATTAATATCAAGTTTACTAGGCACTCATCTGGCACAGTCAGGCGGAGGGGGAGGGGGGGGGGACTAAACTGGATTTTATAATATGTACCTATGTACCATGTGGGTTTTAACACTTTAGGAGAACTTTTTTAAACATGTTACCACAACATGAACCTGTAGGACCTCAGTGTCACAATGCTGTTACAATTCTGAACACACATTCAAAACTAGGTGAACAAAGCCTGAGAAAAAGGAGGAGAACATGCATGGTCTGGCATTGTCTCAATAGAATGTCTGCAGCAATAAACAAATATTGCTATACTATTACTAAATATACACATTTTCTATTTCCATTTGTTTTTCATTAAAAAATAAACATGACTTCAGAAAATGACTTCTAGTATTTCATCAAATAACCAGTAATTTGTTTAAATACTTGAATTTTTTTTAAATCATGGCACCATTTCCATTATGAAAGTAATCTTTTATAAATTATGTATCTGCACCAGTCCCTCATTTTTTAATTTAGAATTTTAATATTTGTTTAAAATGTACATATGCCCATATAATTCTCCCAGTTCAAAGAAGCTTATTAGTTAAAATATCAAGATAAAAAAAAAAAAAAAAAAAAAAAAAAATAGTTGATTGAAAGCAATATTAGCATGAACAGTGTAAATCTACATCGAACATTTTGGCTGCTAAAACAGTAATATAAAATAAAACACAGTAAAAGTTGAGTGATAACTCATGCTAAAGGTGACGAGTGTGAAATCGAGAAGAGGGCTTGAGGGATGCCATGGCAGTGTCAAAAGGTCAAAGGTCATGACCTTAAACCTAAAAGTCATGCCTATTAGGTAAGGAAGACGCATACACTTAAAACGGCACACTTAATTTACAATCTGCTTTCCCAGGAGGAATAATGTTGTGTGTGCAGAACAGGAAGACTGTCTAAACACTGGAACTTCTATATGACACAAGGTCTGCTGATGAAGTGTAAAAGCTCTCTACTGCCATCAGCAGGTTTTTTCAGTCTTTTTGCATACTTTCAATCTTCATAATGTGCATTCATTGGCACAAAGAATATTTAAAGCAAAAAGGAATGTGCAAGAGTGAGGGCCATATGCAAAAACAGCGGCATATAGACAGGCATAATGACACAAAACGTTATGAGAATATATACACATTTCATTTTGGCAATACCCCGCATGAAGCGCCCTTAGAAAAACAAGCAGAAACACTATTTGGAATGCAACATCAATCTGGAAGTTTTGGAATTACAGAAATATCTGTAGAATGATCAAGTGTATTGATATGCATCATATTAATGGTTTGACAATTAACTATTATCTGCCAAACAAAAGGTGAAATAGTCACTTAGTAAAGAAGTCCTATTAAAGGTAAAGGTAAAAAAAAAAAAAAAAAAAGCTGCCATGGTGCATACAGCATAACTGTAACTGATGATGATACAGTGTATGTAAAGTTGCATTAAGGAAACCTAAGATAAGAGCAGATCTGCTCTGCTCAAATCCACTGAGTGAAATGTAAGGAGGAGTAAAGTATGGTACTGGCACAATGTTAGAATGCATGTTTATGCATGCAACTGTATGTGTGTGACATGTAGAGGGTGTCATCAAGCTGCTCTGAATGTACCAATGAAAAGTTCATGGTTTGGCTTTAAAAAGGCTTCACAATTACAAAACATACAGAACAAGAACTACTGAGGGGGGGAAAACCGTACAAAGAAAAAATGTAAAGAAAAAAATAAATACGAGTAAAAAACAGTTGCCTTTGTTTAAAAAAAAAAAAAAAAAAAAAGATTTATACTGGAAAAATATTGGAATAAAAAAATATTTTACTTTTAACCCTAAAGTTTATCTATCATGAACAAAATGGATATTTTTTCACAGACTCGCAAATGTCATCTTCACTCTTTCCTAACTAAATTCATTTATTTAAGAAAAGAAAAAGAAGAAAAGAGCAAGGCAAAGAAAAGAAAAAATATATGGAGAATGAATGCTTAATATTTTTAAGTGCACAATAGAAGGCAAAGTTCTTATGATAAAAAAAAAAAACTCTAAAAGCTGATCTTAGCAAATCCATGCTAAATAATGTACAAATGTATTGCGCTGAGGAATGTGAAATAGATGACACATGGAAGATGTAGATTTACATGACTCTGTGTTTGTATACTGAGCTTACAGCGGGTGATGGATGAACACACACGTGTGCTGAGCTCCCGCTACTGCATCAAAATCAGTTCTAAGGTCAGTGTGTTGTGTGTGTGCTTTGTGCATGAGGAGTGTGTGCATGTGTCTAGTTGTTGGGGTAGTACTTGGGGAAGAGGTAGAGGTCTTTACAGAGGGAGCTAGTGAACTCGGACATCTCTTTACAGCGATGATGGGCTGTACCGGGTGCGTATCCCTCTCTGCTTTTAATTCGACCGTTCACCTATAGAGAACAGAGTGAACAAAATACTTTTTTAGTAAGTAAAAGCCATTTTCAAAAAAGTCCACTTTAAGGTTGTGGTATACATTTCTTTTTGCTATGAAATGTTTACTTATTTTTATCAAGTAAATATAAGATTAATATTTATATTGTTAGTAATATTTCAAGATGACCACTTATTGGTGTGAAGCAACTGAGGATTACTTAATTATCCATGCATTGCATTTTTACAAAAATTCTATTAAAATGTGAGTATCGAATATGATACAACAGGCTTTTGAGGAAGGTATATTGGTACATATTTCAATTACAATTGTATTGCATTGCATTATTTGTTTTGCACACACTCTAAAAACTACAGAGCTTTGATCATAAAAATAAGCATTTAAATATAATATTAGTTACACATATTATTGGGAGATGTCAATAATCAACTGATATTTATATCAAGTAGTCTGCTATACTGTTATAAAGATCTCATCGATTTACATTACAAGCTATCAGAAGTCCATATTGCTTTTTGCCACATATATAAGGGATGCACCGATACCACTTTTTCCGATACGATACTTTCATTTTTGGTACTTGCCGATACCTTTTTTTTTTTTACTACATATGTCTTCTTTTTATATATATATATATATATATATATATATATTGGGTAGTGAAACCAAAAGAATATGAATCATATTATTTGCTTTTGCAATCATATTAGTTTGTTTAGCAAATAGAGTTATTTACATGCTTAATTAAGCATGTTAAAATGTATTGTATGAGCTTCTGTTACTTTTTACTGTTCATTCTTTGCTCAATCATATTTTATCTTTCATTTAATATCACAGCGTAAATTTAGAGCTGCTCCAGCATGGCTCAGTGTTGAGGATTGGGTCAGTGGTTCAAATGTTTAGATACCAGTGAAATATCACAATTCTCCATTCCAATTTTGATACTACAGTAAAACTACTAGCCTAATTAATGTACATTTAAAACATTATTAAAGACAAGTACACAGTCAGCAATAAAATAAGAACAAATTATCAAATTACAAATAGTACAACTTAATACAATAGAACAAATAAAGGCTACAAATGAAATAAACTGTTTTTGGGGGTTTTCAGGCAGATCTAACAGTAGTTTTCAGGTACAGAAATTTGAATAAAGTAATCAAATGTGAAATAACACTGCATATTCATTACTGTATAAATTAAATATAGATGGATCTTTATAAAGTTATAAAAGTTATTCAGTCAAGAGCAGTAAGTGATTTCTTTGTCCTTTGTTTGATTAACTTTGAAACACAGCAGCAGGTTTAGGCTGCTGTCCCTTTAAGACCGAATGCATGGATCCAATATGAATATACTGTTACACATGCGTTTTATTTCTCAACTGTCTTCTATGTTCACTTGAGATATAACCCACTAGGTACACTCGCCAAGACGGGTGTTTATATACATCATTTTTATGTGAATTCGTCCGTTCAAGCACAAGACGTGTAACAGAATATAATTCAGTATTTGCGCGCCGTCTGAGGAAGATTTCAGAGCGCTCGTTTCTGATGTTTGCGTTCATGAAACTTCTTGACCTGCACGTCATGTAATAATGTATGGAACCACTCGTTATACATAAATCAGGTAACAGTTCATGTTTTACTTACATATACGATTTAGTTTTAATCCAAATGACTCATGTGTGCTGACTGAACGATCAGCAATGAAGAACATGCAACAGAAGTGCTCTCTCTCTCTACCGTCAAATAACGTTAATAATACATGTCTTGTTTTACTTTCTTTGCCACTGACATCCAAACCGAACTACAAACTTTCCACTGATGAGCTCGACAAGCTCGCACCTCTGTGCGCTCAATCCACTGCGTGTTTTCTCTTATCAGCTCACGCACCACCACAGCTATATAGGCATTACTATATTTCGTTTAATATTCCACTAAGTAGATACATTTACTTCATAGACAGCCTTGTCTTTTATCCACATTATACTATCTGTTGTCGGTGTTTCTTTGTCACAAGCACTGTGCTGTACACAAATATAAAAATATACAGATAAGCCTTTAATTTAATATGTGGTTAGTGGCTCTCATCTATGGCTTTAATATTTCACAATTATTTTTATGGAATTACGTAATAAAAAATAAAACCATTTTTCAGTGTGAACATGCATTCCTTCTGGAGATGCCTGAATGTTTTGTTAAAGTATTTGACTTGCTGTAGCCACATTATAATAGACAGTTTAATATAGTATCTACAGACCTAAATTACCGTGCATTGTGAAGAGCCAGTGTCAAAGTAAAATGGTAAGTCCCAGTTTTCGTAATGCATTTCAGAATGGTAGGTTCTTTATAATGGCTTGTGGCATTTTCTCTCAAACTAGTTTACAATTATATAAAATAACAGATTGGTAAAATGTCAATTTGTATTGGCACATATACCCCTGCTGGTTGGTGCCACTTTAATTAGAACATTTTACTTATTTAGTTGTGGCCACCAAAAATATATTTTATAATTCCAAATGACACAGATGAACTGTCAATCCTAAGCAAATAGAAAACAACTGTGTATTTACAATATGTATTTAAATACACTGTACAAATAATACAATTATTATTCAAAGTCGTTCTGCTGTTAAGTGTGTATGTTACACCATTTACATAATGCTCCGGCAGACAGCAGCATGTGTCACTAGGTTATATTGGAGGTGCCACAACAAACAGCGACATGCTCCCCAACAATGTCAGTGGCACAAGACACAATCCATCAGCACGTCACAAGATTTAGTGGCACATGCCACTATCCACTGGAACATGCCAATGACAACCGGATGTGCCAATGGCTTATGTGCGTAAGATGCCAAGCCACTTAATGTTAATACCGCCTCTGATGCATCAAATATGATACTCAACAAAAAACATATTTGCAAAAAAAAATCTTTTTTTTTTTAAAAAGTTTAATAAACAAAAAAATAATAAAAATTCAGACTATTTAATGTCATGCTTTACAGGATGTAGTGAATAAGGTTTTATGAAAATTTGTCTCTAAAATCTGATTTTGAATGGATATCAGCTGAATTTTATATTAATCTGTAAGGTACAAAACGTAAAATCTTTGGAAAAGACAGTGGACAATCTCAAAAAAGACAGTGGACTTGAAAGTTTTACCTGCACAAGCATGTCTGACAGGTGTGTGTTATTGGCTCTCTGTCTGAAGGCTGTGTTCAGCTCCTGAATAAACCAGGACCCTTTCTTGGTGTTTCTCATCGCAGCAGTGCCTGAAGCACAAAACACGCACAAAACGCAACACATCAGCAATCTGCTCAGCCTCTAAATGTGACATGATGAATGAAAATAAAATCACTTAATGTGTGATCAAAGAATATACAACAATGTGTACACACTGAAACCTTTAAGGGTGGCGAAGCCGCAGATCATATCAGATCTCTGGGGTAGTTTGACTCTCAGACTCTCCCTTTCTTTCTCCATCCTCACTTTGTTGTCTCTCTCCTCCTCTCTCCCAGCATCCCTCTGTTCACAGCCTGGAGACTGAGTCCGCTCCTGGCCATCCAACTGGTCCACGCCGTTGTCCATCTCCTCTAAAATATAAAGAAAGGTTGTTTGCTTGCTTGTTAACAATTTAACACCATGCCAGCTTCCATCACTATTTCGGGCCTGAGCACCGATGGTGTGAGGACCCTATTGGAATTGCTCTGGAATTTACATTTCATGGCCAAGTTAAAATACAATAAACTCAACACTGACTCAAATCTATTCAAATGTTTCAGCTGATGAAACAATAAAATTTTGGCATGAGGCATGTAATGGTAGATCTTAACCTCATATTAGCAACCGAAACAACCGATTAATATGCAGTTTTATGTCATTTTTCAAGTATTGTATCATTCAGTGAATGTGTCAGCAATTATATCTGAGAAATACTGCTATATATTGCTCAATACACATTTCATTAAAAAAACATATATATTACCAGTCAAAACCATGACTATTCAGTCCATCTCATCCATTTCTTTTTGGGTTTTAATTCTTAAAATTTGGTTTTGTAAAAATATTAATACATTGTTCAAATTTGTTTACAAAATTTATTCTTGTAAGCACTGAAACCTTTAGATCAAAATCTTTTAAAAATAATGAGAAAAAGTCAGTCCATTGTTATTTTAGTATTATTTATTATATAATACTATAGTATTTATTCATGTATATATATAAAATTTTCATTGTAACTTCAGTTGAAGTAATTTTGTCCTGTGTTTGTTATTTTTATACTTTCAATTTATATTTAAAAAAAAATTTTTTAATTAATAATTACTCACCCTCATGTTGTTCCAACCCCGTAAGATTTTCGTTCATCTTCGAAACACAAATTAAGATATTTTTGATTAAATCTGAGAGCTGTCTCAACTTCATAGGCTTCTATGTAATTTCATTCTGCCGGCCCAGAAAAGTTGGTAAAGACATTGTTAAAATAGTCCAAGTGACGAGAATACTTTTTGTGTAAAAAAAAAAAAAAAGAATAAAAAAAAAAAAAACTTTATTCAATTACCGTATTTTCCGGACTATAAGTCGCTTCGGAGTACCAGTCGCATCAGTCAAAAAATGCGGCATGAAGAGGAAGAAAACATAAGTCGCATTTATTTTGTTGTTGTTCAAGCACCCATCTGTGGACTCGTTCCTCTAGCTTTGGCTTCATTACAGTTAAGGGGGTCGCACACCGGACGAGAAGCACAGGGCCGCGTCTAGGAAACCTCGAGGTATCGCACACTGGACACGCACTTTCTCCGTTTATGGCCAGCAATATTGTTATGTTTAAGGACATTATGGAATTAAGATAATGTCTGTACTATATTATGATTGTACTGTACAATTAAATAGAATCGTTGCTGAGTCTGAAGTCTGAACACTTTACCTCAGAGCGTCCGTTAACTGAATGAATTGAGAACATCACCTGAAAATCCGATAACATCAGCAATTTTCACTCAAGCAGCTGATTTCTGTAAATGAATGTAAAACTAAATGTATATTGTAGGGCTGTACTGTCCCAGTCGATTAGTTGATTAATTGGTCGATACGTTCTGATTCGACCAAAATTCTGATTGGTCGATTTTTTGCCGCGTTCATTTCATCAGTTTTGCCGAGCTCATTTCATCAGGTGGAAAGCACTAACTGCTAATGGGGTTGTTTTCAGAGTACCCCTGTTTCACAGGTAACAGTCTGTCTTCAGAACACCCCCCTTGTTTTCAGTTTTTTTGGATTAGCCCAACCCACTGGAGAAGAGAGACAGATAAGTAGCAAGTAGGCTATAGAAGGTTTGATGCTGAATATTTTTTATTTAATTGTGAGAGCATTAAATAGTCAGTCCTTTTCTAACATGTCAACAACAAAGACATTGACAGTGTGGCAGTATTTTGTTAAAATTGATAACGGGAAAAAGGTTGAATGCAAAGTGTGCAAGCAACATCTCGACGACAAACATGACATATCTAAAAGCGGTAAGCTAACTTGTCTGCGTTAGGTTGCCCTGTCTGTTTTAAGTAGACTATATGAACATATCAAAATTGTCATACCAGTTATGCACTTTATTTCATTTCTGCTCTTGATCTGGTTTGTTTAATAAATATTCTTTTTTTATTAAAGTGGACGTGCCTTTTGTGTTTATTAAAGAGTAAAAGCTTTAAGTTAATAGTCTATTCGTGAAGCTGAGCTCCTATGTTCAGCCTCGCTCTGTGCGAGGACATGCACGGTGAAATGATAGTGTCTGACAGTTATAACTTATGACAAAAAGAATGGTCTAAATTATGTTCCATATTCCTCAACAGTTCTTGTGATGATATCACTAGTTGACAACATAGTACTATTTTCGGAAATCATAGGGTATGATATTGCGCAGGTGTACGTGATGCAACGCTGTCAGAGCCGACACACTCGTGTGTCAGACTCATTTCAGTGCAAAATAATTAGGTCAAAAATGATTTAATATACTCAAAGTAGCCAACTAGTTTTTTATGTTGATTTATAATTCATTTAGGTGGACAAGGATACCAAGTACTGCGCACAGTGCGCAGCTAATTAATTTAAAGGTTTTTTTTCTAACGTCATTTTTAGTCGAAAATGTCAGGACTTCAGTCGACCAAGATTTTCTTTGGTTGAGTACAGCCCTAGTATATTGCAGCACAGGGTGAAGTCAGTAAATACGTTAATGACGATTTGAGACAAATAAATGAAAATTTAATATAAAACGATTAAAATGGCACTCTGTGGCGCGGCAGGATTTTGAACAAGGTCCTGAGCCGTTGCTGGGCGCCGCGGACAGACGACGATTGGTTCATCTCAGTCAGTATGAATTAATTTTGATATAGAAGTCGCACCTGACTATAAGTCGCAGGACCAGCCAAACTATGAAAAAAACTGTGACTTATAGTCTGGAAAATACGGTATTCATTTTCTTCCGTGTGGGCCTCTGACGCGAGTTCACGAGAGTGCCACGACGCTTGCGCGAGAACTGAGAAGATGAGAGAAGCTTGTAAACAGACAAGCTGTGTCCCAAATGACGCACTATACACTATTTACACTACAAAATGGCATATAATAGTCCACAAGTACGCGATTTGGGACGCAGCTACAGTGTAGCGCGTCCGGCTATGTCAGGACGTCATCTGCGTCATTTTCTAAGTACTTGCGCATGCGTCGTGGCACTCTCATGAGCTCACGTCAGAGGCCCACACGGAAGAAAATGAATAGTTGAATAAAGTCTTTTTTTTTGCTCAAAAAAAGTATTCTCATTGCTTGATAAACTTAAGGTTGAGCCACTGTAGTCACTTGGACTATTTTATCGATGTCTTTACTAACATTCTGGGCCGGCAGATGCAATTACCTAGAAGCCTATGAGAGGAGTTAGGAGTGAGACAGTTCTCAGATTTCATCAAAATTATCTCGATTTGTGTTCCGAAGATGAACGAAAGTCTTACGGGTTTGGAACAACATGAGGGTGAGTAATTGCTAACAGAATTAAAATTTTTGGGTGAACTAACCCTTTAAATATATATTAAAAAACACTGGTTAAAGAACTGATAACTCTCACCTCCTCGACAAGCCTGAATGAAGAACATCTTTGGCTTATTCTGGAGCAGAGGGCAGCGGGCGTTATCAAAAACCTCAAACACCCAGTCCAACTGAGAGACAGAGACATTGAAAAGTTTAATCTCTGTCTGTGGTTTAAAACTCTGATATCTAAAGGAATCTTTTGCAAGGAAGAAAATTTACTTCCCTTTATAAATGTACAACTGTATGTATAACTAAAAACTAGGTATTCAAATCAGGTGCACCTCCACTAGCTGTCCGTCTGTCCCGTAAATAGATCCCTCAACACCATGAGACAGTAAACACACAACAGCGCAGTCATACTCTGCATGATCCTGCCGCTGGGCAAACTGTTCAAGGCACCCGCGCATTGCCTGAAAAACACACACGAATCATAAAATTATTAATAAATCACTTTGCTTTGCAGGGCAGTCTGACTCTGCAGCATGTCTAACTCTCACCTCTGCTGTTAGGTCTTTGCACAGGCTGACTGTGAAATCCATCTCCGTGAAAAGTCTCCTCAGCGTCTCCTCATCCACCTCTCCCCCCCTCCGGATGTCCAAATCAGTGTTTGCAGAGTCAAACCTCACATTACTCAGCACCAGGGCCAATCCTCGTGGGCAGGAGCGCATTGGGTAAGCCTAAAAGGAAGGACATTTGCATAGAGGATCACACTGAGCTAAAATAGCGTAAATATATATGCTAATAAAGTGGGTGCGCATTGAAAGGAAGAGAGTTTGTGTCCTTATACCTGTGATCTGTGGGACTGGTAAAATTCCGGTGTGCAGGGAAGTACCGCTGTGGTCACGGGACAGTCAGCATCTAAACGCATCTCCATGGACTCTAAAACATACAAAAAAATATTATTTTTTTGCATAATACTTTCTTATATAACAAGTTAGTTTCTGGTCCTCTAATTTGATTGGCTGAGGGGTGTTCCAAGAGCACTAAAATGTATTATAAAAGAGTTATTTTTAACTAAAACCATAACAAATCATTTTCTGTAAATTTAATATTAGATGGAACTTCAAATAAAACAATATATATTATAAAACTACTTAAAATTAACTATTTTATCAAATTAAAATAAAACTACAGAAATTGTAAAAAATAAAAGCACATAACAAAATTACGAACTTAAACTAAAATTAAAGCTACACTAGGCAACTTTTTGATATAAAAAAAGAATAACAAAATGTTATTTAATGAGAGAGTTTAAAAAATCCATCTTCCAAACCTTTAAGTCTTTACTTTACCCAAATACACTATAGTAATGATTTATAATTTAGAACTGTCAGGACATATTTTGACAAACATTGCATAAATACAACATTTGCCTGTGTGTGTCACATCATAAATGTACACAAAGAAAAGTAGCTATGGCTGTCGGTAGTGTGAAGCTAAAAGTTTGTCGTCACAACGAATGAGAATTTAAATAACATGAAAATACAAAATTAAAAGTTAATTCAAACTATCATTAAATACTATAATAGTATATAAATATTACTAAAATAACACTGATATAACAGACACATTCACTTTTTGTGAACTCTGCTTATCAATGATTGTGTGCGCATTACATAAATTCTGCCATGACATTAACATAGTTTTATATTGTGCACAAACACAAATAAAAGCACACTTGAGTGCTCACCATAAGTCCTGGCTCTTTTTGCAGGTATCACACATTCCTGAGTTGGGAGAGATAGTGGGGGCTCTGAAAAACTTTCCTATAAAGTTTTTAAAAAAAACACACAAAATCACTCGTCTACATTAGCTACTACAGGCTTTACGTGTGAATACATACAACACAGAAAGTTCAAGTCAGTGTATTACTCACTATTCCAGGTGAAAGGAGAGTTGGTACTTGTCTGTTTGGTTTTTGTGAAAGAATCACTGCAGTTTGGGTGTGGTAAACTGGTGCACAATATGGACGTCGTTGCTGCACAGTAACTTCCCCTTTAGTTCTACTCTATCTCCCTTTTATTCTACTGACCCAGCTCTGACCTCTGTGGGTGGCTCGATTTCTATACGTCTCATGGTCATAAGATTTACACCACAACTCTTCCTGTCACTTATTGTCTGGGAAGATTTTGTATTTTGGATAAGAACATTTTTTAAATAGTTTATTTCATTATGCATAGTTTATTTATTAAAACTGCCAATATAAACAAAACAAATATGCTTTAATCTCTTGTCATTAAGTGCAGATCATCAAGTAAATAGCTGCTTTAGAGTACAAAAAATTAGAATAATGATGCACAAAGTTTCTTTCTCTGAATACAGCACTTCTGTTTTCCTTGCCTCCCTGTTTCTTCTGTCATCACTAAGAAAGACTTTCCCCGTCCCTAACTTCTTGATCACTAGGGCTGCCCCCTATTAGTCGACTTATCGTTTTTTAAATTGGACTGTATCTTTCAACATATTTTTTGATGTTTGTTCATGTTTATTTCGTTCTGTAACGTAGTAAAGAGGAAGGAATTGGATCGCGTTCACTCACGCTCCGCTTGAGCTCAGACGCTACAGTGATCTCAAATTTTGTGGTGATTGCATAAAGTAATCAAAAATTACAGCATTTGGAACCAAGATAGCCTTTTTGTTCAGTCCTTGATGCCCCCTAATGGGCATTTTTTAAATTGTTCCTCCATGAGGAATATCTTGTGATCAACGCAATAGATTACTTTGTACTGCTGGTGGGACACTTCGGGTTTAAGGGGTTAATATAATATAGTCAACTAATCGCTTAAATGAGTGTCTAATAGTCGACTAGAAAAATCTTTAGTCGAGGGCAGCCCTATTGAACACAGCAACCATTATGTTCTTATAGAAACCTGTCAAGTCAGTGGGTGTGATCCTGAAGTGGAGGCAGCAACTCACGTCTTTCTCAGTGAAGTCCATAAGCAGTCTGCAGAGGTGCTGTTGCTCTGTCGCCGTAAGAGCAGCACAGAAGCTGCTAAATGCCCGAGGGCCACGTTTGGGCAAAAGAAACAACAAATGGCGACTCTTGCCCTGGGACGTCGATTTAGCCTGAAAGATTCAAATCATGCCAAGGTTAAAAATAATCAAAGCATTATTTATGAGGCTTTACACTGGAGGTCGGATTTTCCCAATACAGATAACCAAGTTGGGCAGTACCTGATTAATTAACCAATAGACATTTTTTAACTGATACTGAATCAAAACATAAGTGATGAATTTAATGCAAAAATAAAGAGCATTGACTGAACCATGACAGTGTATTGAACTTTTGAAATAAAATATAGAAATATTAATATATTAACTAAATTAAATTAATCCAAAATGATTTAAAAAACATTTGTATGTGGATGTGGCTTCAGAAACTTTGCAGTCTCTGTGTGGCCGTTGTTCCTCTTAGCAGCATGAAAAACCAAACTTTTTTTTAATATATATATATAAAGTGTGGAAAGTGCGGTCCCTTTGTAATCACTAAAAAGCTGTCACTCATCTCTAGGGCTGGGTCTGGTTCAAAAATTTTCGATTTTCGATACTCTATGGTAGAGGCAATTTGGTTGGTGTAAAATATAGATGAATCTGTATTAAAGTTACAAAAGGTATTCAGTCAAGATCAGTAAGTGATTTTCTTTTCTGACAGGTTTATTTAGGCTGCTGTCACTTTAAGACCAAATGCACAAATAAAATAAAAAACTGTCACACATGCGTTTTCTTTCTCAACTTTTTATGTTCACTTCACAGACATAACCTACTGTTTTTACGAGAATATTTTTACAGAATTGTGTGTATTTCTCTGTTCACAAAAGAGAACTCAATTAAGTTTTCACGTCTTCTTTGGCTTGAATGGTTTAAAATCACATTAAAATGTGCACACAGGAATCGATAAATGGAATCTAAAGTCCCCGTAAGTGGTACCTCTAGTCCCCGTAGAACCCAACCCCGTTGAAATTGTTATATTCAATTGTATGTACTCTCTTTTAAAGCACATTATGATTAGCTAGTAAAAATAAAAATATGTATTACAGTGAAGATAATATTTTTTTTACTGAAATCAGATGCGTTCCTGATTTGTTACGCATCTCTCGGCTGCATGAACATATCACTCACATCACCTTGCAACTTAGCTGGCTATTAAATGCATAAACGTGCCAGCTGTATATAAACTAATGCATATAGCAGGGAACTACACTGCGACCAAAATTGTCGCATATGCGACCTTTTGAAATGCCATTGCGACCATAATTTTTAATGGGTCGCAAATGTATCTCTGATTATTTTTGTACCTACCTTATGTTTTAGGCAATATGCTATGATTTACTATGAGCATTTATTAAAACAGATATGTGTATTTTAAGAATATGTTTTATAACGTGCTCTGAGCATTCAACACATCAAGTTGCCTTAAGCCCAGCGGAATGGTATAGGCGTAGCCTAACGTTGCTTTAAAAAAAAGAAAACCTCTCGTTAAGACACACGCAGCAATCGCATATTACATATATCAACATAGCCTACAATCTGCACGTGTTGAAATGAAGCGGACAATTGACTCCTTTTTTAAGAAGGGAAGTTCAAGTGTAACAGAACCATCACTTGATGTCGATTCGACATGTCAAACGGAGCCTGTGAGTGAGAATAATGAGGCTGAGAAGGATTCGTCAGGAAAAGCACGCGCGGGAAAAATGATACGGACATATGAATTTCGACACCAGTGTCTCCAAGAATACCAGTGGTTAAGGTACCAAGACGGAGCAATGCACTGTGTGTACTGTAAATTCTGTGGGACTTCAATTGCAGGACTGTCCAAAATTGTAACTGCGTCAAAACAATTCAAACACGAATTATTGAAGCTTCACAATGACAGTATGAAGTACGCAAATTATTATTATATTATTTTATGGATTATATTTATTTTATTTTTCCTTAAGAGTTCAGGAGTCTGCCCATCTGTGCCAACCATAGCATGCTGAAATCCAAAAGAAATTCATTTTGCACTTTATTGTGTACTGTATTTTCTATTGCAGTAAATCTATCCCAACCAATTTTAAAGAAAACAAGAAGGCATGTGGTTTAAAAGATGGCAAGTAAAATAAAAACCACATCTGTATGCAATACAGTGTCATTATTGTTCATTATTATCCAGAGCGGCTTACTATAAATTATTTGTGCGACCAAATCATGTTTTGCGCCAGTAACTGAAAAATTTAGTAGCGCAAGTGCCACCAGTGGAAAAGGTTAAGGGGGTCGCACACCGGACGAGAAGCTCAGCGCCGCGTCGCGCAGTGCCACATCTTTTAAATTCAAACACATTATTCTCTATGAGTGTACACACACCGGCGGCGCCATTCGGCGTCTGTCCGCGGCGCCCAGCTACGGCTCAGGACCTTGTTCAAAACCCTGCCGCGCCATAGAGCGCCATTTGCATAGTTTTATAGTAAATGTACATTTATTTGTCTCAAATCGTCGTTAATGTACATGGCTTCACCCTGTGCTGTTTTCACTCGGGTTAGCTAAACGCTATCTAAATAAATACTATTGTATCATGTGACATATTTGCCTAGACAACGGATAACGTTACAACAAAATAACAGACTCAACGTGATAGACACTTTTACTTGATTTACGTTCAAACATCAGCTATTATTCAATGAACATAAAAAAATAAATAATTAATCAAGATAAAACACACATCGTGCAGCTCTTCTACCAGGAGTTGATTCAAAATTGTGCTCGTGCGAATAGAATGTGCGCGTCCGGTGTGCGATACCTGGAGTTGTCCTAGACGTGGCGCTGCGCTTCTCGTCCGGTGTGCGACCCACTTTAGTGTAGTTCCCTGATATAGACCGTAATTATAATGACATTTAAACATTTGTTTCGGATTTGCGTGTATTTTTGTCCCATTGTTCTAATCACTTGAGGTACTAATTTTAACGCCCTCTCAGCCTTGTCGGCAAACAACGGCTCTTCTCTACTAATGCAGCAAATAGTATTTTAAAATATGCCAGCATGCTCTGTAGTTTTACTGTATACATTAGGACTGCAGAATAATGGTTAAACTGATAATCACAATTATTTTGCTCAAAATTATAATTAATTTTATCAAAAGGGTTACTATACACTTCACTTAAAAGGCGTGTAGGTGGCACAACTTCATGACATGATAATACAAAACACATGGTTTTGATGAGAGCTTTGCAATCTGTAATACGCATTTGATTTTCTAAGCGACAAAATTCGTTTGCACACGAGACAAACTACAGCTTAAAATCGCTCAAAGTGTTGATTACAGCATTCCATTTTGAATTTAAGTTGCAACAATATTTTCTGTTTACAACATATTTGCAGTGATTTCATGTGGATCTAAAATTAAGCTTTACACTTACCATTATGCTCTCTGCCATGTTTTCTGTGAGGATTCCATCTTGTTGCAGACACTGGATCAGAAGATCATCCACCACTAAATCCTGCAGCATCGTGACTGAGTTCTTTCTGAGTGCTAGTCTCTCCCATTCTTTCATGCCACACTCTCCCAGCATGATGAACCGCTAAATTAAAAAAAAGGAAAATAACAGACATAAGCTACAAAACATTCATTGTAACAAAGTGTATATAAAACTAACTTAGGTTTTTGTTTATCGTAAAACAATAACATAAAAAAATATAAATCTACACATATAAATATGAAATTATAAAAAATATATAATGTAATAATAAAGTTATATTAAAACATAAGCAAGTGGTCATTTATTATTATAATTATAAGGAAAATGAAGCTTATTCTAAGGGACATTATAAGACTGCATTGTAACATTACTTCATTAATGTATTTTTTTTTATTAATTGTTATGAAGTATTGGGAGATCATAGTAGTATTTGTTGTGGTGATGGCTTAAAAACTGATTAAATTAAAACTATTTTATTATAGTACTTCTTTAGTATTGACAATGACAAAAATAGAATGTAAAAAAAAAAAGTAACTTTATATATATATACATATATATATATGGGGTCAAAGCGACCTTCCATGCTATACTAACCCGAATCACATAGTTACTCGCACACGCACAGGTGAGGAGTGTCACTGATCTACATGCCTTCACACAACGGTCTGCTAGTGTCTGCTGACTAATAATGACTAACAAGCCAAGGTTCACTTTACCTGTTGTGTTACAGCCCTCGTCGTGTGAAGATGACAGTAAAAGACACTACACGAATGATGTATGAAGGATGATGTTGATTTGAAGTAACTGTTAAATCCAGAATTATGAACGCCAGCTCGCGCTGCGACTAGCTTAGCATGCTAATCAAAACAAAAATCACAACTGTCAATATAAAACACTTCTGACACTAACTAAAGCATAAAAACAGAACAGCTGCTAAACTGCAGCTCAAATCGTTTTTTACTCCTTTCCGATGCTGTTTATCAAGTTGGCGACCGATAAAAAATTAAACTGAATTAACAACGAGCTACACAATACTATTAGCTGTCAGGTGCTAGCGCTTCATGCGAGCTTTGTTTTTCTAGACGCAGAATTCGTCCTTTTAAACTTCATTGTCTCTTTGTTTTTCGTTGTCGTTCACGAGGCTAAACGCTGAACGACAGAGTTTGTGCTGAAAAACGGACGAGTATTTTTAAAATATAACTGACAGTACGCCGATTCTCTCTGTACAAACTTCCGCGGGTCCTGATGCAGCGAGGCAGCCAATCGGCATTGTGTGTGAAGATGATTGACGCGAGCAGCAGCCTATCACAGCACCGTCCGCCCACTAAAGGGGCTGATATCATGTTGATGTTTAATCCACTTATTTGAAATTTGAAACTTGAAACTTGTGTAATACCCTATTTTTTACAGTCTATGGTAATACCACACAGACGTTTCCATGGTTTAAAATTAACATTAAATACCAGCACAAGACTCATTTCTGTTCACTGAGCAGTTTTTCTTATTTCAAGTTTCCATATTTCCCAAATTTTTTCAGTATAAATAAAATGCAATAAATCTAATAAATCCCAGACTGTTTCAGTCACAGTGCAACTGGAATGTCTATTAAATGGGACAACCTCAAACATACTGTCCTCGAAGTAATCTTTATAATTCCTCGGTTATAAAACTTGCAATTCTTAATTTTTTTCTGTTTGTTTTTTAAAACCTATATAAACACCCCTTTTGTCCTAGTTTTTTTTTTATTTATTATTATATTTATTTATTTATTTTAGACTTTAATATGCATTTATTTAATTAGTTTTACTGTGAGAGCTTGTTTCTCAAAGAGTCACGTCTTGTGATAATTGTCATTGGACCGAGCAGGTTACGTTTTATATTAAACATATTCTCAGCTCTCAAATTCTGTCAAGTTTATTACGAAATTCAAACAATAACCGTTTTGGCGCTTTTAAATGTGACGTGACAGATCGATATAGTGCCTCAGTTCAAGCGGCACGTGACGTGAACCTAGGAAATTAACACGAATGAACAATGGTTGAAAAAGAGACAGTACAACTTACCGAAATGTATCCCTCATACAAAATATCGATCAATCAGTGTTTTTTCAACTGCGGAAAGAGGTCAATGAATGATTAGCGCTTGGGTGTACAGTAGGCCATGCAAGACTATATAAATGCTTCATTCATTCGTAAAACAGCTGGAGAACAATGCCACATAACCTTACATGCCACATAACCTTACATTTACCTCAGGAAAGCCATTTAATGACCATATTATATATAACACGTTAGTTGGCTAGAAAAATTGGCTATAGAGAGGAGTATTTTCCTAAATATGTGCACTATAGGCCTATTAGCCTACATGTTTATTGTATTTTTACATATTTCATTAAAATATTATAATGTTGTTATTATAATAAAACCCACATTATATTTAATTGAGGTGTAATAATAATACCAGCTAACAGTGTTCTCTGTATTAGGTGAGATTTTTTTCTTGAGAAAAATTTACATGTATCTATACTGTACCTAATATGTATCCAAATGAATCGGAATCAAATTACAAGAATTGAAATCGTGAAATTTGTGTCAAGCTATAATAAAAACTGTAGCCTACCAGTCATTGTACCATGTAAACGTTGTAACATGTTGTCACTAAACCTAGTAAAATTATGTTTAGTTACCAAATGTTTTGACAATCACAATACATTTATTGTGATGTAAAAAAAAAAAAAAACTTGCATCCTCCAAAGTTTTTTTTGGAACCAAACAAAAGTAAAACCCAATATATATATATATATATATATATATATATATATATATATATATATATATATATATATATATATATATATATATATATATATATATATATATTTATAAAACGGTTAGTTCCAATCCTTGATTCTGATTGGTCAATAGCTGTGCTTTATTCACGATAAAACACGGCTATGACCGCTTCACCCAACGGTTCTATGTATCACTACACAACACCCCTAGCAACCACTCTTAGCAACTTAAACAGATGTTTCATCTCATTGATATTGTTCATTTAAAGCTAGAGCAGAGCATTGTGAGAGATCGAGTAAGCGAGTGTACCTGCATTTACAGTAGACGTAGCATTTTCCTTCAGGTCAGTCCTATATTCATAATAAAAAAATGCGTTTGAATGTCCGCTGCATATTTTGTCCTTTTAACAGTCATGGGATTTTCCGTGCATAACGTTAGTCATCTGTCAGTTGCGTCTGTCTTCTCCGTGATCACAAGTTCGAGTCCTTTCAAAAGCCTTCTCTACAGACTCACTCACTCACTCACTCATAAAGACAGTCTTTGCCGCCATCTATTGGCGAAATAATATATGTAACTTCTGTTGCTGTTCACGTTCCGGGACTATTTTTTCCAGCGGAAGGCAGGCTTTTAGTGATTTTACTTCATGAAAGTTGCATAGATACATATTTTTCGGCTTTAATATTTTTATTGTGTGGCAACCGTTTTATAAAAGCAATAAGGTACTCGAGGCAAGTGCTGTATCGTGAATAAGTAACGGCTGAAGGGGTTGCAGGCACTCCGCTTCGCGTCGTGCCTAACAACGCCCTCCAGCCGTTACTTATTCACGATACAGCACAGCCTCTCGTACCTTATTGCTTACATATATACACTCACCTAAAGGATTATTAGGAACACCTGTTCAATTTCTCATTAATGCAATTATCTAAACAACCAATCACATGGCAGTTGCTTCAATGCATTTAGGGGTGTGGTCCTGGTCAAGACAATCTCTTGAACTCCAAACTGAATGTCAGAATGGGAAAGAAAGGTGATTTAAGCCATTTTGAGCGTGGCATGGTTGTTGGTGCCAGACGGGCCGGTCTGAGTATTTCACAATCTGCTCAGTTACTGGGATTTTCACGCACAACCATTTCTAGAGTTTACAAAGAATGGTGTGAAAAGGGAAAAACATCCAGTATGCGGCAGTCCTGTGGGTGAAAATGCCTTGTTGATGCTAGAGGTCAGAGGAGAATGGGCCGACTGATTCAAGCTGATAGAAGAGCAACTTTGACTGAAATAACCACTCGTTACAACCGAGGTATGCAGCAAAGCATTTGTGAAGCCACAACACGCACAACCTTGAGGCGGATGGGCTACAACAGCAGAAGACCCCACCGGGTACCACTCATCTCCACTACAAATAGGAAAAAGAGGCTTCAATTTGCAAGAGCTCACCAAAATTGGACAGTTGAAGACTGGAAAAATGTTGCCTGGTCTGATGAGTCTCGATTTCTGTTGAGACATTCAGATGGTAGAGTCAGAATTTGGTGTAAACAGAATGAGAACATGGATCCATCATGCCTTGTTACCACTGTGCAGGCTGGTGGTGGTGGTGTAATGGTGTGGGGGATGTTTTCTTGGCACACTTTAGGCCCCTTAGTGCCAATTGGGCATCGTTTAAATGCCACGGCCTACCTGAGCATTGTTTCTGACCATGTCCATCCCTTTATGGCCACCATGTACCCATCCTCTGATGGCTACTTCCAGCAGGATAATGCACCATGTCACAAAGCTCGAATCATTTCAAATTGGTTTCTTGAACATGACAATGAGTTCACTGTACTAAAATGGCCCCCACAGTCACCAGATCTCAACTCAATAGAGCATCTTTGGGATGTGGTGGAAGGGGAGCTTCGTGCCCTGGATGTGCATCCCACAAATATCCATCAACTGCAAGATGCTATCCTATCAATATGGGCCAACATTTCTAAAGAATGCTTTCAGCACCTTGTTGAATCAATGCCACGTAGAATTAAGGCAGTTCTGAAGGTGAAAGGGGGTTAAACACAGTATTAGTATGGTGTTCCTAATAATCCTTCAGGTGAGTGTATATGCCTTTTAGGCACTAAAAATAATCTCACAGAAATTTTATATGTAATATAATACTCATTTTTTCTAGAAAATAATTTTTATAATATCCAGAGAAATGTATACTCTGTGAAGAACTACACAAGTGCATACACAATTCAGTAATCAAACACTTTATTCATACTTTCCAAAGCAAACAAAATGAATGTTTTCACACTAAAATTGTAAAGAACACAAAAACAGTTGCAAGAACAGTAAAGTCACCTCTTTGCACAGGCCTGTATCTCATGAAGCACATCGGAATAACATCAAGCCAAATGCGTCATACCTTTATGCTATTAATATGGACTCTAGTTATTAAAGCAAAGCATTTCTAATCTGATACTATAGAAGTGCTTTTCAAAGAGCCTCTAACTCACTTTTAGACACAGACCAAAACTTAAATGATACATAATAGTAGAGCACCTTGTATGGCTTATAACTATCAGCTCTGTTTCTCCTGATCTTGTTAATAGTTGTAATGCTATGATCTATAGCTCAAAAACAGGAGTGTTTATGCTCATTTATGATGATCTCAGCACCTCAAGGGCATAAAGAAAATGAATGACTCCACTAAAAACAAAATCAAGCTTAAAGCGTCAGTGCATTCAAACACACGATACATTAACAAAAGCGTTGAAAGAAAAATATACTGCTGCTCTGTCTTAATCTGAAATTTTGTCCTGTGGTTTCCACTGAGGCTTTACAGTAATTCCTACTGTATGAAATAGAGCCCACAGTCAAAGAATCACATTAATATTCGCAACATCAAAAAGCCAAAATTCAGAAAAAAAAGAAGAAAACCAACCATATGGAAACGCATTTCCTTTCACATTTTCTTTGAAGTTGTTTCACTTTAACTGTTAATTGTTGTCAGTGGTAATGTGCCACAGATGACTTTCTCCAAGAACACTTTTTTCCTCAAATATATCTTATGATCGCAATTTATCGTTAATAACAATTCAGAAACATCATATATAGGTTATAACAGCGTGAAGAGGTAGGCCTGATCCTTATGTAACTTCTCCACACTAACACAATATTCCACAACAAATAGCCAATTTGGAATATAAAGCGAAGCATATTTGTGAGTATAATTTTTCAAATAAACAATTTCAGTGACTTTTTTGAAAATTCTGAAACAGAAAATTCATGTTTAACATTGATTGAGTTGGAGCATGAGCTTAAAAAACTTCATTTCAGTTTCATCAGACATGGGTTCATACTGCATGTAAAACTTGATTGGAAATAAGTACTTGTACTTTATACCAAACCACATCTATGTGGTGACCATATCACACAGTCAAGCAGCATTGATGTCTTTTACTACCTATAGACTGAAAACAGGGGCAGTGTTTCATGTTGATGATATCTTGCCATAAATATTAAATAACCAAATCTATCTGTGGGACTTTGGATTTCTGAATACTAGTTAGCAAACACCAAATTAACATTTTAAGGGATAAACAGAGAATAAGTGCTATTGGGAAGTAAAAAAAAAAAAAGAAGAAAAAACAGCAGCACTTCTGAACTAGGAACACGCCTGCTGAACTGAACATCTCTCTTTGGGTTTCAAAACCATAAACTGTCCAGCCTCTGTTCATTGGTTGTTATGATTTGGTCACATGGGAAGTAAATGGTCATCCCTTTCTTCTGGCTCCTCCCCAAGAGGTTCAGTAGCCACACCTCTGTATGTGGGGGGTTCTTCTCTGTTACCACGGGATCGGCAGACGAAATCACATCCGTCCTGTTAGGGTAATAAAAGGGTATATTTGGTTCATAAAAGGAAAAAAAAGAATGACTGAAACAGGAGACAGAGACCTATATACGTATTTACACCTACAGCAGATAAGTTGCCGATCTGTGACCAAAAGGCATAGTTGGGGAACTGTTCAACTCCCTTGGCTCCAACTACCAGTCGCTGATAGAGGAATCCACCGGTAAGATACACAGCCAGGCAGGAGAATACACTATGAACAGCAAACAGGAACATTACATGTAAAGTATGTGCAAAAAACATGAATGTTTCTTCTTTATTGCCACTAATGGTGTGATGATCCCTCTGAGAATGTTGAAGCACTCACACAATAAGGAATATGGAGCCGCCACTGAGTTTGGATGGGATTTTTTGACAGAGTACATTGGTGTCCAGCTCAAACAGGTAATAACAGTCATCTGGCTTCTGATTGTCCTCCAAAACCACTGAAAAGTCATTCTAACAAAACAAAGCAATTAATGATTAATAAGAAAATGACTGAGTTGATTAGGTTATTCTGGCTATTTTCATGGTAAAGGCTATGCTATCTTGCATACCCGAGTTATTTGTTTAGTCCAAAAGTGACAATGCACTAATGCTAGTAGCCAGCCAGGGTTTGACATTAACTTGTTTTGCGCACCAGCCACTGTGGATAGTGTTTTTCCAAAGTTACTAGCCACTCAGCATTTTCACTGGCCACAATTTTAACATCGATACCATGGGGAAAAACTGCCATATAAATATTTTTAATATTATCTCATAATTTGGCAGCAGGTATATTAGGCTGCTGTCACTTTAAGACCTGAAGCACGGATCCATTATACTGTTACACATGCGTTTTCTTTCTCAACTGTTTACGTTACCTTAAAACATGTCTGACTGTATTTACGTGAATACTCGGCAAGATCGGCATTTTAACATTATTTTGTGTGTATTTGACTGTTTAAGCGCAGTAAGCAGCGAACCCGAACTCAAGGCAGCTTTAAGGTGCGAGCACAAAATCTGCTGGAATGAGTAAAATTATCCCACGCTGAAATTCAAGCACTTTAACTCCAACAATATTCATCCGGAGCAAAAGAAACGAGCGAGTGAGGGGAGGCGGGTTTGTTTTACGAAAACTAAAATATAAACAAATTTTTTAAACAACAAAAGTACATAACAAAACTACTAAAACACAAAAAGTGTTTCTGAACTGTCACTACTGTCATTTAATGCAATAAGGATTGCCATTTTACAAATAGACCTACCAATCCCTGTGTAAAAATAAAATAATGATGCTGCCATGTTTCTTACGTCATTTTTTAGAAATTCGTCACTCTGACCCCGCTATACAAAACAGTGGATTACTCCATAAATATTAATCCATAGCATTTAATATTTTGGCTTTCATCACTATTAAAAAATATGAAAAGTTTCTGAAATGTGGTTGTTTGGATACGGAATGACCCGACCCGATAGTCCTGCTCAGCTGAAATAGTTAAACATTTTCAACTTCAATTCAACGGGGAGGGGTGATCCCACAATTCCAAGCAATCATTTTCACTGAATACATCTCAACAAGCAATCTATGCCATATCCAAAGGATAAAAAGTTCATACCTTAGCATTTTCGTTGCATGAAATCATAATCATGGCTTTTCTTGGCTCTTTTGAACAGTGGGTGTCATAATTCTCACCCCCCTCATAGATGAGCAAAATCCAGTCACCTGCACCAAGAATAAAAGCAGAACTATTGTAGAAAATGAGTTAACACGACTTCCCGTGACACCTGTAATAAGATCTGTAATTTAATAAAATTTGATCTGTGTATTATATGTGTTGTTGCAAAAGAACATTGTAAATTAATCCCTGCCAATAAAAAGAAAATGTCAGTTGTCATTATTATAAATCAACGGTGATATGAATGACTACTGAAATAAATTAATATGCAATTCAATTGGAAAGAGATACTGAAGACCATAATGGGTTCAGAAAAGTCCACCTGTAGCAAAAAAGAAACAAAAGCAGAAACGTCATTTCTAAAGGTCAAGCAACGTAACATACTTCCTTTAATGGCTCGTGTTTTAGTGTAGATCCCAATTGGGACCAGCTTGTCATCTTTGTCATCTTTCTGCACAAGACCTGCATTCTTCAATCCGCCAGCATCTCCACACACCTGAAAAATGTACGAATATGCTTCCTGCTGTTGTCCTTTCACGGTGAAGCTGTTCAGAGTGAATATGAGGATAGTTAGAAAGTTGGCAACTTTAACAAGACCAGCACAACCTGCAAACATGAATGCAAGACTACTGTATCTTGCAAAAAGCTGGTTTACCTTTGATTGGTGAGAGGCTCTAGTAAAACGAGCGCATTTTTCTCAGATTCGCTGGATGAAATCAGCTTGCAGTTGTCCGTGTTGCGCTTAGCTTGCACTCCAGCAAGTAGTACAAAAAGAGGAGTGATTATTCTCACAGACAGCAACATGACTTTCAGAGGTGATGCCTGATGGGAAAAGGGCATTAAATAAACTTGTCAGTGAATGTATCTATTGACTGAATGATGCATGGATACAGTACATACAAACCAATGACAGAATTGTGGGCAGTGTAACAGTAGCATTACACAATATATGCACAGAATATATACACATGTAATGCATATTGTATTATACAGAATCATGTGTTCTATGATTAGTAAAGAACTCATGGACAAAAATTAGACAGTGTCCTTTTTCTTGGTTAACTTCAATCACCTTTGGTATCTTATAAAATCTTGCATATTTTATAACATTTTATTCAGCTATTCGTTTTTTTTTTATTGTCCACACCTTATGTGTACTTCACAAATACAATAAATCAAAAACTCTGAAATATCATGAAATATTTTTGCTCAAATCTGATTCATATTTTAGCTGCATAACACTATAAAAGGGTCAAAAATGAAAGGTCATTAGTATTTTTCCAATTATACGTCATATTTGTAAAAGACCACAGAATGAACCCATTACTTTATTTCGAAAATACAATTTTATAAAACTCGAGGAAAATTGCAAACTGTGCATGTTTACTAACGTTAACAAAGCCTGGTTCTAATGCCAAACACGATGTAATAATCTATATGTGATATTACTGAAAACGGTTCGAAAAGACAACATAAACTTAAACTGCATCGATCCAAGTTCAAGTAAGCAATGAAGCAAACGGTAACGTTAATTAAGAACTTTAATTAGGAAACCAGATACACAAGCTGCTGTTAGCATAAGCTGCCATCTTTAATATGCAATTAAATAAATGCACAAAGTTAAACACAAACGTACCTTTCGGAATTTTTATGACAGTGTTAACTGTAGAAAAATTAAAAGTGGAAGGTCTCAACTAGTTGTCTAGATGTGGACACCCAGCCTGGGGTTCTTCTTTCCAAAAGTGTCGCACTAGTTGATGTCCTTAAACAACACTTAACGACATTCCGTCAAAATATACGCTAGTGTCGATAATTACACAGTGAATAAACAAACTTCGGTCAATTTTAGCGTTAAAACAATTGCATGATTTAAAGGATTTATCTGTTTCTGTTCAAACGCGGAAGTGAAACTAAACAGGCGCCACATGTGACTGTGAATGACGCGGAAGCTGATGCGCTGCTGCACGTGAACATGGGATATTGAGTGCAAGTGTGAGTTGATCATCAAACAAGACCTGTTTTTCCCTGACAAGTCTCAGTCAGCTCTCCTGTTTGACTTAGATATTATCGTAGAAGTAAACTCCAAAAGATTCAGTCAGACGAAGAAGTGAGGATGAAAAATCATTTTTATTTTTATAAAGAATAAAGGAATAACAAATGAAGAATAAATTTGAGTAGTGAAGTGAAATGTTGGGCCCTTGAAGCAGAGAACTAAGGGAACAAGGGCATATGTACAGGAAACTTCCCTTTGTTTATGTCAGATATAGGCTAGGTCAAGTAGATATCCATTATGTCAGGGGTGCCCAATCCTGTTCCTGAAATCTACCTGTAGATGTGTGTACAAACTCACTGACACCTCGTGTAGAACTCAGGTCTGCTCTTTATTATTATCATACACTTCTGAATAGTTTCCGCTTCTTACCAGACCTCCTACGTCATCTTACACGTCATCAACATTATCTACATCCCCCTTCTTAATGATGAGTATATATATATAACCGTTAGCCCTTAACTTTATCTGCTATATAAGTGCAGTGAAACTGGAAAACAGTGTACAACCTAACATGTGTACCAAAATATGATACAACACTGCACAACAAAATACAACGTTTAACTTTTTTTTTTCTTTTTTTTTTTTTTTTTTTTTTTTGCTGCTGAAATATAGGTAGAGAACTCTCTAAGCTTATGTCGTGTAGTCTTTGTATCGGGGGTTGGGCTTTGATATTCTTCCTGAACGGGTGATAACTACGGGTGGTTCCTGCACATGTTCCCTTTGCGGCTGTTCGACATTAGGCTGGGGTTCTGGCAGGGGTTCACTATCGGGGTTGAGTGGGGCCTCTGTTGTTGTGGGCGGGTTGTATTGTTCAGGTGTGTGTAGGAGGTGGCGCCTGTTTCTCACATATGTCGCATCTCCGGACTGGACCTGGTAGCTGTTTGGCTGCGGTGCTCTTCCTATTACCGTCGCCAATCTGTCATATCCCCTACTCGTCTGTATTCTTATTGTCTGCCCTGCTTGCAATGGAACCAAAGGTCTGGCTGATCTGTCATAATGTGTCTTTCCTCTCTGTCTTGTCCGTGTCAGAGCTGCCCGGACCTGTGTTTCTACCTTTGGCACATACATAACCTTGGTCATGGGAATGAGGGTCTTAGTGCGCCGAGAAAACAGCCGCTGGGCTGGTGAGGGCAGCCCATCTCTTGGTATGTTGCGCAAATTGAGCAGTGCCACATACACATCTGTACCATCACGTGCGCATTTTTCCAGCAGGTGTTTAGCCGAGCGTACAGCCCTCTCAGCTAGCCCATTTGATTGAGGGTAGTGGGGGCTGCTGGTGACATGGCAAATGTCCCATATGTGGGCAAATTCTTGGAACTCCCTGCTTGTGAAATATGCTGCATTGTCAGTCATTAGCTGTTGAGGCGCTCCATGGGTGGCAAAGTGGCGCTTTAGCCTGCTTATGATGGTCGCGCTGGTCACGTTTGGGAGTTGGTCTATTTCAAACCAGCCGGAGTATGAGTCAACGAGCACCAGATGTTCTTTCCCCCCCCACTCAAAAACGTCTGCGGCGGTGAGAGCCCATGGCAAGTCTGGTATATAATGCAATTGAAGGGGCTCCTTTGTTTGGTGCGGTCTGAGGGCATTACAAGGAGCACACCTGGAGATTTCATGTTCAATGTCCTGGTATATGCTGGGCCAAAACATGGTTTCTCTGGCCCTGCGTTTTGTTGCTTCTAGGCCCGGGTGGCCCTGATGCAGCTGTCTGATATAATAGGGTTGCAGTGAGTGGGGAATGACGAAACGCTGACCACGGAGCAATAGGCCATTATCAACCGTGAGTTCGTCTCTTATGGCATAGAACTGCCTGAGGTCATGTGGCAGCTTCTTTGATGAGTCAGGCCAGCCCTCCGCAACGACCTCAGATAAGCGCCTGCACAGGTGGTCTGCCTGTGTTTCCTGCCTCAGTTCCACAATTCTTCTTGACGAAAGAGCTTCCACTGTCATCACATCGTAGTCCTCACTAGTTTCGGCCAAGTCAGTGGAGGGCAGGTGTGCACGCGACAGCGCGTCTGCTAGGTATAGCTCTTTGCCTCTCTTGTAAATGACATTGAGGTTGTAGCGCTGCAGCTTAAGCATCATCCTCTGAAGGCGTGCAGAAGCTGAGTGTAGTGGTTTTCTTAGAATAGTGATGAGAGGCTGATGATCAGTTTCGACAGTCACTGGACGGCCATATATGTAGTCATGGAATTTCTGACAAGCATAGACAAGGGCCAACAGCTCCTTCTCTATCTGAGCGTAGCGTGACTCAGTCTCTGTAAGTGCTCTTGAGGCAAACGCCACCGGTTTGTTGTTCTGGAGGCAGACAGCACCCAAACCATGCTGCGAGGCATCTGCAGATAACACCACCGGCTGATGCACGTCAAAGTACTGAAGTACAGGAGGACTTGTGAGTAGTTCTTTGAGTCTGGTGAATGCTGCCATGTGGTGTTCCTGCCAACACCACTCTACATCCTGAAGCAGGAGTTGGCGGAGGGGTGCTGTGGTTTCGCTATAGCCCGGGATGAATTTTGACAAATAGTTTGTCATACCTAAGAACCTTTGGACTCCATGCTTGTCTGCTGGGGTTGGCATTGAACGGACAGCATCTGTCTTTGTAGGGTCGGGCTTTATGCCCTGGTCAGTTAGAAGGTGACCCACATACGACACCTCAGACACCCGAAAACGGCACTTGTCAGGGTTAAGCTTAAGGTTTACAGCACGTATTCTGTCCATGACCTGGCGGAGGCGCAGATCATGCTCTTCTCTTGTGCTGCCCCAAACGAGGATGTCATCAACCACGATTGCACATGGTTGTCCTTCAAAGAGCTGCTCCATACACCTTTGGAAGACTTCACTACCCGTGGATATCCCATAAGGCATTCGGAGGAAGGCATATCGGCCCACTGGGGTCATGAAGGTTGTCAGCTTTGATGACTCCTCACTGAGTGGCACCTGCCAGAACCCACACTTAGCATCAAGGATGCTGAACACCTTGGCTCCTGGCATGTCGGCGATCACCTGTTCCACTGTTTTCATGGGATGATGTGGCCTGAGGAGGGCTTTGTTGAGGTGGACAGGGTCAATACACAGTCTTACGGCACCATCTTTCTTACGTGCCGCCACCATAGACGAGACCCACTCAGTGGGCTCCTGAACTGACTTAATGACTCCCAGTTCAGTCATTCTGTTGAGTTCATTGATTATTTTGTCTTTCATTGCCAACGGCACTCGTCTGGGAGCACATATTGTAGGGTGCACAGAGGGGTCCAAACGCATGTGATACACTACAGGCAGTTTGCCTATGCTGCTGCAGTCAAAGAGATCTTTATACTCTGCGAGCTCGGCTGGAGAGCCTTGTTGGAGATTGTGCACATTCGGGCCAAGATGCACAAAGCCTAATTTGACGCTGTCTCTGAGGCCCAATAGGGGTTTTACATCATTGTCAACAACGTGGAACTGTAGTGTCCCACATGTGAAGTTTACATTAGTGACACCTAAAGTCCTTATAATCTGACCACCATAGGCCACAAGGTTGACTACATGGCTGTGGTCGACATGAGCGCCTGGGTCGATGTGCTGGAGAACGCCTCTAGACAGTACATTGCACCGGGCTCCAGTGTCAATCTTCACCTCAAGTTGCTTCCCTGTGTTGGAAGTGGACAGGATGGTAAATATCTCTCCCTTATCAGCTGGCACCTCTACACTTTCACAGTAAAACAGATCTGCTGGTTCATATGCAATTTGTGCATCAAGTTCACTAATTCTATGTGTCTGTCCTCCTCTGCGTATGGTGTGGGGTGCTCTGTTTGACTGAGATGGACCTTGCTCTGATCTGTTGTAAATGCGTGTTTTGTTTGATCTGCAGCATTTAGAGAAGTGATTCCACTTGCCACACGCATTGCAGCGCTTGTTGAAGGCTGGACAGCTGCTGCGGTCAGATGAATGCTGGCCACCACAGTTCGAACACGTAAAATATTGCACTGCACAAACTTCACTTTCCTTCTTTAGTTCTTTGGTACCTGCTTCTTTTTTTATTTCTTTGTTTCCTTTTTCAGACTGCTCATGTAACATGCATATTTCGATAGCTGAGTTTAAAGTTAGATTTTTTTCTTTCAACAGCTGTGTGCGGATGTTGTCATTGTGAATGCCACATACCAATCGATCTCTTAACAGTTCGTCGTGTAACGTCCCAAATTCGCATTTTCTGGCTAGTGTCTTTAACGTGGCAACGTAGGACTGGATTGTTTCATGTGGCTTCTGGTTCGTTGTATTGAATGCATGTCTGTCCATAATTACATTCTTTACAGGCAGGCAGATTTCTTCAAACTTCTTTACCAGTACCTCTGAATCCTCCGCATCTTCCTCCTCCTCGAAAGTGAATGTGTCATATTTATCTTGGGCATCGGGACCAGCGAGGTTGAGAAACGTGTATGCTCGCACTTTTTCGGTTGCTGCTGAGAGACCGGCGTTGCTGTATATGCGCCATTCGCGCTTAAACTTAGTCCAATTGTCCGCAATATTCTCGTCAAAGATGAGGGGGTCGATCTTACGAAGTCCTTGTGCCATCGTCACTTTAGGCTGACTTCTGACACCATGTAGATGTGTGTACAAACTCACTGACACCTCGTGTAGAACTCAGGTCTGCTCTTTATTATTATCATACACTTCTGTATAGTTTCCGCTTCTTACCAGACCTCCTACGTCATCTTACACGTCATCAACATTATCTACACTACCTTCCTGCAAAATGTCCATCGCATACTCTCTTAGGTAGTAGGCCTACTTATTCTGAATAAGTAATTACTTCACGACCGCTAAAAAAGTACATTCTATAGTATGAGTGTGTGTAGAATGTAATTCGGACTTACTACATTCGCCATGTCATTATCATGTGATCTATCAGCATC